TCTTCCATAGCAACGCCACTTAGATACGGATCAACTGAGAACCCTTCCCAATTTCTACCGCCATCGGGATTCTTTCCTAGAGGTCCAGCGACTGGTCCTAGCTGGACATGGACCCCCAGACCTTTGGCTTCCTCGCCCATTGCAGCACCGCGCGCATACAAGAGACTGCGGTCCCAAGTTGCTCCGGCGTTGATACCCGCGGGGAAAGCTGTCACAGGATTGGCAAAGCGAATTCCCAAGGGCGAGTCCTGTAGACATAAAGAGGGATAGTCAATTGAGCTGGCAGCATAGGTGTTGCCCACACATGGCCCTCCTTCCCAACCGACGCCAGTGGCGATCCCGACTTTTTCAGTCTGGTTTAGCTTGACAAGGGCTGTTTTAGCCTTTGAATAAGCCACATCCCAGCCGGCAGCTCCTGAGCCATAGGCATCAGCGGCGACACTGAATGTCAGAGCAGAGAGAAAAAGATTCTGCATAATGCCCTTTCTCGAATATTGTCGCTTGACAGATTTCCCCTAGTCTGACGGCGCCGTGGTTCCCTTTATAAAACCCCGCATAGGATATTTGGGCTTAAATTCCCATGGCCGAAATTTGGCCCTGGTCCCCAAGGCTGGCCAAGGTGCAGATTTGAACCCCATGACCAGAATGAAGGGGTTTTCGCCTAGCCAAGGCATCACAATGTAAGCTCCGCATTTACATCCACAAACGAGTGGTTGTATCGTTACAGTGAAACATGCATGTGAATAAAGTTGGTCCGCCAAAGGCCTCGGACCATCGGGGAACCTCCCTTTGATTCGTGAGGGAGAAACGGAATGTGGAAAAAAAAAAAAAAAAAACAAGTTGGCTATTCTGGAGAATATCCTAAACTTCTTGACAACAGCTACACTTGGCAGGTAATTTGGGAGCTTTCCTCCGCAGATCTGAGCTGTCTGGGGAAATGTCCGTTAACACTCACTCCATCGCTGCGGGTTGCGGGGATGGGTCCCGTACTCCGTGCGGAGTAGGGGCGTGACAGCAGCTCCTTGGACCCTTCAACACCTTTCGGCCAAATCACACGCGCTTAGAAATCGAGCCAGGAGAATGAATCAGGGTTTGTATTAACCTCGATAGGGATGAAAAGGAGAAAACAAGAAGACGGCAGGTCCCCGCGATGCCTTGCTGCCTGAGGCTAAATATCGACACCTCAGGCACTCAATTCTGGTTTTCTGGCTTTTTTTCGATCTTTCAATTCGTACCAGGTTATAACCTTGATGAGATTCCTAAATGCCTAGGCAGTCATATGCATTTTCTAAATCTAGGGTTCTATGTCTGCTCTTCTACCCCTGCTTTGCGATGATAGCATGTGGCGCTACTTATTGGGCCGAGTATAATGCATATATTGAATATATGGTTTTGGTTGTCGAGTAGTATGATTGTATATATTTATGTAGAATTCTCATCAAAATGTTAATACAATAAAAGCACGCACCAACCAAACAACTCAATTCAGTTGGGGGCAAGGGCCGGGCTTTGAAAGTCCTCATAAATATAACCTCATGCTGGCATTTGATCGTTAAATTTCTCCCTTGACTTATTTTGGAAGAATTCTCAGTCATTCACGATATAAGCCAAACTCATATATCTTCCGTCAAGTCGGAGCCTCAGACTTTTGAATACCAGTATCCGTACTGAGATAATGATGTAGCTGCTCTAAAAATTGCTCAGCAGACTGTCTCCCTCAGGCCAGAGGATTGACAATTACGAGGAATCTCGCCATCTGTTGGCAGCTGGACTGGATATGACATTTTGGAGATATGGTTGGCGAATGCCTGTCGCTTCTCAGACCAACCAAATTGAGAAGCAACGACCAAGCCGAAAAAAAAAAAAAAACAGAATCCGAAATACTTTCTAAACAAAGCTGTGGCCTATTCCATCTATACTTCCCGGATCCATAGGAAAAGGCCCTACAATATTTTCTCTACAAGATAGAGTTCTACACAGTATCTATAACAGCTTGCGCAATCGATAAAGCATATCTATCCTTAAGCTGCCAAATATTTTTCGGCCTATTCGGAATGATTTTAAAAAATTGTTTATTCCCACGACTTTTCGACATTCGGATCCCTATATTATGTGTAAATAGCAGTAAGATCGCAGGAAGCCAACTACTTCTCCGACTTCATAATCACGGCTAGGCATATTACGGAAGGGGTTTGAAGCTCTATCCACGAAAGGAATTCCATGTAAAATTACTAGCGCACCCAGCTTTGAGGAGGTTTTATGCAGGTTATGCGGGCATTGCTGACCTATGTCTGTGTGCTACCTTGACATTTCGAGACGTCGAATATCTTACAAAACTTCTCAAATCACCCATTACGCCCATTGAAACTAAAATTGGACCTTTCGCATTTGACCGTACTGGTGGACCTTAACCAAATGGCCGTGTTTCAGCTGGCCATTAGTTAACTAGGCCTCATTTAAGCCACTGTTGCTCGCTGCCTACAACACCTGATTACAAGGCTCGATATGAGATGCGTATATCCCTCGACTTATCTAACAATGTGGGCGTGTTTGCTCGGTATAAAATATCTTTCTCTTCATCTTATCCTCATTTTAAAGCTGAGCCTATTTTTCACTGTCTACACTTGGGTCTTACTTCTCTGATAGATGAAAACGATGCGACTCAAGTGTGTCCCGGATATTGGACCCTAAGTATGAGAACTGGTGCTCCGGAATCCAAAGGCTCCAATACATTTGTATTCGAAGTAACCCGGTTCTTGGGAAGCTGCAAATAACCACCGTATTTCCGTTGGCCTGATAAATACCGCCTGACTGGGCATGAATTTTCACAGAATCATATATACTGGTAAGTTGGCAAGTGAATAGTTGAATATTGGACTAAACCGGTTTGGCACAATTATTTTAGGGTTCAATCAAAAGGATTGCGGAGGGGATACGATGATGCATATCATGCAGAACTAGCCGGTTCATTTAAGTAGATACACGAGGAAGGGAAAAGTGCAGGAATCCCACTTCCCAAGTGTGATATGGAGCTAGCTTCTACAACCTCTTTGCTATTGCATCCGTTTTGGACTTTCTACTTGCCGCCTCTACTTTAAATCTCTTAACAGGCTGTTAGCCTCGCACAGCTCTGTTTTACCTTTATCTTCTTCTCATATTCCGCTTCATTTTTGGCCTCACTGTTGTTGTTTGCCACATTCCACCCCGGTCCGTAGCACTCGCCAACTCACGGACATCCCACAGAACAATTTTCAGTCATTCATTCTCTGGCTCCTTTTTAATATTGCATCTCCAGATTTCCTCCACCTCCGCCCTGGCCTTGCTAAAGCTTTTGGAAGAACTCGTTCCTACTCTAACTTTTAGGTCGATTTTCCTTCGTGGGTTCCAGCCTCGAGTGGACTTGTCGACATGCGACGCTCAGCATGTCGTCCACTTACCATCAATTCCACAATCAACCTGATACATACGACCATAGGGTGTGGAAAACAGGGCTTCCCGTCCGCTCAGCCGTACTTAAGCCACACGCCGGTGAGTTAGTAGTTGGGTGGGTGACCACCAGCGAATCCTCACTGTTGTATGTTTCAATTTCTTTTTTTTAACTTGGAAATTCCCTCTTGCCGCCCTACTCTTTTCAGCCTATGTAGCAAAATGTACCTTTTCTATTATAGCTAAAGAAAAAGGGATAAGTAGCCTTCTTTTCCTCTCCGCTTTTATCACTCTAACCTGGCATTTTTTTTTTTAATCCAAGTTATGACCTGACTGTTTGCTATAGACGTGACAGTCAAGTTGTGAAGGGTCATTTATATACACGGTGGTATCAGGCTTTCAAATCGGGTGAACGGCTTTCTGACGACTGCAAAGCAGTCATGCTAGGTCGTAACGCATTGAATGCGCATTTTTCGACTCATGGCATAGTTGAAGTAGTGCGCCTCTTAAATAGAACTCAAGGTAGTTCATAGGGATGGTTCCCTTTTTCTTCTATTGTTATTTACGCGAATTTGGAGAAGCAAATGATGAATGCAATTGGATTGTATGCAGTGTGTCATTTTGCTGGTAGAATAGATATCACCCCACCCTACAAAAAGGCAACATATCCAAAGCATTATTCAGAGCGTGATCACATCTGTAGAGTGCAATTGAAACTTTCGCTGTATATAAGTGGTTGGGCATTATGTAGTTCTGTAATTGTGCGTTGGTTGGATTCTTGACTGAAAGATTGCTAGGCACATTTATATCAATGTGGGTGGAGTCTGAGTGACGGTGATTAACCATCATATCTTTTCATTTCCTGTTCCTCATGGGATAATGTTAGGGGTCTTATCCGGCATATAATCCGGCCTAGCTATTATGCAGACCGATCTGAGTAACAGTTGGTACATCGGATGCAAGGGCGAAATCGTTAACGCAGTGCCATCATGCTTCCGTTGACTCTGAAGCAAGTAGCAAATCTCATTATCGTCTCTAGAGGCCCAGTGACTATCTGGGCTCTCCTTCATCACCTTACAATAATGTTGTCGTTGCTTCTTCGGTTTTAGTCGAATCAGAGAACCAGCATAAACTAGATCTGCGTGTGTGATCCAAACTGTCAGCACTGGAGTTTCAGCTGGCCCGACACCTAGAGGTATCTTAATTAGCCATGATTAGCAATCGCCGATAAAAAGGCTTTAAGTCCGATAGTGAGAGGCACCCCTCCTCCGATGATTGCCTCATAATCATATGCTTCTCTCTTCTCTTTCTTGCATCGTTTAATTCACAGAATAAACATAAGAATACTGGTATATTAGCCTCGAGGAGCTGTATCTCTGTGGCATAATAGAATATTTTCAATGTCAATGAGAAAATGCTACTGAAGAAGTAGAGGTAGAGTGAAGAAAGTCTATCATTGGGTAAGCTAAATGACATTCTGGGGTGTACAACCTTCAAAACAGCAGCGGTTTGAATAATTATAATTTCCACCATTGCATTTCATTCCTTGGAAAACGGCATTTCACGATTTAAATCTACTCCGCAATGTCAGCTTCTGAACCTATCTCACTAGATCTTTTTCGTTTCCTGGAAGGCCACTCTGCTTCCAGCTGGATCCTCTCAAACTTCCTAGTTTGCACTCGTAATTCCTGCAAGTCATCGTATCCCTCATCTAATTCCTCGTAAAAACTGAGATATTTCTCAAACTTGATATTGATATCGCCTGCTTCATGATATTCCAGATCGAAGCGCAGATTTTGCGCGAATTCTCGAGAGTCTGGGTCGATGGGTCTGTAGTCAATTGGCTGCCTCCCAAGAAGGGCATTTTTGAACCAAAACTCGTCTACTTGGACGATCTCGACACCGCACTGTTTGCAAATATTTGCCCCAATTTCCACTTCACCGGCACAAATATCACAGCAGTCGATCCCCTGATCTTTGCATTCTTTCGCAATAGTCCGCCAGTATCGAACCTCCCGAGTGACAATTTTGTAAATGTGAAAGATCCGCCTCGCGATGAATGAATTTATATATCCAGGTTCCTGCCAAGGGTAAAGAATGCGCGAAAAGAGATCCGCGCTTAGCCCAGGCCGTGACGAACCTTGGCGAACGGGAGGGTCGCATCCCAGAGATAGGATCCAATCCACAAATTCAGATCCTTGTGAGAAAATACCATAAGATTTTTCAATATTCCACCGTTTTCCAGCTTTATCCTTTCCGAAGCCGCGGATGTTCGGGACCCTATGAATTCGCGAGGTGTGATAGACATCATGGTTCTCAAACGTGTTTTTGATTACCATGCCTAAAATCGCTGGCGTTGGTAAATCGGGTGGTCCATCCATGAGAAAGACGCATACCGAGCTCATCTGGCGTCCAGCATCGTGTTGGTGGCCGTGAGCATAGACCAGAACACACCCGTCTGAGGAAACATTGAGATTACCAAAGTCAAAAGGCTCCAGTGATGAAGTTGACAAATGTATCTGGTCAAAGGAACTCGATGTATTCAAAAATGGTTCTTGAGGTTCGAGTTCCCCTTTCTTGAACTGGTTGTAAATGTAATGGACGATATCCCTAGGAGTTGAATTGCTAGCCACCAAACAAATCCGAGATCCCCCGCCATCTACTCTCCGGCAAATTCGTCGGATGGCAGCGAAGAGGGTGTGTTTCGTATTTCCCGCATGAAGTTTAGCGATGATGTTCTTCAGCACTTCGATTTCACATTCATTTCCCACCAAAGGCGGCTGACAAGTTACTCGCCGTCGGCTGTACATGGAGGCCATAACGAGATCCTCAAATGCGTCTTCAGCAACGGCGATCACGGTCAATTCCCGAACCTTCACCCAGTTCGGCAGTAGGAATGAAGCATATGTCACTGAAGCATAAAATTTGATTTGATCGAGATGATGTGATCGTGGCATCCGAGAACGTCCAGTCCACTCCTCCTCCATCATTTCCAGGCAGGCCCAACTTATTGATAGAGGAATCTCTTGCAACTTTGTGATAATTTGTCTGGCGAGGATTTTCCTAGCTTGATCTTGAGTTGATTGTAGCATTGTCGTCACATTGTCTCTTGTCACTAAAAAGCAACGATATTGACTCTCGACAAAGGTGGCATGTCGAATGATCCCCAACGGGCTGTCCAGTGCTTCGAAACCCTTGAGAGCCCGATGATAGCTGTCTTGGGTGCTTCTAGAGCTTTCATCCGACATGTTAGGATGTATTGACGTGAATGTGGAAAATATGTCGGTATCTGGATGAATCATGCTTGCACAATCATTCTGCCCAGATGCTACGATCCTGAGTTGGTTTAATATGTCCTCGCGATAAATGTCACGAGCCCACTCGAAGACATAACCGACAATCAGCAGAAGCTGTAATGCCCCATTTCTCGATGTAATAGAGCCTCCCCATAGATCAAAAATTTGCTGGGAGAAAATTAGCATGCGCCACCTTTACTCCAGGAAACATCTCTTGGACCAAGATCCCCAGGTTGAAACGAACATATTCAGTAGTACCAATAGTCCCAGGTTTCTCGCCTGTACCATTACATACGCATGCCACAGACACTCGCCAATCCTCTCCTCTATTCATTAGTAACCAGACTAATGGCTCAGCGTGCCGCTTCGCGTGCCGCTCAGTCATATTCTTCAACAACTCCTGCGTGCATAACAGTGTCCGCACCGGAAACGCGGATTGCAACTTAATAGAATTCCAATCGCTATCGGCCGACTTCGCTGACTTTGCCTCGAGAAGAAGAAATGGGAACACCACTGGATCTCCCTCCTCACTGAGCGGAGGATCTCCCAGGATCTCATGAACAAGCATATCCTGATCATCCTCCGGTCTACCTATACAGGCTGTGTCGTTCAAGAGGTTTTCAATGTTTCGAGTCTGTCGAAGTCCGTAGATCGCATCTGGCTTTGTAGCACTTGGTAGTTCTTTCTGGATAGTTGGATCGTGGTGTATTAGTTCATCTTCCCGATGGCCAAAAATCCGATTCAGCCCGATAGCTTCCATTCTGCGCGGCCTGTTAGTGCCAGTGACTAGCAGGTGATGTGTTCTTAATTCCTAACTCACGAATCCCCAAGCCTGAAGTCTCGCGAACATCGACATGGCTTTCGTTTATTCTGCCGAACACGCAGGGCTTCTGTCATAGTCGAGTTCCCCTCACTTGTCGCTTCGATTTCCGAACGCCATACTCTCTTCCGACAAAACTTGCTGGGGTCCACTGTAAGTCATTTTGTTTAGGTCGTTGGAATTAGAATTCCTACCATACGACTTCTGAAGTAAGTCGAGCCAACACGTAAGGTTCGCACGCAAACCGCCAGGTCGATTCATTTCGCCTCGCACAGCGCTTAGCCCGTTCAGAGAGTTCATCAGCATATTTCTTTATTTCTGCTGTCCATGGTGCATCTTCAATAGCTGTCGTACAAGCCGCATAGGTGTCGAATTGCCTCTTTCCTAGCTCATCAACCGCGGTAAAAATCGGACGGTGGACATCAGGCCATTCATGGCTTGGAAGCTCTCCGCGGAATTCAATTCTGTACTTCCGTCTGAGTCTTTCAACCTTCTTCCGTTCTTGGGCTGTGAATGGCATGGGTAAGGTGTAGGCCTGAGATTTGAGAAGTGTGGTTTAGAGTCATGAAAGAGTATATCTGTGGGCATTCCGATAGTTATCTAGATATAAATACTAATACAAAGTCCAGTCCTGACATATGTGGAAACTCGCAGGCGAAACTTCATCTTCGCGGCCCCCTAATCCTAGTTTCTAGGCGGTAATGGAGTAACATTACTGTTGTAGCTGCCCCACAGCGTAGGCGCTCTGCGAGGCGTAGTCAGTCTAACTCCTTGGAGTCTGGTCAAGGCCAAGAGGCGGTGGCTGTGCTTACCTCGTGCAATTGGGAAAATATGTAAGGTGCCGGTGTCTTACATCCTGGTATGTCCACTTTTACCAATGGATCATCGATACATAAATACGCTAGAGCGAACAGAGTAGCCGCCTAGATACTTCTATAGAGAACGATGGGTTCTGAAGGCACCTTGGCGATTCTATGACGTAAGGGCAAGAATGTTAGGAGGGAAGCCTGACAGGCAAAAGGCAACTCGGTGGCGAAGTAGACATACCCTAGTAGTCGGTATCCTATTAATAATTACGGTATACACAACTGATGCAGAAGTTTTATATGAGAAAAAAAAGAAAAAGGAGGAGAGGATATGAAGCCATTCTCCGGGGGGGGGGTTTAGAGTTATTTTTAGTATACCCTTCTATGCGATAAGAGCACGCAATTAGAGGGTAGGGAGAGTCGGGATTAGCGGGCTGCTCCGGGCCGTTCATTTGGGTGATCGCCATAGGGCCAACCTGCTAGACTTGAATTTGGGGGAAATTAATCTATCTCATTCTCTGCGTGAAGATCTAGCCAGAATAACCTAGTTACGTGCTAGATAAGCCATTTAGGAGTTGACTGAGTGCTTATTGCCCCCTAGACCCCTTTAGAATCATAGTTGGTTCTTTTCTCTACTAGCCCTTTATACTTATCACCGGTGGCGGTCGTAGTGTACGCACCGCTACACAGAGCTAAGGAATGAAATCCACCACATCCAAGTCTAGGCCTATATTTCTGTTGGTACTCGGCAACAAGACGAAGTCGTGCATTATTTGGAACCTGGATGTGGGTAGGCCGTGCGAGGGCCCATATTTAGGTGGGTCATTCTCTAGTATATGCTTAATTTGTAAGAACGCCCAGGGTCTCTTCTCAAAGGGGGCCAAGGAGACGCTAGAGGTCAAATCGCAGCTGGTGTGGTGTCTATTCCAACTGTCATGCAGAGCAGTGCCTCGACAGCATGCGCGATCATCCGGGATTGAGCAATGGCATCCATCCCCGGCGATGTTGATGCACAATCGCGGACGAATTTTGTCCGTCACACTATAACACTAAACTTTGGCTTGGCGGCCTATACAGTGAGCGCCGGGCCCGTAAGGTTCTCACCCTATCTATAGCACACTTACTCTTGTCTCCCCGGTCGCGCGACCGTAAAACGGCGTTCACCCATTTCTCACTCGGGCGGCACCCACCAAACTATTAACCGCATATAAGCCCCTCGCCGGTGAGTTAGTAATGGGGTGGGTGACCTCCAGCGAGTTTATATTCGATATCAAGTTTGATTCTCCTAGTCAGCGGTTCAGGGGCACGCAGGATATTCAGGTGTAGAATAGTGGTGTTCAGGGCATTCAGGTGAATGAGCTGAAGGGACTGAAGAGTAGGGCGGCAAGAGGGACTTTCCAAGTCAAAGGAAAACACAAAAACATACAGCATATGTAAGGTCGTGGTTACCTAGCGCCCACGGTTCGGGCATGGGCGGCTCGCCGCTCTATTGTGGGCACCTGAACACCACTAATTTACACCTGAATACCCTGCACGCCCCTGAACCGCTGACGTGTCATTCCCTTCCTATACCGATTCTTTCTCAGGCCTGTTTTTGATCACAACAGGCTGCTTCTCGAAAATTTTGCAAATGCTCCAAAGAGAATGTCTTAACCAGCCACCATCCTATCACCTAGCTTCTAAGAGACTTAAAATTATTCAAGGCTTCTATTACCTGCCAAATCTTGCAAGCAAAAGAGTGGATTTCATTCAAAACACTCTTTTAAACTAGATAACGGCATAGACCAGAAAGCCGTAAGCGACGTCGTTTTGTGGCCGCCTGTCTGCCAACCTTTTACCACTCACGCACCCTCCCACTGCGACCTCAGCGCGCCGCAGTGGCCTGGTTTGCACTCCAGTCGACAGCTTTTTGTTCTCTATTATCTAGCCTATTCACCGTATTGTCTACCTCTAGGAGCTTCTGCAACTTTATCCTAGAGATCCTATCTTGAATAGGCGCGATAACAAGATAGTAAAGGTGTTTAATAATAAGCCGGGGGACCGCTTGCTAAAAAGCAGCCATATATGTAAGCTAGTTGATATGTTGGACCGCGGTGGATTCCGGTGGAATATTGGCCCTGTTCATTATTGACCATCTATTGGGCAATACTAAAATTGAATATCGGAACCATGGCCAGAGAAATGCACCCTGGGTTGCCAAGCAGATTGGATTGTAACACCCAAATTAGCTGCCCCAGTAGTTCATCGTATTAATGTCAAGCTTATGAGATCACTGTCAATTCCGATTGTGGCGCCGATCCAAAACATTCTCGATATACCCCCTAATTTCCCAGGGGTTTTGGCCAACTTCAAAGACTGATTAAATAAATGAAAATAGAAGGTGAATTCTATGTGCTGAGGAGATCACGGCTCGAGAGTATCACCTAATAATACAATGGCTTTCTCGCTCTTCAAAATTCCCCCTCCTGTAGTACTAATACCTTCATCCATGGTGGAGATGAAGCTTTCGCCGAGCGTGTTGGCAGAGCCTGCGCCAATCGAATTCACCTCAATTGCATGAGCAACCAGGCACCCATGAACACAAAGCCTGATAAGATGGATCTTTCCGTCAGAAACGGAAACAGGGGTGCCATCCACTCCCCGTGCCTCCATAAAATTTGAATCAAATACATCGCCTGGCTCGAAGTGTATCAGTTCGTAGTGACTGCCATAGGGGGGTATGCAACGGGCACGGAAATAAAAAGCGTCCGTCAGAAGACGGTTCAAAGCCTCTTTTATGTCCTTCTCTGCATCTTTTACTTTGCTCTCATCGAGAAATGAATTGCAAAGATTTAGAAATGTGCATTGTACGTTTTCCACTTGAGATTGAACCCAGCAATCGCGAAACTGATGGTTTTGTTCCAACATCATCTCAATGGCAGCTCTATGAAAGCCTTCAATGGTGCCCTGGGGAACTTGATTTTATTAGGGGTAATGAAGTCTGAGGTGGCCATTCAAGACTTACAGCTTTTATGAATGATCTCTTGATAGCCCCTCAACATGTATCCCTCTTGAGCAAGAGACGCCCAGCAGCCTGCATGAAACACTTGATCTCGAATAAATCCAAAAATAAGGGCACACATTGCCGATTTGGGGTAAGTTGAGAGTAGATCCCTTGTACCAAGTGTACCTTCGACCAGTAAGTCAAGCTTCGTCTTTCCTTTTGGCAGCATTCCTAGTTCTGCTATCTTAGGGCCAGATAAACATTGAACAAAGACGCGGGCAGCTCTGGACGTGTTTGTTTCGAGTTTGGTCATTTCCTCTACAAATCTTGTAGCCACAACGTGGCCAGATCTGAAGTCCTTCAAGATGCTGTTCAATCCTTCCGCCGAGTTAACTTGTTCTGTGAGACACTCATTTTGTTTGATCTTCTCCCCAATTTCGCTGTCTTTTCGCTCAAGCTCCGCGTTCAACTCTTTAACGTGGTCCACATCCTCATCCGAGTAGTCTGCTTTGGCCTTTTCCATTTTACGGTACCATTCCAGATGTCCGTAAAGCTTTGAGTTTTCATCTTTCAAGATTAAAAGTTGATCTTCCAAACTTTTCAACATATGGCTGTGCCGCGTGGCTAGGAGATCTATCTGATGCTTGAGAAGCTTTACTTCACATGATGGCTCGTCGTTGCCCTTTGAAACAGTGGTTTCGATAGCCGATACTGAACTAACAGTGTTATCCTTGGTGTCCTTTCGATTTGATCCGAATGTGGTTGCCTCACAGACCAAATCTTTCTTTTTGCGAATGGGTGGCTCGATCTTCAAATCAGAATCAGCGGGTTTGATCTTCGAAACGTGCCCTCACAGGGCAATCGGTATCCGTAAGCGCCCCCTACCTCTACCGCCAAATTTGGCATTTTTCGGCTCTTTGGTGTCTCCTGGTGGTGGAGGGTCTCGTATGTCTCGCCACTATATTTCTCACGCTCCGGAAACCGTGTGGGTTTAGTTCGACTTCGCTTGTTGGTCAAGATGAGGGCGGGATCTTGATCTGCAGTTCGTGGCTGTGGCACTGGGCTGAAATCCCAGTGCCATACCCCCCATTTCCTATCTGAGCTGACCGAGTCTGCCCTGGATGAGGAATTTGTATATGGTGACTGACGATTCATGTTGAAAAATACGTGCTCTGCGAGCGAGCCCTTGTGTTGCTGATCAATGGACTGCGACCGTCGTGGTCAATAATCCACCCCGGTAAGACAATTGGACTTTCTAATGATATACTTTGCTTAAGACCAAGCCACGGACATGATTGTAAGATAGTTATGAATGGAGAAGGAGTTTTATCTTTTTTCGCCCCTGATGAGAATGAAAGGGCGCGGTTTTGGGGGCCAACAACTGGCGCAGTCAACTTGCGTTCTTAGTGAAACGAGAACCCTGCTAGCGTGAAAACCCCGAGAACGCCTTGTAATCTGCCCGATGAGAGGAGGTTCATTGGAGGCCGCCGGGCTGGTCATCGCATTTTCTTCGCGTTCTTCCATTGCGGTCACCCCACAACGCACCAGAATGGCTCCCAAACGAAACATATCTCAGGATATAGCCTATCGAAAAAGACAAGCTCGACAAATCAAGGACGCGAATGAAGGCTCAGTCACACCGACTACGTCGGGGAGTGACACGGTTAGCCCTCGGCCATCGATCCCCGCGAAAACTGCCAGCGCGAACGACAAAAATGGCCCCGGACCAAGGTTCATTATTGGCCTCGATTTTGGAACAACCATGACCTCAGTATCATACTACAAGCTCAAGTCTGGGAAACGTCCAGTCAACGTGGGTCGGAATGCAATCAAGTCCGTCACTCATTGGCCAGGGTCAGGTCGGGATCAGAGCAGAGGCGAAGTTCCAAGCGAGATGTTCTACCTGGGGAGTAATGAATACCATTGGGGCTATGAGGCACGCAGGCACTTGAAGCATGCCCACTCGACTGGGACATCGTTGAATGCTTCCAACAGGCTCATCAGACTCACTAAGCTCATACTGGAAAATCCTGGTCTAGATTTGGGAAAGGATGATGCATTAAGCGAGGTGAAAGAGACGCTCAAACATTTGGGGAAAACGGTGGAAGATGTTATTACAGACTATTTGGTTGAAGTCTTCTGTTATACCAAAAAGCATTTGAAGGATCACGAAACATTTCGGGAGACAAGCCCAGTGGAATTCTCCCTGGCTACTCCAGCTGGATGGGCTATGCGAACCTCTTGGTCCATGCAAGAAATAGTGAGAGAAGCCGCAGTGAAGGCTTCACTATGTCAGCCATCTGAAGCGCTAGACTTGTTCATAATCAATGAGCCCGAGGCAGCTGCAGCCTTTGCCCTTGACGTGATGATCGGTACCAAACGGTTACAGGTATGCGGTTCTTCAGTCCTGTCGTATCAGTTATAAACAAACTAATCATTCGCCTTCAAAGAAAGGAGAAACATTCTTGGTGTGCGATGCTGGAGGTGGCACAGTGGTAAGATAAATAACGGAGTAATTGCCAATGACGACTAACCTTACCAAAAGGATATCACCGCTTATACCGTAAAGGCACAAAATCCACTTCGCTTGGGTGAGGCAATGGCCCCTACCGGTAAGGGCCATATACTTTAGTCAAAGTTATTCAGCTGAAGCTTGGATTAGGTGCAGATTATGGTTCCACTTGCGTCAACCGGGCCATGGAGAAAGACCTCCAAGATCGCTTCAACTCCGACTCAGAATCTGATGCAGTCCTCTCCGAGAAGGGAATTTCAATCCAATATCAACTTTTTCACGATGTCTTTCGAAAATTTGAGGAAGAGCTGAAGCGTAATTTCGATTCTAGTCGCGGGTTAGACGGGTATGAATATCTCGACTTCCACGGATTAGAGCCAAATCTACTCGGCGGATTCGAGGGCAGCATTAGCTTTGAAAGCAACATGATCAAGATCTCTAGGTTTTACATCCCCTTTTATTTATTCCATCTTTTTCTCCCTGAATTACTGATTGATGGGTTTGTTTTAGGAGTGGGGTGCAACAATGGTTTCAACCAAGCCTTAAAGGTATCGCGGGTTTAATCCAAGAACAGCTCAATATCTCTGCAAAGAAGAAGTTGGTCATACAGGTAAGCTCCCCTTTGTCCCCTGATTAGGAAACAAGTTAACAAAAGTTTTTTTCCTTTCATAGAAAGTTATCTTCGTCGGTGGTTACTCCCAGTCGAACACATTCCGACACTTCATGGGGGAAAAGTTTCAACGCCTTCAATTGAGCTATCCGAAAGACAGGTCAGCTTACCGGTATTCTTTATCAACTTAAAAGCTAACTTGAGGGCATTTTTCCAGTGGATGGGAAGCGATTGTCTCTGGCGGAGCTGTTTATCGTGCGATAGACAAGAGCAACGGACCTCGCCGAAGAATCCTTGCAAACATTGGCATCCTACAAATTGAACCACAAAACAGAAAGCTTGCGGCACATCGAAACATTGTTCCCTACTTTAACCCATGCGACGAAAAGTATTACATCGACAACTGTTTGAATTGGATTATCAAAAAGGTATGAACCTTGTCCATATCTTTCAACCATTCCATATTAACCTAGAAAAGGGTCGCGTCGTAGAATTTGACGAAACTTTCACGGAAACATACTTCCAGATCATCGAAGAAGGTCAAGATCTGGAAATCAGGCAAAGGCTCTTTTATTCTGAAAAGAACGATATCAAGGACCACTATCAGTTAGAACACGAGATGAATAGAGGGAGTATGTATATTACAGGAACCCCTCACTCATTACATTATCTAATTTTGATCATTGGCTGACTTCAGTTAGTTTCTCAATCTGCTGCACTGATCGTGGTAGATCTCACAGAGCTTATGGACCAGTACCCATTGCCGCTGGAAGAAAATGCAGGGAACAGATTTTATGTGGTCTGGTATGATATTCTCGCACGCCTTACTGGTCGTAACCTAGAGGTCTCCCTAAGGTATCCGGCAGGCCAAGAAGTCCGAGGGTCAGTTCAGGTCTGCATTGCGGCATCGTTTCGGCCAGGTGTAGCGTGAGCCCCAGGATATCTATTCTCAGTGCACATTCAGATATCCTCTTTTTTCCCTGGGAGTTAATCTTACCTCTTCTCTTCTTTTTCCTTGGTTTCACTTTTCTATTTCTTTACCTTTGCCTCTAGTAAACTTTCTGGCCTTTCACAAACCATTTATTTGTAGAGAGTGTATCTTATCAATATCCTAGGACTTAACCTACACGACCCTACTTCTCTTGTGCTTATATCTAACCTATTCGTTTTCCCGACCCTTTCTCCCGATCTGCTTTTCTTCGGAATAGAGTATAAGAGTACGGAATAACTAAGGAGGTAAAAAGATCAAATAAATCGCAAGTTGGCCCGAGGTATCCTTGAAATTAAGAAAAAAAAGGGGGGGATTTTTGTGAGCGTTCCTATTGCCGTTCTATCCCATCGTTGCTCTCGAGCCGGAGAACTAAAACTACTCCCAGGGTAAGAAGTATAAGGACTGGGCCTTCAAATTCCGATTTCTTCATCCGATGAGAGGACCATGGGCGAGGATGATCTGTCCCCTGTTCGATAATTTCGTTGCGTTTGCTCAGTTTCTAGAAGTTGTATCCATCGAGCAAAAGAATCTGAGTCCCTCTTTGTGCTCCACTTCCCTTTCGGCTTCACTGGGCTGTTCATATGGCAAAGTTTGTCTTCGTTCCACTGACCAGAGCGTAATTGTATTGTCTCAAAATACGGCCCATCCCTTGACATTCTATCAAGCAGATCAGGTAGATCTTCGAGATCGTCGTATCCATTGACAACGTAGAGGCAATGCTTCGGGCATTCTTCACTCTGATACAAACCGTTGACCAAAACTCCCTTCTTTTTCTGATCAAGGCCCAGAGGAGGAAGGTGTGGCCATATCGCGATCTCTTCTTCTCTCTGTTGAATAAACTGTCGGCACTGAAGACGTGAAAAGCGTATATAAGCGTCCTGGGGCTCTCGTTGCCCAATCTTGTGGGATTCATAGACAGAGATCACAGATCGTATGAGTTGAGATGACTTGTCGACTCGCAATCCAGCTTCTACCCCATTGGATCTCGTCACTATCACCTTGCATTGATTCCTGCTGCCTTTCCTGTGGAAGTTGCTTGCCATGCAGAGCATAGAGACAACTGCAGTCAGGTTCTCCATAATAGATTGTTTCATTATGCGACCAAGAAGACTTTCGATGGCGTTTCTCCCAACTTGCGGGTGACGTGTGAAATCAGGAACATCAATGTGCCCAATTCTGTAGAAAATAACCCGCAAGGCGCTTTCGGTGATAGAAAAGCAAGTGAGCTGTCGGATCGGCTCCCACATTTCAGATACAAACATATGAATGGCCATATTGAGATAAAAAACCTCGTCACGCTTGAAGTTCTCGCGAATCGGCCTAGGCTCCACAGTCCAGAAGCTTTCCAATGCATCAATGGTCTCTGCATTTACTCTCCATGATCCAGAAAGACATTTTAGGACATCAGAAACCCAAATATTTGCCTCCTTGGCAGATGGGAATGAGAGCAAAAATGTATCGACATCATTTTCGGTGATTTGTAGGCCAAGATACCGCGATTCAATCACTGAGGCATCTCGAATAACGCCTTCCTGACAAACAATATTCAAGTAATTTAGATCTGGAGGTTCGCCAATAAATGACGCCTGGGTTCCTTGGATGTCAGTTGAGGCATTCATCCAGCTTGATATTCTCCTAGACATCGTGGAAAAGACGTCCGGGTCAGGTGCCGTGATATCGCCTGTCGCCAAGACATCCAACTCGCCCAATATTGCTGGGCGATAGATGTCGCGAGCCCAATCAAAAATATAGTCGACAATGAGTAGAAGCTGCAAAGCTCCGTCCAAGCCAGAAATATCGCCGTGCCACAAATCAACAATAGTCTAGAATATTAGAATATCTTAGTCCGCAGTAATTGAGATCTGAGTGTGTCGGTAATGAGAATCGCTCACGTAGTATATCTCTGGGTTTACATTGATGTCCAGCTGTGTCTCGGGAAACCCCACAGAAACATCCCAACTCTCCCCTCTCCAATTCAAGAACCATACAAGTGGACCCGTAGGCCATTGCGTGTCATCTCCTGTCGCCGCTCGTAGGTCATACTGCAGTTTCAAAAGTCTTTTGATGCAGAATGCCGTTTGCATGTCTACCTCTGCCCGACCTGCGCCATTGCTCGGCTTTGCCTCCATGATAAGAAATGGGTATAACAATGGCTCGCCCTCGGGGCTAAATGGACTGTATTCTATAGTTTCACGTAGTGTCCGCCTGGTGGAGGTCATCAGGCTTCGCGAGTCGATGGAATCCAGTAGTATTTTGAAGTTATCAGTCTGCTTGAGCCCATAAACACGATCAGGGGCTTCGTACTTCTTCAGCCTTCCTGGCTGAGCAGCAATTTCTAATGCAGGATAATGTTTTATTGCTGCTTCGGCCCGGTTTGAGAAGAGCATATTGATACCACCATCATCTCTGTTATCGGTGTCAGTGATTAGAAACAGCAATTCAAGAAGATGCTAGCACATACTGATTCTGCCCCCAACTCCTTAGACATTGACAAGGCTTACGTTTGCGACGTCGAGCTTCCAGTGACTCCACCTGCGAGTTGATGATGTCCGTTGCTGCAGGAATCTCGGACTCCCAAAGTCTTTTGCGGCATTGAATACTGAGAATTCATTAGAAATGTACTCTGAATCGGAAATGAGCGTTCTAGGGGGGTTTCTCACCAAGCGACCTCTACTGAGAACCGATGCATAATTTCGTTTTCGATCGTGAATCTCCACGTGCTCTCATTCCGTAAGCCCCTCATACATTCCTCGGCTAGCTTCGAGAGACGCACAGCACGGTTCCGAGTGGCATTCCTCCAGGGCTTTTCAAGGGTATCTATAGTGATACTTTCCATAAATTCATCGAACCTCCGCCTTCCTAGCTTCTGCACATCCGAGAACAACCTCTCGTGAGCGCTTGGCCATCCATTAGACTGTACTGGACCCAGAAAGTTTATGTGTAGATGCTTTGCCAAATTCCACCGATTTGCATATTCAGTAGAATCCATTTGTGCCAATGGTCAACATCTCTTTTCGGGATGTTAGGAATGGAAATGGACCCCGCACCTTAGTTCGCAACAGGGCACCGACCCCTGCACTTCTCATAAGGACTTTTTGTGCTTAAAATAGGCCTGACCGTTATACTGCCAATTTTGTTTGACTCGTTTGCATGTAATATGCTCTAGATAGGCAATACGCTATTATTTCAAATGTTGTTGAAGGGCTTGAGAACTGTCAAGAAGGAGAGTCAGGGCTAAAGGGCATTTCAGAATAGGGCTTGGAAACAATTTGTATGAATAAAGTGATGCTTCTGTTTCGACAGAGGTATGCAAAGTTAAGTATTTACAAACCTGTATATACTATTTCCGACACAGCCACAGTATGTTACAAGCCACAGCTTTGGAACTTTTGAACTACGAGTAAGATAAAAACATGTGCAAGCAAGGCGCGCCCCCTCATCTTTGCCTACGCTAATGCGGACTAGAAACCAACATACCACACTCCTTCGAACCAAAAATAGAAATATGGCCTAATTTCTAGAGTTCTTTCCATAATTAATTTATAACCCCGCTATTCCCTTAAATTGGCTTTGGAAGGAATACTATTCAAAGTACCACCGATCAGAGTCCCGTCGAGGCCTTGCTCATTCCTGCATGTATATTGGTATTGCGTTCCACAAATGCTCGCTCCATCTGGTCTAACAAGCCACATTGTCGGCATTCTGCCGTCGGACACCAGCGATTGCGAGACAGTGCCTGAAACCCAGATATCGCCGACATTACAGAATGCTTCCCTCTCTAGGTTGAACACGATGACAACAAATCAAGCCATTACGAAAAACTCTGGCTTGCTTGCCACAGAATCCGCGAAGACCCCGCCTACTTCGATTTCGAGATGCAGGAATAAAACTGGCGTCAATGCCCTCAAAGTTCAAACGCGCCCCATGACTCTAAATGTGAATATCTCTACGTCGACGATCAAGCGGAAACACAATGAAGTACTCCGTCTTAGCAAAACTACTGGTGAAATGAGCGAAATTATAGCTCTGGCTCTACATTCGCCAGTGGATATTAGCCTGCTTTCTGTTTTCTTCAGATCAAGTAAGACCAAGCGCTTTCGGTCGACAAGCTCTGCGTTATGGAAATTGCCAACTGTTAGTGAAATCAACACGGAGTTTTCAGACCCCAAAACAATACTTCTTGGCCCTCAAGTACCCTTTCCGCTGCACACGAGAACGAAGTTGGAAGACGATCAAGGTCGTTTACCGTCGGTTATACTTGAATCTATACTTTCGCATCGAAGCCTAAAAGAAATGGATCCCACTCCAAAATCGCTTCTCAAAATTATACCGCTTGAATTTCTCCAGCACTTAGGGGAAAATAACAGAATATGCCCTGCTTGGACAACACAGGGCCGGAGATGTAAAGTTCGTCGTGCTGTCAGACTTATTTCAGCGCAACTCGACAGCCTAGTCGCCTTCAAACCTAGCATGCTTCTACTAGTCATTCAACAGCTGGTAGAAGCGCTATTCTGCGCATCACATCGGAAGGTCGCATCTCGAGAGCTTCAAACCTGGAGAAAGGAGTTTCAACAGCTCTCAATAATCCAAGATTGTGAATATATTTTCCCAGTGGAGAATGAGCGTTTATGTGCTGTCTTTCACTGGATTTATCTCCTAGGCCGGGCAGCACTATCTCAATCATCTCCGTCCTCTCCTCTGAAATATACGGTGGACAAAATTGTCCAAATAGAGCCGCCTTTGATCAATCCAATCCAAGCGTTCGAACCTTATGTCGGTAAAGCCTTCTCGGGAACAACATCTGCAGAGCTTGCAAAGCTTCTTACAAAGCCGCTCCAAAAGAGCGATATCAAATATCAGGGCTTGATATACATTTTCTGGCAACCTCCAAACTTTGGCCACTTGAAAATTGGACGATCTGGAAACGTATCCCGCCGTCTAGATCAGTGGAATAAACAGTGCAAAAAGTCCATGCAGCTTTTCTTTCCGGAGGAAAAAGGGGACACAAGTATACCTGATGCACGACAAATTCCACATATATCGCGCGTTGAAGCTCTGGTCCATCTGGAATTGATGCAATACAGAAGGATCGAGAAAAAGTGCCCCGGTTGTTTCAAATCCCACGTAGAATGGTTTGAAACCCCCAAGGATTTTGCAATAGGAGTTGTCCGGAAGTGGTCGGATTGGATGGCTGCACTTCCATATGAGAAACATATGAAAGATGGCGAAGAACACTGGGTTCTGAAAAGTGAGGAGCGGAAAAATCTAGGTAATCTGTGTCGCCCAGGGACAACATTTTCAACTCCTTGCTTGCCTGTTCCCGAAGAGGAGGAAAACCTCTCATCGCCTTTGACACTCCATTCTAAGTGCGAGATGGGAGCAAAGGGTGCCGGAGACTAGAGAGAATAGTGGTATAGACCACTGTGGGGCTAGAGCGATAATGGTCACACATATATTGACTATTTTCATCTTATCATCTCGCTATTGACAAAATACTTTTAATTGAAGATGGGATTAGAAGTCGGAAGACGTGTATTTTTCCTGGTTTTGCTACATCCTTAGCCAGCCGATCTTCAATGTTTTCCCCCGGAATTGATCTAGAAATCTAGTTTAGAGCTGTGAGAAACTTTCGCCTTCCGTATCTTACAGTCTATATAGGTGATGCTACATTTTTGACGGGGTTTCAATCTCGAGTGCACTACCGTGACCTGAGCCGCCATGCCTTAGTTGGATGATCGGAAGGCATTTTAAGAAAACTCGAACTTTCGTTCATGCAACGCAACACAATTCTATGCACATCGTAACTATGTGAACCGCATAGTGGAATATGCACAAGAGACACAAGATCAGCCCAGACTGCTGCCACTAGAAATTGGTCTTTACTGACCAGCATGCGACTCCAACCGGTGGTAAGAGCATGGTGCAGATCGCTCACCATACCTGAGTGCCCCGTAGGAGGCGCATTATAATTGGCCAATTGCAACATCAAGTCCTGCTGCAATGGCAAACCATATACAACATACAGTAGTTAAGCCTGCATACTCTTACTCTTTGATTCGGTAAAACTAATTCCGACACGTAGTACGCATCTTGCTCCTGATAAAGCGAGGTTAGAGTGATAAACGGAGACTGGAGAGAGGAAAGCGGAGGGGAAAATGACACCTACAGCTTTTTCATTCAAATGGGGGAATCCACCTTTTGCTATACTGGCTGATTATTGGGGTGAATAATATTCAGGTAGTGAATATCAGCCCGTGAATGCCTCGAATAGAGCGGCGAGCCGCCCATAACCGAACCATGGGCGCTAGGTGACCAGACTGTCTCGGAAAGCTTCAAAGCGATGAATTTCTACCTAAAAATGTGGATCGCGTGGGGCTCATTTCCATAGAACTAAATTTTAGAACAAAGATTCCTCAGATCACTTGCCTATCTAGGCAATATTCTAACCTAAATAGGGACTTTCGGGTGTAGGGTTGCTTGGCAAGAACCCGTTATGGGAAATGTCAAGGTCTAGTTCGGAAGAGACCGTGAAATCTCTCGTTCCCACTTATATAGAGCTGATGAGGTTACTGTAGGCCGACTTTCGATGGAATTTTTCTTTCGCATCGCAATATAGTCCTCGGAAAAAGGCTTGAGAAGCAAAGGAGTCATACCAGACTTCTTAGAAGTCTGTATCTGTGGATTCGTTGCGAGAACACCTCCATCTACGCGTTCTTAGGTATATGAGGTATAATATAAGTATTGAACTAATAGAGCCCAGCTGAATGCTACATTTTTGTATATTTCTAGAGTAGCAGGTGCTAGCTCATGGTGACAGATAATATTGTCTTCATGTTCCTTGTCGTTTTGATATTTGACAGGAATCTGGCGTACGAACAATGTATGGTCTGGATGACTGATATTGAGAACTCCATCTAACTAAAATGACAAACCAGCTATTTCAACATCCACGCGGTAATGATGACTAAACGTAATATATGGCCCGGGGTATGCCTGATACTCGAAGTCACATGATCTTCTGTGTATCGTACCCTGTTCCAACCATGTAATCAATCTTATTATTCGACAGTATGTTTTCTACTTCGGGAGGAGGACGAAGAAACAGAAGAAGAATGCTTGTACATTGAATCTAGAAAGAGCAGTGTATTTATTTATACCCTGAATCTGACAAACAAGCACTGAGGATGCAAGCAAGCAAACAACGGGAGATGGGATCATCTTAACCGTTCTTACTCTTTTTACATATATATAAATAGATAAAAAGATAAACGCGCTAGAATCGCTGGAGTATTTTGAAGTATGCAGGCCTCTTCAAATGGAAGCTGTATGCAAGATTGACTTGACTATGTATATCCACTTCTGTACCTCTTCATATCCCACCTTAGTCTAGGTGGTGGCACTGTGGTTCCATTACTGCTCATATGCATAATCCCTCTAGGTGAAACTGTAGATCACAGTAGTCTGTTGGTCCATAGTTCTGTTGGGTTCCAGATACTTGTCAGACCATCGTTTAACGCTACAGAAATTCTGCCGTTGCGTCAGGGAAAACCAAATCCCTTATAGCCACCTATGTGGAGGAAATTTGATTGGCGAAAAGTAATTTGAACGAACGGTTAGAATTAGAACAATCTAGAAAATAACAGTGAATGAACGTGATCAATGATGGTAGAGTTCTTTCGCCTCCTTCAAATACGTGCTCACTTTGTATGCGGGGCGAATGAATTTTGCCTCTCACCGCCACGAAGGCCATATATCTCCTCAGATGCCCCGCATCTTTTAATTCTCTTCATCAACACCTCGTGACTCCCACTTTCTTTCAAAATGTCTAAGATCTACGTCGGGTATGTCAAAAACCATGTAATCTTGATGCTGAAGTGACCCTTTGTACTGACAATCTCAGAAACCTCTCATGGCACACCAGCGACGAGTCGCTGCGCGCCGCCTTCGGTGAGTTCGGCAACATTGTCGACTCTGTACGTGAAAAATCCAAAAATTCTGAATTTTCGCTTGGAGCAAAGACACTAATATTTTTATCTCTTTATAGATCGTCATGGTTGACCGTGAGACTGGTCGCTCCCGTGGATTCGGTTTCGTCACCTTCTCTTCCGCTGAGGAGGCCGAGGCCGCCATCAACGCTCTTAACGAGCAGGAGTATGTTTTCAACCCCTTCTCCCATACCGAATACCACCAAACACAACTTGCTAACCCTAATCTAGCCTCGATGGTCGTCGCATCCGTGTCAACCTCGCCAATGCCCGCCCCAGCGGTGGCTTCAACGGTGGTGGTGCCGGTGGTGGCCGCTGGTAAATGTGATCAGTGACCCTGAAAAAGTGCGCGATGGTTATGCAGAACGAGAAAAACGTGATATATTGACGCTTAGCGTTGGTGACGGTGCTTTGTGCGCCCCTGAGAAATCAGTCACAAGGCAGTTACTACAGTTACTCATGAAGTAGATAGTATTTTCCCTCGGTGTTTCATATACCTCAAAGGACATTTGGAATTTCATTTCGGAGCCGATCGATTCGAGCACTAATTTACTCACTTTTTTTTTTTTTCTGTTTTCTGCTGTAAAAATTTCTTATGCCCAACTTGATGCAAGGCTACCATGAGGCTGGATTTGTAGTAAACTATTGGTGGCAATGTAGCAGCTTGTACATGATATCACAAGTGGTGTCACCCCAGTGTAGCAATTGTAAACAGAACAGGGCGGATCACACAATGTTGCGTGTCCTCATTACAAAATCCTTTTTTTGCTCCGCTCTGAAAATTTCTCTGAAAATTTCGTCGGGGCGTGACATGTTAATCATTGACTTTGAAGGTTGTCCACTCAAGTAAAGGCTTCGCTGCTTGGTATATGACCTCCTCTTGATATCTAGTCTGTAACCAGCACATTCCAACGTAAAACCAGACTTAAATGAAGCCACGTTATGGCGAAATCTATGTTTTTTTTTTTTTTTTTTTTTTTTAACATACACTATTCTGGCTCAAAGGCTTCTCGTGAGAACCTTTCTCCTAAGCCTCTTCCACAAGTTTCAGCCTCATGTAAACATAGAATCAAGCCCTGTTACATTGACTAAAAATAGTATCTTGAAAATTGTCGACGTCATTGGCCAATTGCTCCCAAAAATGATGCCCCGCGCCTCAGCCACCTGGACCCACCGCCACATTTGTTCACTTTATCAAACATCCAACACCTTCAACCCTACACAGCACAGACATCTCAAAATACCAATCCACAAACATGGCACCCCACGAAGGCCTCGTCCACCCAAAAGAATACGACATCAAAGACAGCAATGTGGAGCTAATCGGCAGCGACCTCGATCACCGCGTGAAGTACAACTCAGCCCTCACCGAACCCGCCTGGCAAAACATCCGCCAAGTACCAGGCCTCACAATCTGGCGCATCGAAAACTTCCAAGTAATCCCCTGGCCGAAAGAAAAAACCGGCCTGTTCTACGACGGAGACAGCTTCATCGTGCTACACACCTACAAAGTCGGGGACGACAAGCTCGGCCATGATATCTTCTTCTGGCTCGGTAGCAAGACAACACAGGATGAAGCAGGCGTTGCGGCTTACAAGACCGTCGAGCTGGATGAGTTCCTGCACGGTGCTGCGACACAACACCGCGAGGTGCAGCAACATCCTTCCGACGAGTTCCTTGCTTTGTTCCGGAACTACGCCATCCGGTCTGGTGGTGTACGCTCCGGGTTCACGCATGTTGAGCCTGAGGAGCGTGCGGAGGTTACTACGCTCCTGCGTGTCTTCAAACATCCTGGTATTGCCCGTGTTGACTCGCTAATCGTGCATGAGGTCGAGCCAACGTGGAAGAGTCTCGATGAGAATGATGTCTTTGTTTTGGATAAGGGGGATAAGATCTGGGTTTGGCAGGGGAAGAAATGTAGCCCGATGGAGAAGGCCAAGGCGGCGCAGGTGGTTAATGATATGACGCTGGCGAAGCATGTTGATGTTGAGGTTCTATCACAACTTGAGTCTAGGTCGAGGATCTTTGTTGACTTGCTTGGCGGAAAGGATGCCGCTCCGTCTACACTGGAGGCACCTAGACCTGGGCGGTTTGCGAAGAGAGGTGCTGATGAAAGTTCCCGCCCGCGCAAGCTTTTCAGACTCAGCGATGCGTCTGGAAACTTGTCGTTTGATCTTGTGAAAGATGGCGGACGAGTTGATCGGTCTGACTTGGATGGCGACGATGTTTTCCTTTATGATTCGGGCAACAGACTCTGGGTTTGGCAGGGGGCTGGAGCTAGTGCCAGTGAGAAGGCCATGTGGCTCAAGGTTGCCCAGTTCTATGTCCGGAAGATTCAGGAAAGCCAGGAATCTTCCGAGGCATATCTCACGCCCATTTCGAAGGTTGCGCAAGGTCATGAGAGCCCTGCATTCTTGAAGGCTTTGGAGGCTTAAACTTGTACATATATTATTACTGCGACATATAATTGAAATAATTGATCATCATCTTACAATTCATCTGTGTTCGACCTAGAGTCTAAAATCTATACTTGTTATCTCAAATCAGGCTATAATCATGCTGCCCCTTGTCCAATGCATCAGCTTGTTTCCGCAACACATCAGCCCGGAATCTCCTAAAAGCAGATTCAATTCTCTTCTTGCTCTCCGGGTCTGAGTTGATACTACGCGTTCCTTTCGCCACACCACCAGCAAAGCCTACACAATACAAGTCTGTTAGCACGATTTTCCTAACACCAAACCGCCACAACATCAAAGATAAACTTACCAAGCTCTCCACCCAAAAACAACCCACCGGCCGTAGCAAAGAAATAAGTCGCGATATCGCCTAAAGTAGTAGGCTTCAACAGTGGCGTAAGATCCGGAATAGACTCTAAACACATAGATTAACCACTGTTCCTTTTGTTCTTTTTCCAACACGCAAAATAACAAGCGACAAACATACCAGTCCTCCCATCCTCGAAAATAACTTTCGTAGGCTTCTCCTGTGCACGAATAGCAGAGAAGAACGCCTTGCGCGTACTGCGTAGCCGGATGGCGGCTAGAAGACCGAGACTCACACCGACAGCAGAACCAACTGTAGTCCACAGCGAAATTGAAGATGCAGCTGCGTTGAGCTTGTCGCGGTCTCCGGATTGGAGGTCATGTTGAAGGTGCTCGTCGGCGAGCTTGGCTAGCTCGTCGGAGCGGCGTTGGCGGAGGATGGCAAAGGATTCGGACATTTTGGATTAGGGGGATTCAAGGAAGGGAATTGTGCTTTCGATCGTAAAGGAAATTCTCAAAAGGTATTAAAGTGTACCAGCCTAGAATAGACCAGATCCTAGAACTTCCAATCTTGGAAGCTTGGAGCTCAGGTGTTGACGTCATAGTGTCCCATGTTGGAAACCAGCTTGGAAGTTCGACTTTGGAGAAAGCAGAGAAGATCGTTAAATTCCCTTCTTTCCCTTCTCTGCCCAGATGCCTGCTGTCCTCAGGATTCATCCACATTTGGAGACCATGGCTGACCGTTGACCCATTGCTGTCACTCACAACTCTCCCTCTAAAGTCGAAACATATGCAACTGAATTCCACACCCCACCATGCACACAATTTATCTGATCGGGCTAGACTTCAAGCTTATATGCGACTATCACGCCTAGACATTTATACGAGAACAGCTACAAACCTAACCAACCAAGACCCATTCCCCAGCTGACGTCAGACTCAACCTCAACCCTCGATATATATATACTCATCGAACCCCAAGCAAAGTCTACGATCACAAATCCCCCAGGCAAATCCCTCTCTAAGAAAACCAACCCAAGATGGTCCGCTTCCTCAGCGACAAGCGCATAGCCCCAACCCCAACATCCAACCCCGAACAAAAACAAGACCTCCTCGTAATCGGCGCCGGCCTTCCCCGTACAGCAACATCCTCCCTCCAAGCCGCCCTAGAAGAACTAAACATAACCCCCTGCCTACACATGGCCCAAATAATCCCCCACACCTCCCGCCAAGAACTCCTCATCGCAGCCACACACACTAAAGATACCGCAACACGCCAAAAACAACTCCACACCCTGATCTCCGGCTACGCCGCAGTGTGCGATATGCCAGCTGTGTTCTTCCTGTCTGATCTAATGGACATGTACCCGAACGCACGGGTCATCCTGACAACGCGTCCTAATGCGGAGACGTGGGCGGAGAGTTGTCGTGAGAGTCTTGGGTTCTTTTTTACGAGATGGTTTGCGGTTCTGGGGGTGCTTTGGGGGACGGAGAGACTGTGGTACAGGCTTAACATGAGGATTTTGGAGTGGTGCAGAGAGAGGTTTGGGGTTGAGGAGGATATCTTTTCTGCGAGGTTCTACGAGAGGTATAATGAGTCTGTCCGGGAGGTTGTTAGGGAGCGTGGTGGGCAGGTTTTGGAGTTTAAGGCCGAGGATGGGTGGGGGCCGCTTTGTGCTTTTCTTGGGATGGAGGTTCCTAGGTCGGAGTTTCCGAGGGTTAATGAGAGGAAGACTTTTGTTTTTATTAAACGGGTTTTGGTTTTGAAGGGTGTTGTTAGTTGGGGGGTCCTTGGGGGGTTGGGTTGGTTGGCGTGGAGGTATCTCGGTACGTAGCCTTTATGCTTGACTATTGGGGTTTGGGGATGGATGATTTAATGAGTTTTAACTTGTTTTTGATTATATTTTGAATGTTATGTTCCACGGTTCCTATAATCGTTCATACATAGGAGAAACCAATGCACGCTAGATAAGGTTAGTATTGCCCAAGACAAATGGTGAGGAGAAATGGGGAACGTACTCATAATCATCTGGAATGCAACAGCCCAGAGATGCCACTGGTAGGATAAAGACGAGCCCTTACTACTCTTAATCGTAGGCTGAGGGGGAGCCGTGTATGCAGGCAGACTCGGATCAGCGGTGCTATCATCGAGTTGCTTTTCACGGGCCTTGCTTAAAACAGGATTATTCTTCGTTGACGTTGGCGCCTTGAGAAAGCCTTCTTTCTCAGCTTGTTGAATGGCCGCCCACCATACCGAGGCCATTTCCTCGTATCCAGCGGCTGTCGGATGAATCTTATCGACGAATTGCTTCCACTGGATGAATGTGCTCATATCAGCCACGACGAGGCTTTCATTTCGCGCTCGGCGTTTGGCTGCCAGTTCCAGGTACTGCGTGCTGATGTCGGTGCCTAATTGAGGCTTCCTTCCATTGAATGTGAGGGTTGATAGGATTATGGTTGTGTTGGGGATGTTGTCAAAGAGATATGTAAGGAGAGAGTCCATCCGTTTGCCTGCGGTGTCTACTTTGTAATCTTGTAGTGCATCATTTGTACCAGCGCTGTGGGGTATAGGTTAGCATGTGAAGATATGTTTATTTGCCGGCAATTGGAGACCCACTTGAGAAGGATTAGATTAGGTTGTTGTGGGATGATCTGTTTGGCATGAGAGGCAATTTGATCAATTCTCCAGCCAACGTGTCCATCATGATCCTAGGAAGAGTCAGAATATATATATATATTCTTTAAGGAAACGAAGGGCCAAAACCGGATAACTCACATTATCATGCATGGTCCCACTCTTCATAGTGCCAATCATATCAACCTCCCAGCCAGCATAGCGTAATTGCTGTCGAAGCCATTTCCGATATCCGTTTCCATCTTTCGATTTGTACCCCTTAGTAATTGAAGCACCAAGCGGCAAAATTCGAAGTGGAAACGGTTTTGTGTCACGGGTCTGAAGCGCGGCGACATCGGAGTCTGAATCTGAAGATACCAGATTCTCATGAGAAATGGCAGGTGATGCCGATACCAATGTCAGCCATATTAGACAAGCCTGGACAACCCAGAGAATGGGTGTCGACTGCCTCATGGTGACTTGTGACTGGTGACTGTGTGGAGGGAGCTTTGCAAAAACATCAAACCGGGAATCTCCATTTTCTTATATTTACCATCCGAACAAATTTTAACGTCAGATCCGAGCAATCAGATGTGCTTTCTAAGCCTCTTGATTTGCCGGTTTTGCGTAAGCTAATTTAGGTCCACTGGGGTGGCTGGGCAGTGGACAACTCAGGGGGGATCCCACTATCTAAGCCTCAGTTAACCCAAACCTGTCAAGTTACTCCGGGCGATCTTTGAGACGAGTCAAATTTCGTTGTTACCTCAGTAATGCTGACTTTGAATTATATATTAAAAGATGTTGATTACCGAGTACTCCGTAGGCAGACACGGAGTACAAGATATTTTATTGGAGGCTGGTCTCACAATACTATTCACTATTCCTGTTTGGGTCTAGTTTCCTAAAGGCATCAACTTTCCTATCCAACACTTACTTTTAAGGGTCTTTCAAGGTTTTCTCCCGCATCCATGCACGTTGTCATTGGTACAATTTCCTTACATCCCAACGTGGTTTAACCTTATCAACCGGTTATACTTCATTTACATGCCTACAAGCCAAGACTTTACGCCCTGGGGGTTCGTATGATCCTTCCGGTGAATCAACATCAAGCACTCCGTACCATGATTATCCGCTTGGGCGCCCGCGAAAATCGTCCTTGAGACACCTGGGCATCGACCCACGGGACACATTGATCCAAGGGAAGTCCGGATATAGCCCATATTTTGGTGACTCGGACGTTTTATCGGGTAATATCACCGGGCAATGCTTTAGCATGAGGCTATCCAACGCACGACTCATACCAATACCATGGAGGATAAGATGCGCCCCATGGCTTTGGCGAGGTGAAGGGCTCGTCCTAAGACCTTCCTTCCCCCCACCCCCGCGAAGAGGCACGGAGGCTTGTACGAAGAAAGCGGGGGCCAATTTGTCGGTTTTGAGGGAAAGGGATCGTGCGAAGCAATGCCTGTGAGACACTATTCAAAGAAGTGATTTTTTGGATTCTTTGGATGCGGACCTTCTTTCGGTCAGATGGACCGTTGAATGAGTACAGGCTGACTAGCTTGACTAATGGGACACCTGAGATGCCGTGGGCCTGTTGCTAGGTTGTGGTTACATCTGCTGGATTCATACTCCGCCATTGAGGTAAGCGAGGTACTCGAGCCTGCAGTCACCCGGAGGTATTGAACACAGCCATGATGGCCTATCTTTAGATCGATATAGTATATTTGCGGCCCGAACAAGGAATGATCATCATAAGAAAATAGCCAATTCACTTACTGGCTTCTCGTTATCCCGCGTGGGAAGCATATCCCCATTGATGCCGCCACGATGCATTGTACCGCTGTTTAAAGAAGTGAGCAATTATAGAACCACAATACGGGCCATAGCAGGATCTTTTCCCACATAATTTCCCCCAATTTTGTTCACATGGTTGAGGCTCTTGGAAATTGTGTTGGCAGCGCCATGGCCCCGATGCGGGCAATCGCGCGCATTATTCCTCGGACCCCGTGTATTAGTGTAACTTGGTCGCACGATAATGGGCTCTGATAAAAAAGAAAGAGAAAAGAGAGAGCGGGTGGCTCGGGAAGTGGCCAAGAAGACGGCGCAATCTAAAACCACTAGTGTTGCTAGTGTTGCTGAGGCGGTACTTTTGGACGACTAAAGATATAATGATGTGTTGGAAAGGAAGCTATGTCCCGCAAAAGCCAGGCTTCCAGTACCACATATTTGGCAAGAAGGAAAACTTGTACTAAGACAGAACTCATTTATCACGAAGCGAGTTCCAGGCTAAGTAAAATACAATATCATACTCGCACTTTGACGGGTTGTGATAAAAACACAAGCGATGCGCTGGGGCGTTATCACCGACAATGTGATGTGTGTTACAGCGGCTAGCCCTTGCATCGTGAAGGAATCTCGGACTTCACTTGAAAAATCTAGTTCCATGTGTTAAGTTCCATATGAGCGCTTTATTAAAAGGACATTGAGAGATCGTCCTTTTCGAACGGTGAGCTTCTAGGCAGGTGTTCGGAACGGACCGTGATAACCTCAAGGACCCATAGTGCCCCGCACAGGATTATCATACATATACTTCGATGAAGTGCCGTACGGTATACCATGTCATATACATTAGAATTGACTTCTCTCCGCACATTTGGCTTCCATGTAGCTCCTATCCGAGAGCATCTTCACGGTGATTATGTGGGATTCTTCAAAGTCCCAGTTGGTATACGGGAAATGATACAGCCACCTCCCTGCTGGCACGCGAAACACACACCTCGATCTAACATGTGATACCGCTTTCCTGATTAGAATTATGCCTATTACCTCTGGTCCTCTACAACATAGGTCGTGACCTGCACCTAGGCAGTACTTCCCGCTTACATAGTAAGGAGCCCATACATATATATTGTTCACAAAAGATCTCCCATTTTCCCTCATTTTTATATTTCTTAATGTCCTGTTTTGTTACTGCATTTCTCCCCTTATTCTCCAGTACGTATCGGCCGTCCTTGGCCATGTCCTCGTTCTCGCGTTCACCCTCGACCTCGACCCAGATCAGTCAAGAACTCAATGAATCGACTAAGTCATAACGTTATTTTAATTCGGCACCGAATGTCGTATTGCCACGGTACGTTTACTCCATAAATCATCACGAGGTCAAGCAATGCTCATATCCAATAAACTTTCGGAAACTGAACCCCACTAACCAAAACTGATATATTGATGTCATCGCCCAAATAAACCACCAGACCTAAATCTAACCTCAAACAGTCATTAGGAGTTCACATCCGACAATGTAAGATATACAACCCAAGATGATTACCTGGCGTTCGATCGCGCGCACCTTCCAACGGGTTTGTACAATCGAGCGGTGGTCTTGAACAATATATTAACCATCGTGCAGCATCATGCGCCCATCAGAGCGCAAGTACGGCAGTTAAGTCTGCTTGAACACCACTCACACAAACTACTACAAGAAGTGGGATATCCGTTCATGCACTGCAGCCTCGATGCTAATATAATCCAGTTCAAACTACCAGTCCCACCGGGATTCCTAGTCACAACCCCAGAGCAAGCTAAGCATGCTGTCTCCGTGATAAGTCCGCGCCACCATCTCCAACTTCTAGTTCTACCGAACCTAACATCCCACCAGATGCACCATCAATGATAAAAGCCCAAGTCCTCGCGGGCGGCCGCGGCAAAGGGAAATTCAACAGTGACGGCAAAAGTGGCGTCAGACTGGTCGACTCGTGAGTTCCAACCCCAAATATCCAATCCTAAACACATAGAAAACCCAAATTTAACACACCCAGACCAAGCGAAGCTTTCAAAAACGCCACCAACATGCTCGGATACTACCTAACAACAGCGCAAACCCCAAAGGATGGACTCCACGTCGACAAGCTCTACATCTACCAAGCCGTATCCATCGCACAGGAATTTTACTTCGCAATGACATTCGACCGACAGCATAATTCACCAGTACTACTGATATTCTCGTCGGGCGGAACCGACATCGAATCGAACGTAGACAAAATGCACAAACTCTGGTTCAAACTTTCGACCGGTATCACCGACGAGATCGACGCGTATATCCAAGCCGAACTTGGATTCTCGGATACTGAGATGAAGGATATACACCGGATTCTGGTGCAGATGGTGAAGTTGTTCAAGGAGAAAGATGCGACGCTGCTCGAGTTGAATCCGCTCGTGCGCACAGAGGAGGGAGAGTTTATATGTTTGGACGCTAAGTTTGAGTTTGATAATATGGCGCGATATAGACAGCAGGGGATTTTTGCGTTGGAGGAACGATCGCCGCAACAGGTGGAAGAACATCAGCTGGAGGAATTAGGGCTTTCTTATGTCCGGCTTGACGGGAATATTGGAAATATTGTTAATGGGGCTGGGTTGGCGATGGCGACCAATGATCTTATTAGTTTTTATGGAGGGAAATGTGCTAACTTTTTGGATGTTGGGGGTGCGGCGACGAAGGAGGCTTTATCGAAGGCTTTTCGGTTTTTGGAGAAGGATGAGAGGGTTAAGGGGATTTTGGTTAATATTTATGGTGGTCAGTATACACGCAAAGAATGGAAAATAAAATAGCTGATCGGTGACAGGAATTGTGCGATGTGATATGATTGCTGAGGCGATTGTTGCTGCTGCTGCTGAGATGGGTGGTTTCAAATGTCCCGTTGTGGTTCGGCTGCGGGGGACTAACTCCGAAGAGGGATTGAAGCTGGTCAGTAAGCCTGGCGATTTGTGATACTGTCGGGCTAATTCGAATTATAGATCGAACAATCAGGGTTGAAAAACTTGATTGTGGAAGCCGAGTTTGAGAAAGCTGCTCAGATGATCGTGAAGCAAACATCGGGGGGCTGAATTCCAACAAATTGATTCGTAAATCGCAATATCGTTATGATCTTGTTACTATGTAGCATAAAAGCATGTCATTGGTTGAAGCGAGCGCGCGTAACAGGACTCAATGCAAACAACAAATAAACCACCCTCCGAAATACAAACTCGCTATACCCATAAACACAGAGATACCCAGTATCCCAATTCAACACAGAACAGCTGATTTAGGACTCAGGCTCGGTCTTGATTGGGGAATTAGCCATTTCTTCCTCCACCGTAGGCTTCCTAGCCCAGACTCGGCGACTAAAGGCGATCAGCAAATATAACCTCTCAGGGTACTCATAACAACTCACGCATATTCATAAGCATGTGTACGGGGATTTCTCAGCTCCGCCCGAACCTTGGATAAATAAATCTGGACCTCCTCCGAAGACCAAGGTTTGGGCGCACCAAACTTAGTGAGCAGCCACATAGCCCATCCCTCCAACGCAGTAACCCAATGGGCGTATTGAAGCTGACCAGCCTCCTTGAGAACTTTATCCTTTGGCCACGGTCCCAAGGGAATCTTGTATAGCTTTTCCTGTATGTCAACAAACCCGGCCTTCTCCATTGCGCCTTGCATTGTCTCCTGCGTTAGGAGGGAGCGGCCCGCTCGCTCGGAGCAGCCGATGAAATTATCTCCCCATGTAGCTAGAGTGCCACCTTCCTGTAAAGTGCCGTCGTCGCTATATACTCGCACGTCTAGTTCCATCTGTTCAATCCAGCCGCCTGGGGTGAGAGAGCTGGATAGTGTAGTGGTTAGATACAACTTGTTCTGGTAGGCAAGGGGAAAGTGGAAAGTGTAGACAAGGGACTCACTCGTAGCACTGTTTGTATAATTGATCCCATTCCCCTGGCGTAAATGCTCCCAGCATCAGACGCATGTGGATAAAGTCGAATGGCTCTCTCCAGGTCCAATCCCGGAGGATATCGTCTACTTCCAGGATGCAGTTGGGTGGCATCCATGTCACGGGAGGGGGGAAGATGTCGACGCCACGGACAGTTGCTGATATTCGTTAGACTGACACAATAGGACCAAGGAAAGAAATTGGAGTAGATACCAGATGGATATATATCTGCCATATCACTGGGTGAATGTCAGCAGTATTCGATTAAAGAGAAATGGGTGGGAACTTACACAGCCCATGTTCCTTTACCGGTCCCAATGTCCAGAATGTGCTGAGATTTATTCTTAGCAAAGGGTGAATCTCCAAAGTCTGCATCGTTCTCCCACCTTAGGAGACTTGCCGATAGGCGCGTGGTGAAGAGGATTTTCTCGGTCATGGTCTAATACGAGAAACACCACATGACTGAATCTTGTATATAAGCTGTTGCTTCGACCAGACGAAACGAGGAGAAAAGGAAATTGAGTACTTACCCAAGCTCAAAAGCCTCGAATTGCTGTTCGTCGGAAGGACTCCTGTATGAGATGATTAGCCTCGCGTGTCCCACATTGAAGCGTTGCGACCGACCAATAGTCATCTTCCTTCATAGCTTGGTATCTGTTCGTAATATTAGCAAGGGCGCATGGATTCACTGTTTCTGCTGGTTCACTCACCGTCTACCATTTTCTAATCGACCCTTCGCAATTGTTGACGCGATAGATGTGGTTTCCCTGGGACTGTTAAAAGGGAAAACGTGGAAATCATTTTGGGCAACTCACGACTGAAAGTCTTCGGGCTCCCAGTCTTGGGTCAAGGTGTAGTAATCGGAATCCTGACCGTGTTAGATATGATGGTAGAGACGATCTCTTGATAACTCACGACAGCAATCTTTTCCGCCATGGTTCTAGGGTTGGGACTTTGGACTAGGAAAGAAAAAAACGTGGCAAGTGAAAATGACAAGGGGCGGGATTTGTCGGATGCACCCCGCCGAGCTAATTTATATAGTTTCAACGGTGTACTTATGTTAGGGTTAGGGGGTTATGCACAATAACATATTATCATGTCGATTAGAGCGGATCTCCCACCGTATTTAGAAGGTGGGGGGTATGGGCCTGCTGTGTGAAGGCACGGGGCCGCTGTCAATGGAACATTGTGGCCGATAAACCGGTGTCACATCTCAAACAGTCTTACATCGCTGATTTTCATAATTCCACTGAAAGGCAACCAGAATCCCATCCAAATGAACTATTGCTCCAATTACAACTGAGATGTGGAATACCTGGTGAGACGATCCCCAAATGTCAAAGCTTCTGGGCCATCGCGACTCCGGGAAATGTGTCTGCCACCAATCAGCATCATCCTGCGTCAGCCCATTGTGGAAAAGTAACGCACCGCGTAAAGCAAGACCCCGATTACGATGACGAGTCCTTCAAGATAGTAATATCGCAATCCGGCTTGTTGATCTAGTTGCTCATAAGGGAAGATACTGGCAACGAGCAAATGCCGAAAGTCCCGTCGCCACAAATGTTGATAACCGCAACATTCTCCACTTTTGGCTTTGTAATTGGGGATGCACCACGACAAATCCAGCCAATAAGCCTAGACTGCCGATCTGGACGTTGTAAAGTTAGTTCGACCACGCGGTGGAAGGGGTAGAGAATTATGAACGGACCATTGACCAATAGAGCCTTTGCAAATGTGGTTCACAATAAAACCCAATACATATATATCCCCGAAACGAACGAGCCAAGAATCTGGAATACAATAGCAACATAGTCCAATCGACTGCAGAGATCAGTGTAACGGGCGGAATGACAAAGGAAAGTGTGGTATGCGGATGAGATACCGAAACAAATGACCGAGGTTGTCAAGTAAATCTGAAAAACAAGCTGATCAGCCCACGTAGCGTCCGGAAAAGATGTAGAGAAATAAATATAGAGAAGCCCATTTCCCAGTAAAGCTATGGTGGCAGGGATGAGATGGAATAAACATTCACAGTTTCATTGTGAAGGTACAGTAGGCTACTAAGGCGCCGAGAAATTGACGGTCACTGGCCTATAGCTGGTTCGAAGGTATGGATGATGGCCGTACCATGAGGGAACTTCATCGCGGTTTAGCCACCGTGGGCCTGAGGGGCTTCCTGGTTCCTTGAGGAGTGGGCTGTTGCTGTGGTCCGTGCTGCTCGCCCGCTCCGCAGGTGACAACCGTTTGAGCAGTGCCATTTTCGACTTTGTCGTTTTTATTTCGATGATTTCCTTGGGAGATGAGATATTTCTCGAGTACGAACGAGACCCGGAACCTTTTGTGCGGCAGAGTACCGTGAGCCGCCTCCGTCAGCTAGCCCCTTGCGTCCCCCTGATCGGCCGCATAAGTCTCGTGGATAAACACATGAGCTTCCAAAACTGCCGATACGTGATGAACGAAAAAGCAATTATCCCTGTCCTCTATTATTACTGTGGTTGTTGATGTCTTGGTTCTAGACTTAGCTGCTGTCTATATCAAGCAGCACCATGCATATTAGCGGGACCCAGCGGTGATACATATACTTTTCAATAATAAAGAGGCGTTTTATCTGCGATTTCAGAAGTGTCCATTCGACTGGGTTATCTCCAGCTGAGACATGTATAAGAGAACTGGGCTTTCTCATCGTCTTTCCGTGTCTATGTGACCCACAACCCATATACTTCAACCGCCACCTTCTTTGAACTGGCAAGTTTGCCAATCTAATCTGCATATAGTCCATGATGACTACCAACTCAAATGCGAGTCTGAATTTTGTTACCGCCAGCTTGACTGCCTCGCCGAACGGCCGAATGAATGGATGGAGTGATCAACCCAACAGCAGAGGCGCGTTGGACACATTATAGATGTGCCTCAGTACAACCTTTCTATGCAAATACACAATCCTTTGTTTGAATTACCCAACCCACAACAAGGGCTTCTGGTGGAACCAAGAACTGAAGCTACTATGGATGGCGATTGTGATCGCGAGACCCGAATTTGTGTTGACTGTAGCTGCCGGACAGCTTGCAGCGCTCGAGGTTTGGTCAAGTCATTTCACGCGCTTGGTGTCACAACATGGACATACAGACGCTTGTTATTTGCAAATATGGGTGGATTCGAGCATGTTCCAGCCGAGGACGGAGCTTTCCATATCAAGTCCAAGCACATCCACTGTCTTGTCTCCAGAGGTTACATCGATGTCCCATAGGTCTCGGACGGAGAGCTCTGGGATAGGTCTAAGCAGGATACAATTGTAAACTTTATCACCTGTGTACAAGTTGCATATTTCATCCTGCTGTGCATTGGACGAGCGGCTTCGGGTCTCGCCGCGGCCACTATTGAGCTATCTGCCGTGGCGATTGTGGGCTGCACTCTCATGACAAGTATATGCTGGCACAAGTGTATGCTGGCTCCACAATCCACTTGACGCTTATTATCCCGTGCAAATAAAAATGAATATCTCCATGGGACAGGTCCTCTAAGAAGCTGGTCCTATTGCGGCCCGACCTTATCGGCAAACCCTGTTGGATTTCGTCGATGATTTCCTACCCAGCTGGGCCCTCAATACCCAAACCTTTATGAAAATGCCGGTCGGAACTTTCCAGCGACCCATCCCGCAGATCGGAGACAGTCGGCTGCCGCGGCTGACCAGGACAGGGTTCTTTTCTTTCTCTGGCAACCTTGGCGTATGCGTCAGTTCACCTTATCCGCTGGAATTTTGAATTTCCCACCCACACACGGGAAATTCTATGGAGATTGTCAAGCCTTATTCTACTATGCACTACTGTTGCATTCTGGGTTCTCGAGAGGATGGTGATGTGATATCGCTCCGGAAGCGAACATGAATGTTGATCAAACCGTTCGTTCACTATCAGAACTGCTACTGTCGACTCTGCGGGTTCTGCTAAGCCGAAACAGACTTATATTGATGTTGATAATACGTATCTAGTTGAAATGGCATTCGAGCCTAGAGAGCTATCTTTAAGTTGGGAGTTTTGGAGTATCTTCCCGATTGTATTCATTTGTGGCACGCACTGCTCGTACATATATACTTATTGAGACCTTGGTGGGATTGAGATAGTTACCTTGGAGTACATATTTGACTGTTGAATGGGCTCAGTTCTTTCCTCATATTTGAGTGGACATCGTGATATAAATCAAGTTTAATTACAAAGCGGATGTATATTTCATCTGGTTATCACAAATTAAAAAAAAAAAAAAAGCCAACATAGCCCAACCAAATCTCCAAGTCGACATCTTCACCATCTCTAATTTCGATCAACGATTTGCTCCACCATTCCCATGCGTTAATAAGCAACATGCAACGCGATGAGAAGAGTCGAGGCATATTATCAAGGTAATCCAATGGGACTTCAGGCCTGCGAACCACATTGAGGGCAGAATCGGCTAGAAACCGAGGTTCCACACTGGGTACAGTACTTGGCAGCACTTGGAGTTGCATTGGCCTCATTTGGAGGAGGCGTACCAGGGCTAGACGTGTTCACCGTCTCAGGGGAATGAGGGAACTGAGCAGACTGATGCGCAGGAGCGTACGTAGGTTGAGGCGCGGCGTAGGGTTGCTGGAAAGGCTGTGGTTGCTGGACTTGCTGGACAGGAGGGGAGTTCACGTATGTGACGGTATGGTGGGTGTGGCGGCTGCGCTTGACGCAGAAGATGATGAGTAGAATCCAAGCAGTGAGCTTGAGCACGCCACCAATCACAAACATAGCAACAGCGCCATAGAACTCGCCCATATTGGAGCTGCCACAAGAGGAGCTGGAATAGTAGGAACTGTAGTATGAGCTGCTGTAAGAGCAGTCGTCATATGAGTGGGAGGTCCATGTTCCCACGAGGGCACTGCCGATGATGAAGCAGATAATGGCACCAATGAAGAAGCCAATAGGCCACCATTTCGTGAGGCGTGATGGCCGTGGAGTTCCTGCAACGGACTGCATGATTCAGGATGAGGGTTCCTCGGCGCGAGGGACTTTTCTGATGAACAGAAGAAAGGAATGTAAAGGAAAGACTAGGGTAGGATAGAGAATAGAGTATGGTAGAGGGGATCTCGTAGTTCTTAAGGCGTTTGCGCATGGACTCACTCAGCCTCATCGTGTTTAGGTTATGATGGATACGTAAAAATTTAGTAAATAGAGCACGGAAGACCCTGAGGAGCCTATTACCGTTAAGATCAGTTGGGATTCTAGGCTAGGAAGCAGCAGATCGGTCCATTTTGGCCTCCGTCTCGTATTTAGATGAACAACCTGATACAGATTTTTCAACGTATAAAAACATGATCTTGGTCAGGGCCCCTTGTAAAGATCACCTAGAAAACCCTCAACCTGATTTCTACTAACTCTCACAATTCGGACAAATTAACAACGGTTTCTGATATATTCAATATTATCAAAAGTAATATGTAGAATTGCCTTCTTCAACTGAGCAATGCTTTGATCGCCAAGGATCGACCAAGCCAAGTCACAAAATACGACCCCTGGCCCACTACTATCCACAGTTAATCTTTAACACGAGCTTAGCGGGAAAACAACCTAGGCGCACCTTAATTTCCAAGAATAACAGAGTTTTTCTCGGGTTCCGTGATTGGTTTGCGATGTTGCTAAATTTTACAAAAAGGTGTTATTGGCCTGAAGCACACGTTTGGGCCTGGCAGTAGGGGTTAACCTTTTCAAGTGAAGAACCATAGAGAGATGCACTCGTATTCACAGGGACTCAGCACCACACTCCGACACCCTTTTTACGACGGCTAACTAAGGAAAAGGGAAGAACAAGCTATGGTTTAAATAAATACAGTTAGCTCGCATCCTGATTTTACTAAAAAAAGCAATATATCATTGGGAGATTTGAAGGAGCTGGTTCGTTTTCTCAAAGATGGATGAGGTGGATTTGGTAAACCTTATTAAGATGAGATCTTGCTGAGGCTCACATGAACTGGTATCTTGGGATCCGGTCCTGGTTGTATATAATGTAGTTAATAGACTAGGTGATTTTCCGGAGCTTCTCTCTCCTCCCCCGACTCACCCAGCCAGCTCAACACAAAATATAGTGATCCACACGCCCTAGTTCGTTGTTATTAATATCTATGTTTGCAAGAGCTAGAATTGGATTGCTTCGTTTGTGAAAGATTGAGGCAAGAATTGAATTCAATCTAAGTAGGCCATACACTGTTTGAAATTCCTTGAAGAAAGCAAGTTGTGCGGCGTCAGAATGCGGAGCCCACGTCACATGGAATCCATATCGGACTCTGGTCCGTTACCACATCTATCACTGGAGACAAAGTCGTATTCCTAAGGGTAGGCGGTGGGCAGGAAGAGCGATAGTTGTGAAAAAATGGCCTCTTACGTTAGATCGGCCGGTTGACAAAGAGGTGGAGAAGAGTAACAAAAAATGAAAGAGATTGTTAATGTGTGGTTTCTCGGTCGTCATATCAATCTTTAAATCATTATGAAGGTATTTTGTTCTAGTTGAATGATCGATGATTGGCTTTATATTTCTTTCAAGTTGGTTTCCTTCAAACTAACTTTAATCTATACATTTCCCTTCTGGAGGAAATTGTGGCTCTAGACATGAAACGAACCATCCTGTCGAACATGGATTGTAGAGGGTAATTTACCCTATGACTGTGGAAATGTGGATTACACACAAAAGTGTATATTAGATATATTGGTATGTCTATTCAAATTGTCTGTTTTGTCATTTTCGCTAGTTGGAATTATATACCATTAATTGGTACCACACATTATCAAACCACCTGTTTTGTCATTTTCGCTAGTTGGAATTATATACCATTAATTGGTACCACACATTATCAAACCACCGATTTCTGTCAATAGCCCATATTGGGCTCTGTATAATTCAAGGCGCGAACCTCTTTATATCGCCGGGATATCTTAGCGATCATGCCCTGAATCTCCTTAGCTGCCAAAAACTTGAGTCCGAGTGTCTCGAAAAGCTGTGTTGCGAGGTCGAGGTCCGCGATAGCTCGCGTGTTTCTCAAGACGGTGCTAAGGTCGTCAGGTTGAGCCGTTATTGCATAGATTAGTGACAAAGTCGCCGTGAAGAGAGCGAGAAAATTCAACCAGTTGTAAGCAAATCGTTGTTGCTGATGCATGCTGAATGCTTGGCGGAGTGACATGGACGCTGCCATCTCCAACATTTTTATCCGCTTCAAGTCTGAAACGGGAAATAGCGGGGACGGTCTGTAGATCATGGCGAGGTGGGTATAGTAGTTGAAGTCATACCACGTGGTGTTAAGATGTGGCACGCTTTCGTTGACGTCCGGGAGCGGGAAGGGCATGCTCCGACGCCAGTCGAGAAGTTCTTGGTGTAAGGAAGCTATTATTGCCTCACGCTCTGGCAAAGTCAAATTCGCATTCTTGACATTTCCGTACACCTTTCGCGAGATGTTGCCTGCAATTCTCCGCAGCGACAGAATGTGCAGCGGAACAGCCATCAGTGATGGCTGAAGGGGGTTCTGGGGGCTTATGGAGTCGGCGTGTATAAATTCGTCGTCGACATCCTGAAAAGGCTGTTTTCATAGTCAGACATGTTTCGTGAGGGCATTTTGCACCTCATTCACACAAAGCTCAGCCTCACCGTTACATCTATGTCATCGTCATGAAGTGCGAACGGTCGACCTAAAGTGATGGAAACAACGCTGAGTTTTGCGGGCGGTTAGGCGCTTGAATCTGGATACGAGAGAGTGGGGAAGAAGTGATAGTATAAACCTACCGATCCATCATGTATATTGAAAAGAAAATTCGTCTGCGTCTTTGTTGCACATTAAGAGGGAATTTGCGATATGTCGAGGCCGCATGGAGTCCCATACCTAAGGCCAGACGGGCAGCTGTACCAACAAGGAACCATGTATCTGCTTCCGTCAGTGCTTGGAAGATCGGTCAAGTGGGTATCACTCACTAGGACCTAATTGGTTGAAAAACGAATAAGAAACCTGGAGCATTATGGCTTCCAGAGTAGACTAGGCTCTCGTTAGTTGGATTTCGCCAGTTAGGCTCTCGTCAGCGATAAAGCTGTAGGAAAAATTTCCTACCATCTCGTCACCCCCCAAAGCTTGCTCGGAATACTGCAGGGCCTTGTTGTAAAACAACATTGACTCCGATTCCTCAGTCAGAGTGACGGAAGAGTAAGCGGTAGAGCCGATGGCCAGGACCATCCAGATTCTGAAGGTATGGAGGGGACTTTGCGTGACCAAGTTCTGAGGATTGTGATGGATCTTTTCAAGAGTGTCCATGACCTCAGAGCGGTCTAGGATGGGATAGAGGGTATGGGAGTGAGCGAAATAGAAATTCACCAGCCGCCGCACATGCGTCTCATCGCTTGGCCAGGCTAGGGAGTCAAGGGCGGCATGGGATCCGGCAGAGTCGGTGAAGAGGAGATCACCAAAAAGCAGGGGATAGGGGGAGATGGACTCACTCAAGCTTTGGAAGAAAGAGTCGTTGAAGGGGTTTGAAGAAGAGCTGAGGTCTAAGAGATCCATTTCCGTAGTGTTGTCATGATGGCTATTGAATATAAAGTCCGCCTTGTCTGGCGCCAAACGACGTAGAATCATCTGTGTCAGGTTTGCGAATGAGAGTCCCGTGGTCGATCCCAAGTGCCGTTCAGCAGTAGCCTCCAGCGAGAGCACTGTGAGTTGCTGGCCAAAGGTTGGGGTTTGGTCTGCTGCAAGCTGTGGGTTTACAAGAGGGCCTTCTATCAGACCCTCGGTGTTGTCGGTAAGGGTGGATGTGTTTCCTACTTGGCTTCCGTAAACACCTCGAGGGCTGCATTCCTGGTCCACCATTCCTATTTCTGGCATATCGAAGTCGTCATAGAGGTGATTGTTGTTCAAAATCCGAGTGGCATCTGTAGCCTGTGGCGTATTCCGCTCTTGGGTAGCCATAGCCCTGCCCAGACGGCGAACCTTCTCTTCAAGGCCCTGGACGTACCTGTAAGCATGTTAGAAGCCTATTTGAAATCACTCAAGAGTGTGGGGTACTCTGCAAAGCTAAGGATGAGAGACCGGAGAGAGACCTAAGCCATCCAGTGCCTCAATCTCATGCGGCGACTCACACTATGGGGTACGAAGCTGTTTGGAGATCATCGTCTTCAAAGCTACATCTCACCCTCGCCGAGACGCAATTTTTGCATGACGGTAACATTCTGTCGCACCTCTTCTTCCTCTTATGACATCGCGAGCATGAAGCTCGCGCCCTTGCCGGGGCCGAAGACTGCGTTGTCAACGTGGTGAGGCCTGCGCCGTTGTTGCGGGCCATTGGAGAGAGAAGAGTCGCAAAGACGTGACGAGTCTGCTGGAGTAGGGGGTGTTGAAACACTGTGCAGCGCGGCTATTTTTGTTTCTCCAGCATTTGCTTGTCGCCCCCTCAGCTGGGTGGGAGCTGCCGGAATTTTAGAATTTGGAGTACTGGGCTATCTACCCTTTTATCGCGCTTCTCCGATTGCCCCCGCATTCAGCTCGGGACTATCCCCCCATCAATCTGGGCCCCGATCATCACATTCCAATGGCTCCCGTTGGTTGACTGCGATGTAAGTTGCCTAATAGGTGATGCACTTTCCACAAGCAGTTAGCCTACTTAGCTCGAGATAAGAACTGAACCAATCATCTTGACAATCAAGCGCGGAATCACATTACGGCGATGTAGTTTGGTATTGAAATATGATACGTCTTGTCTGCATATAATTTCTGTAAGAGTGGTAATATAACCGTATCTGACAAGATAAATACGCGGACAATTAAAGAAATCAGGCATCAAGGCATCAGTACTACCAAAAGAGGGGGTTTTCTCACATAGTACTTATACTATACTGCTCCATAGGTAGCATATCGAGGTTTTTGATGCTTTCGAGTCTGTGTTTAGAATTAGCAGTTTACTAGTTAAAAGTGGTGTCAAATTACTATAACTCCCGTAAGAATAATGTACACCAAGATGGATGTAAAGACGTAGCTCCCGACGAGGATCGCTGCTCCTCCATTCTCAAGAGTTAAGCCAGTAGTGATAAAGAGACCAGTCCCAACAGTGCCACCCCAGGAAATGAAGATCGCATGGCGTGCTTTAAGATCTCGTTTGGTAGATGGGAGATGGAGCGGCTCCTCTACAGCAAACGAATCTGTTCTCAGCATTGTCTGGTAGACATCTTTTTCGTTACCATTGCTATATTTGTTGATGATAACTTTATATTATCCATAGCTCACAAGGAAGGTGATATAAATTGAAAGTTATAGCTAGCTGGTTTACATCGTATAAGAGTTCATCATGCCGCAGGTTTCGATAGCCTAATAAGCCTTATCTTGAGGACAGATTACGGACGCAGATTGGACCACCATTATTGACCATGATTGACTACAATACAGGCCACCTGATACCATGCACGGCCCATGTGGTCTCGGGAGGTGGTGTATTCCCCCATAATCGGTCGTCGGGGATCCCGATGGTGTTGTGGACGCGATAGGAGGCCTTCCAAAGGCTGTCGGATGATGTGAATTTGTGCTGGTAGTGCATCAGGCCGCCTGTTCTGATTGTTAACATTAAAGTGTCTATCGTTGACTCCAAGTCTGTGCTTATTCGCCCCTGTATTATTGTCGTAGACCATTTGGCAACTGGTTGATACGCATGACAAAAGGTCGATCAGGTTTGTCGTGGGAGCTTGATAACTGCCTTGAAACTTTTGGGCAGATATGTACTAATTCATGTAATACGACATTTTGCCAGGTGACACGAATATCCGAGATGGATACCTCGTCGGCAGTGCCGCTGTGATATCTCCCTAAGCTTAAGTGGGGTAAAGAATGTATCGGACCATCCGCTTATCAAAAGATACTTGAACTGATTAATCCAACTGAGGGGGATGCAGTCTTAGCCGGATGAAGATATATATGGAAAATGCAGGTTTTGTAATATTGGTCATTGAGGGATAAATCGTTCGACGACCAGCCAACATTGACAACACATTCCTTTTTGTTCCAAGCCTTCGAACCACACTTGGCACTTTAAATATTCATCCAGCATGGAGTCCAAGGCCCGTGAAGGCATCAATTGGCTGGGATTTCAATTGCACCAACTCAAGGAACAGGAGCATGCTGGACCAGTCTTCACGGCAGTGGTGGTGCTGCTGCTTACCTACATGGTCTACACCGTAAGTTGTCCTTCGGTCGATTTTCGGGATAGTTCAGTGCTGGCATTTCAATGGTCATTGGCTGACAATATCGACAGATTATGTATGCTACCGACATTCCTCACATCAAGGGCATGCCAGAAATCCCTGGCGCTGTTCCCGTGTTTGGACATCTTCTCAAGCTAGGCGAGGATCATGCTACAGTTTGTGAAAAATGGTGGCGCCAGTACAACCACTCTGTCTTCCAGATCAAGCTAGGCAACACCAGGGCCGTCGTTGTCAACTCGTTCGATGACTGCAAGAAGATGCTCCTCGGCAACCAGAATGCAGTCATTGACCGACCCAAGCTCTACACCTTCCACGGCGTAATCAGCAGCACCCAGGGCTTTACCATTGGATCTTCGCCCTGGGATGAGTCCTGCAAGAAGAAGCGCAAAGCTGCCGGTACCGCTCTGGGTCGCCCTGCTTTGAGGAACTACTACCCCATGTTTGACCTAGAGAGCTACTGCATCCTACGAGATATGAAAAAGGACAGTTGCGACGGTCAGATCGAGATTGACATTCGGCCGTATATCCAGCGATACGCGCTTAATACAACTCTAACCCTCTGTTACGGCATTCGTATGGACGCTGTCTACGATGACCTGCTCCGCGAGATTCTCCACGTAGGATCGTCTATTTCCCTACTACGCAGCGCCTCCGAGAACCTACAAGATTATATTCCGGCCCTTCGATATGTTCCTAATAACAAGAAGACCGCCCGTTCAAAGGACCTTCGCGAGCGACGCGACGCTTATCTAGACCTTCTCTTGAACAAGGTACGTGAGATGATTAAGAACGGTACCGATAAGCCTTGCATCTCTGCTGCTATTCTCAAGGACCAGGAGACCAAGCTCTCTGGTGTGGAAGTCTCTTCAATCTGCTTGTCTTTGGTTTCTGGTGGTTTTGAGACTATTCCTGGAACTTTGACCTCGTGTATTGGATCCCTGTCTACCGAGGAAGGACAGGTATGGCAGGATCGGGCCTACGAAGATATCAAGCGACACTACCCCAACACCCAAGATGCCTGGAGTGGATGTTTTAAAGAGGAGATAATTCCCTACATTAATGCTATTGTAAAGGAGGCTGGCCGATACTACACCGTGAGCTCTATGAGTCTTCCTCGAAAGACCGTCTCCGAAGTCAACTGGAATGGTGCCATCATCCCCCCTAAGACTATGATCTTGATCAATGCCCAAGCGGGCAACCATGGTGAGTGATCCGCAGCTAAAATTCATTGTCTGTCATTTTATGAAAGTCTAACGTCCACAGATATCGATCATTTCGGACCGGATGCTGGCAGCTTTAGCCCCGAGCGGTGGCTCAAGTCTCTCAACCCTCCAACTGAGGCCGAAATCAGCGGGCTGGGTCACTTGAGTTTCGGCACTGGTTCTCGTGCTTGTTCAGGCCAGTACATTGCTTCTCGCCTCTTGTACTCCGCACTAGTAAGGATTCTATCGTCCTATAGGATCGTAGCTAGCAAGGAAAACCCTCCCAATACCGACTATGTCGAGTATAACCAGTTCAAGACGGCGCTGGTTGCTATTCCCAGGGAGTTTAAGGTCAAACTGATTCCTCGTGATACGAACATGACGGCCCAGTGCTTGGATCTTGCCGAGCAGAGGACCAGAGAGCATTACAAGGAGTAATACTGTTTTTGAATGATGTCATCGGTGTGAGCCTGAAGCCTTGAAATGTACAGAATGTGTTCCAGGAAATAGCTATGAACACTATCATTATTTATGCGAGTAACTGTATGCGAGGCAAGTTGTAGACTAATTGCATGGTATCCCAGCGAGAGTGAAATTACGAGATTAGACTAGCCATGGTCGCATCATAATACTACTCTTGACAGTAGCCTGAGGGGGTTACCGTACCCTGGAGTCCGATCCCCGGTGAACTAGCTACTCGTCGGCAAGTCCGACAGACAATGTAGCGTTTGGCAAACCCCTGCTAAAGTAGCACAAGTGCCACATTTCGTTACGTCCGTGGCTCAACAAAGAATTATCACAACATAGTCCGTTCGATTACATTATAAATATGTCTTCCCTTGTTACCAATAGCCTGTTCGGGGTGAAGGGGTATGTAGCAGTTGTGACAGGAGGCAGCAGTGGCCTCGGATTGATGATTGCCAGAGTAAGTGCATCTTCGGATGCTGACTTGAAATTGCGGTTCTGAATGCTATATGCTGTTTCCCTTTGACAGCTGACGTTGTCATAACAGGGACTTGTGGCAAATGGCGCCAAAGTGTACCTCGTTGCTTTACCAAATGATCCCATTGACAAAAGGGTGGCGGAGCTCAACGAACTTGGCAAGGAAGTTGGAGGATCTGCATATGGGTAAGTTTGAGTGATAAAAAGCTCAACGTCAAAACCCATCAATGCGCTACTAACTATCAATCCTAGAATCCCCTGCGATGTTTCTGACAAGCAAGCCATCCAGGATCTCGCCACTGAGGTCGGCCACCGGGAAAAGCACGTTGACATGCTTATTTCCAACGCCGGCATAAGACGAGATCCACCTGTCCAATGCAATGTGTTGAAGGCGTCGTTGTCCGAACTGCAGGCCTCTATGTGGTCCTCACGACACTCGGACTGGGCCGACACATTCTGCATCAACACCACAGCGCACTACTTTCTTTCCGTGGCTTTTCTCCCATTGCTAGAAGCGGCCGCACAACTTGAACTGCCTGATGGCCGGCTCGGTCGAAGCGATGGTCGTGGAGTGGTGGTTATGACTAGTTCATGCGCAAGCATGCACAACGTGACAAACGTAGACCTGACGAGTTACGCAACAAGTAAAGCCGCAACTGATCACTTAGTCAAGCTACTGGCAGCCAAGTTCAGCCGCTTCTATGTACGAGTTGTGGGGATTAACCCAGGCTGTGAGTGAAACAGGGCACTATGATAACACACATGAATGGACCCAGTTACTGATTGATACAGTTGTTCCAAGCTGTATGAACCCTGTCGGGGAGGAAGGGAACCTCTTCAGTGCCCTTTTCGACAGGGTTCCTGCCAAGAGAGCAGGAATCGAGGACGATATTGCTGGGACGATCTTATACATTGTCAGTCGTGCAGGAGTAAGTCTATCTAATCTTGTTGGAGGTTGATCTGCTTTAACAGATGGTGCTGGAACACTGCTAATGCCGTATCTAGGCATACGTGGATGGAACATCACTTTGTGTTGATGGAGGCCGTATTCTGCTTGCCAATGGTCAAGAATAAAGGGATAAAGCTTAAATCGGAAACATCAGCCAAATAAATACGTTCTGTACTACTTGGTACCTAGCCTTACTTCAAATCCATTAATGCTGTTTTGACTGCGGTGTTCATTATTGAATACGATTTGAATTAATTGGCCATATTGGGTATATAATGCAATGGGTGGAAATATATATAGTGGCCAGCTGCTAGTGTTCAATCAAATACCAAGCCATCGGTAGTTCTACAGTCAAGGAAAAAGACATTAAAAATCAATAGTAGGTTCAAAGAACTACTGAATTATATGATAAAAATGTAACGTAGAAAAGGTATGTAACACCAGAGAAAGGTGATCCTACCCTGACTCTGCTGGATGTCCTGAGATCTAAAAAGGCGGCCTGTCCGATAGTAACGAACCTCCATCGGATCGACCGACACACAAGGCATCAAGAGGGTACATGTAATACACTGGTAAGGGATACTTCGACGCCATTACTGAAACGACAACCATACTACTCTGAAATATTGCACGTCTCCCCCAGCTCGTGGAGGTCATCACCACAATGTCCATCGTATCGATCTCGGATGGTGTAGGGTAAGTAACAACTGTACAAGAACTTGGATCATCTCAACGCTAACAACCGACATAGCTCCAATATACGCGAAAAAGACTTACGGGCTTTCGCAGCCCAGCTTCACGTTGAGACCCTCGATGACAAGGATGCCGAGGATTACCTTACTCTGTTAAGGTCGCTTGAGGCAGTCTTGAGAAGCATCGACAATGCGCCCGACTACATTCCGCCAGATTTGCTTCCTCAAAAGACGCTGGAAGATCGTACTTTTTGGAAACCAGCATCAAAAGACAACCCCTTCAACGGCTGGAGTCACCAATGTGATATAAGAGCCGTGGCTCCGGTTAGCAAACTACTGGGTAGACGTACCCTTGCTATCAAGGATAACATATCTGTTGCAGGGCTACCGACCACCCTTGGCTTACCCCAGTCACTGTTCCCTCAGGGCAATGGGTACCCCATCTCCCCTGTTGATGCAGTCGTGGTGTCGCGGATTCTTGGAGCGGGGGGCACCATTAAAGGCACGTCAACTTGCGAAAGCTTTTGTGCGTCTCCCTTGTCCTTCACCTCGGCCACAGGACCAGTCCATAATCCGCATTTACACAACCACACGGCTGGCGGAAGCAGTAGTGGCTCTGCAGTCCTCGTCGCGGCTCATCACCTAACATCAAGAGGGGCCGTCTCATCAAGTGGCCAAACTGTGGAATTGGCTATTGGCACCGACCAGGCCGGGTCAGTACGAATCCCAGCTTCATACAATGGCATCTATGGTCTGAAGCCTACCTTCGGTTTAGTCCCCTACACTGGTGCGGGGTCCATGTCGCCCATGATCGACCACTTGGGGCCGCTGGCGGCCGAGCTTGAAGATATTGCCGTACTGCTGGAGGTCATGGCAGGCTACGATGGCTATGACCCGCGGATGACCCCTGAAACCCCCTTGGCACATCAGGTAAAGCCTTACCAGGAGCTGCTGCTCCAGGCGAGGCAAGAAATCCACTCTACATCAAAACCTGGTCACAAGCTGAGGGTTGGTCTACTGAAGGAATCTTTCAACGTCCCCGGAGTTGCTGCTGACGTCCGAGATATCGTCTACCAGACAGCAACGCGATACTTTGAAGCTGTCGGGGCCTGTGTCGTGGAGGTATCTATTCCAATGCACCAACAAGGTCCGGCAATCTGGACAGCAGCAACCAGGCCATCCATGTCCAGTTACCTATGCCAGGGCAACCCCTCCGGTCACCTTTCCTTCCTGTCACCGCATGCGCAGATCCAATGGCCTCCCTCCCAGGAAACATACGACACGCTGACGTGCACCAATCCAGCTGTAGTCAACATCATGCTGAGCGAGAAGTTGGTTCAGGGGTCGTCGAAAGCAGGGTTAGAGGCCAAGGCCCATCGCATGGTCTTTGCCCTCAGAGCTGCCTACGATTCCGCTCTGGAGAATGTTGATATCCTTGTCACGCCTTGTGCGCCGTCCGTCGCGATGCCGCACCCGGATCTAAACGGTCTCGATGGGAGACCGGCCTCAGTCCTAGATAGACTTGGTGTCGCCGTTGGCTTGACCAGCAATACCTGTCCCTTTAATGTTACTGGCCATCCCGCGTTGAATGTCCCTTGTGGTTTCTCTACAGCCGAAGGTCATCCTGATGTCCCACTGCCTGTAGGTATGCAGATTGTGACAAGACGTTGGGCGGATGAACGGCTGATTGAGGCTGCGGCATTGTTTGAACTGGGACGACAGTTATTTCACACCGCGGTGGATAGTAGCAAATAGGTATTGTCCTTGTGTGCCCTAAGGTATCCAGTGGAAGCAGCACCTGTAGCTAGTTTGTAGATAGTTTACTCCCTATCTCCCTTCTTTTTTCCAGCCCTCGGTCGATAGCGAATACCAGTTGTATTGTTCTCCCTCTCCTCCTCTGCCGCTCCACGAAGATATATCCCGCATAGAAGCGTATATTATTTGATCAAGCCGCGCTTCTTCAAATTCTTGAAGTTGCCCAAGTCCCACCGGCGTGATTGAGCCCAACTCGCTTCTCGTGATAGTGGCGCTTGTCGGGTTGTCCGAAAAGACCACACGAGATCTAGTTTTATGGAGATTAGAACATAGTACTTTGTGATATATATACAAAATTTTATCAGGATACGATACCTAATAATTAGTCGGCTAATTACCCTGTCATCCAACCGAACTTTCGTCATCATCAATAACAACAACCATCCACACGCCAATCCGGCCATTATCCGACAGCAGAGGCGTACAATGAATCCAGCGATGACGGCCCTGGTTGTTGAACCTGCTCATCCATTTAATACGGGCTGTCACACTTCGCCCGGCTATCATGGCGTTGACAATATTATCGCGCTTCGCACCTGTCTCGCCGATGCGGTTTAGGAATGAGGATTGGAGCATGCCTGGGATTTGGAGGGAGGGGGAGGTGAAAAGGATTCTGAGAGAGGGGTAGGGGCGGACGAGGAGGTACTGGTTGGCCTTCTGTTAGCTTTTTGATACATACCCCGGTATTAGGACAATAAAGAACATACTTTTTTGTATACACCAGTCAATGACAGACTAGGAGATGGGGTGGGTGTAAGGTTCGGTGGCCCTTGGGATGGGGCGTAGACCTCGCTCTCGGTATCGGAATCTTGGAGGAATAGACGGTGGTTTGGATATTCATTGATGATCGGCTGGAAGAGGTTTCCGCCGTGCTCGCGCACGTTCTGTAGCTCGCGAGGACTAAGGAATTCGACTAGTTCTTGGAACTCGCTTTTTGATTCTTTGATTCTTTGGCTGTCCGTCCCTGGGGCTTCCTTTTGCGCTTGCATGTTTTGGAAGGATTCCATCTGGGCGCCTTCCATTGCGAGACCGGAGACGTCGATTTGAGCGCCAATGAAGTAGCGGATGTTACCGCGACTGTCGCATAACGGAGCAATTTGGAGAAGGTTCATGAATGGTGAGCCATCTCGGCGGCTGTTTTTTTCCCCAATTAACTTTGCACAGTGAAATGAGTTGAAGGTGCTCACTAGTTCAGGAAAAGCTCGGAGTGGTGTCGCCCAGCTTTAAGCGCTTCTCGGATTCTTCGAACACTGTTGGGGTTCGTCTTTGGTCCTTGCAAGAATCGACAGTTTCGTCCTAGGACGTAGTCCATGCCATATTGTGTGGTGCGGTGGAATCCTGGATGGTCGGTTAGACAATGCTTCTATGAAGAATGTGAAGTACTAAGCATAGACATACCCCCAGAAGCAAAAATAATAGGATTATCTGGCTGTGATGGATCGGTCAAACAGAATACCTCACCGAGTGCATCTGCCGTTCCCTTGAACTTATCAGGCAAGGTTCCACGCACACGCTCCTCGACTACCTTGCCGGTGATGTTGACACAGGTAGAAGTAATAAAAGCAGGTAATTCCTCAGCGGTCAGAGCGTCCAGCGCTGCCTGTACACGCTGTTCAAGGGCAATATTTGCAGTCGGACCAACGGGGTGTTCGGCTGTCTGAATGCCGGATGTAGGTACATCAACTGCCAGACGCACGAGCGCATTCGCATATTGAATTGCTTTGAGAGCCTTGGAAGCATTCAGATAATAAGTCAGAGTAGAAAATGAACTGGGACGCTCCTGGGCAAGGAACTCGCGAAACCGCGCGAGGTAGCGTGGATTGCTCAGAATCGCTAGCATATGGTCCGAACAGAACATGAGGTCTGCTTGTCGCTCTATGGTATGTAGTGGGGCTGCATCGCCCTCGTATGGAGCGACCAGATCAAAAGACGCTTCCTCATTGGTAATAAAGTTGCCTTGCAGCGATCTGTTCGAGGCAGACGAATGTAGATCGCGGGTGGATGAAGTAGGCGATCTGCATCGTTAGTGACGAATTTTGGCCGTTGGGAGGGAGTCTTCGGCCTTACGCTAGATAGCCACCCGGTGGCCCACCCATAGAATGGTAACCCGGCGATTGGTTACCGACAGACTGTTGGTTCAGAGATAGGGTGCTGAGAGATGGCTGGTGAAATGTTTGACGGCCTGTTGACGTCGAGGAGTGCCTTTTGCGCCGTGGTTGCTGGCCGATGGCGTGGTAGCCTAGATCTAGGGTCGCAGTTGAATCTGCGACTGATTCTTGGTCGACAGAGGGTTTGCGACCAGGCTGCTCGCTATTCCAAGTGCTATTAGAGACACTATTGGTATTGAATCTAGGCATCGAGCGCTCTTGCGGTCTCATATGTGGTCTTCCAATAGCCGGCTGGCCAAACGCTAGCAGTTCGTATACTTGCCCCACGGAATGCGAACGTGAGGAATTTCGGGCCGAGGTTTTGAAATACGCGCCAAAGTCATCTGGCTCGACCATAGTGGGCGTAGAAGACATGGCAGAATGTCTCCTGTAAGGACGATTATCTGGGATGCATGGCGGTTCCATGGCGGCCTGACCTGACTACTTGAAGCGAGGGATCGGAATTGAGGTCTGTTTGTCAGACCTCAAGTCTTTTAAAGAAAAAGTGAGATTCATGATTAAATCGTGAGCCGAGGCCGATCGGTGGTTTTTTTTTATGGTCGCCCATGGTTCTGGTGAAACGAGAGCGAATGAACCCGTTTTAAGAACTCCCCTGGTCCCAGTTGGGAAATGATCGACGGCTTCACTTCCAGATCTGATCGGATCGGATCTTCAGGTCCAAGGATTTCCTGCAAAGTCAAGTGGCTTAGTGATGTAATAGCTTCTGGGGTGTTTGAATTTGATTCTTGGAGATCTACCATAGCGTATCCTGTGAGAGGGTCGGCTTTGTCCTTTATTGGGGACTTGAGGAATTATGGGGCAATTCCTTTCACGGTCGCAGATCGCCAATGTGAATTGGGGTTTCTCTCGAAATCCCAACCACAGGCAATATACAGGACTGCGGTGCGTCTCTTTTCTCCCTTCTTTCTGAAAGAGGCACTGGTCTTATATTAGTTGTATTTGATCAAGTCATACATGGACAAAAGCCGTCAGTTGTATTCTTCTGTAAATGATGTGCTAGCTTCCCTCTTCGTAACTTCCCAACCCTAAGCGCAGACAGCATCGGATTTTGGCTGCCTCGGTTGAATGGAAAGATCAAAAAATCTGCGCTTTATTCAGAATGCGAGTTCTATGTGACAGTGAGTGTTGTGGCGAATGCCTTTTCCAAATGTAGCGTGCTAGCTAATTCTTTCACAACAGACCGATTCGGTCATCGCGACAACGGAAATCCACGAGAGAGTGTGCTTCATGAGCCAATCAGTTTCAGTAATGAGGCCGAAGGGACCTCTGAGTTAAATTGGGTCGTATAATTTGCATAGGTCGGGGATAGATTTGGCATGGCGTTGCCTGTCATTTATATGTCATACCCGATTGCATATTTCGTATACCGTATGCGCGGTTCCATTTCCTGTAATTGTGGATTGATCTATAGGGTAATTTGGACTAGTTTATAGAGCAAACAAGTCCATTGGTCACTTACACATACCCCGGACGATTTAGGGCATGGGGAGCGGCGGTACTCTTTTAGATGACGCCGTCGCTTATGGATTATGTCGTTAAGCGCGCGTATTCCTCATAGATGTCGTTCCCTAACCTTCTTGGGTGACCTGCGTGGGCTCATGATTAGTCGTCAATTATGTTTCTCTCCCCCACCCAAATACTGTATCATCCCCAATCCCTCTCATGCATCAACCCATCCATCCAAGCCAGCATGTCACCTCAGAAGTTTTAGCGCAAGCTTATTCCTCCCCATGCATAATGGGGTTGCAACTGCCTGTGCATACATCAGGGATGCAAGCAGATTCCCGCTATCCCCACGTTTTCCACCGGCAAAGCTCCTGATCCCCGGCGGGGCGCGCCGCGTCTTGGCGTAATTCGACACGCTCATACGTCGCCTTTCCCGGCTATCATGTCGGTGAACCCGGTGATTTCTTCAGTTTTCCCGCGTCGCGATAAGAGCTAGAGGATCATCACGCGGAGGTAACATGATCGTACTTAATCAAGGCATTACGCGGGATTTATTATCCGCGTGAATCCCTTCTTTTTCCTTTCTTTTCGTTGACACTCACCTGTTACCGTGAGCGATACACGACTCCGAGTCCATTATGAGCGGACCTGAGATTATATCTGCCTCTGCGCCGGTCGGGGGTGTTGGAGATGCCAAAGGGACCGCGCTTATCCAGGTTCAGAATGAGGATGAGCTTCGGTTGGCCCAGATGGGCAAGTTTTCGATTTCATGATCTTGGGAGATATGGTATTAACCGTGGCACAGGGCATAAACAGGAATTGGACCGACATTTCTCTCTTTGGAGTTTGATCGGGCTGGCGGCGAATTGTACTATTTCGTGGACAGGTCAGTTCGGTTCATTCAATCGATGAATACCCAACTTACATGATGATAGGCCTCGGCTTGGGCTTAATCACTGCAATTAATGCAGGTGGACCTGGTGCCCGTGAGTTTCCATTCCATATGAATCGCAAAGAAGCCAGCAAATAACCAGGCTTCAGTTATATATGGCTTCATCCTCGTTTTCATCCTTCAGTCCTTCGTCGGCGCTTCACTCGCAGAATTTGTATCAGCCTATCCGACAGAAGGAGGAATGTACCATTGGATTGCTGCCATTGCTCCCAAGCGATACAACAGTCTCCTCAGCTTTGCCACAGGCTGGTGCACTGTATTTGGATGTGAGTTGGCCCGACATCAGAAGTCTTGGCGTGCAGCTAATGAAGCCTAGGGATCTTTACAACTGCATCAACCAATTTGATCTATGCCACAACAGCCATGGCGCTGATTGCTCTTTACCATGATGGCCTGGTGGTTCAACCATGGATGACTTTTGTCGCATATCAGATCCTTAATATCATCACTGCGGGTGTTGTCATGTTCGGCAATCGATTTATTCCCACAATCAACAAGTTCTCATGTGGGTTGGCTCTTCTTCCTGTATGGTTCCATAACTAATGACTGTTAGTGGTCTACCTTCAATTGGCCTGGTTTATTACCATGGTTGTCGTCGCCGCCAAAGCGCCGCTTCATAATGACAGCAAATTTGTGTTTCGTACCTGGATTAACGAAACGGGCTGGGACAACAATGTTATCTGCTTCATCACAGGCCTTGTAAATCCAATGTACTCACTTGGAGGTCTGGATGGAATCTCGGTCAGTTATACCCATTGCCAAGGTGTACAGGCGAACGCAGACACTGACAATACCATATAGCACATCACAGAGGAAATGCCCAATGTAAGTTGAGACGGATCATAGACAAAGAATCGTGTCCATTGTACTAACCAATGGTTCATAGCCGGGAAGAAATGCTCCCTTGGGTCTAGGTTCGTTCGGTCATATTGTTGCTTGCATTGGAAGTCAAGGCTAACTGTATGCATCAACAGCCATAACCCTATCAATTGCCTTTGTTACCGGCCTATCATATCTTCTCAGCCTCATGTTTTCAGTTCAGAACTATGGCAGCTTGGCTGACACACATACTGGACTTCCTCTCGCCGAACTCTTTTGGCAGGCAACCTCTACAAGAGGTGGAGCATTCGGCCTGGTGTTCATGGTATGGATTGCCCTGGGGCCTTGTGTCATCGGTTCGCAGTTGAGTGAGTATTGCTCATTTGTTATCGATAATGGGCCTCCTTCTGACTTCGATAGGCACCGGACGCGTATTCTGGGCCTTTGCCCGCGATGAGGGTTTGCCCTTGTCAAAGATATGGGCGCGCGTCAACCCTAAATTGGGCTCTCCGTTTAACGCGCAGCTCTGCGTTGCCGTCGTTATCGCCCTTCTTGGCTGCATATATTTGGGATCGACCACAGCTTTCAATTCAATGATGAGCTCCGCTGTGTATGTGTGCTGGGTACTACGAAGCAGTGTGAAAAAGGTTAGAACTGACATGCATATAGGACAATCAACAACCTGGCTTACCTTGTGCCTATTCTGACAAATATCCTTTTATTCCGTCGGACCATGCACCGTGGCCCGTTCTTCATGGGCCAGACAATAGGCATGACAGTGAACATCATCTCTGTGGCTTGGCTGCTGTTCGCCATCATCTTTTTCTCGTTCCCCTACCAGATGCCTGTAACTGGTATGTGTTGCAACGTCAGATAATTCCCCTGGGGTTCGCATAAGTATTGTGCTAATCATCACCTAGTATCGAACATGAACTATACCTGTGTTGTTGTGGGGGGATTCCTGAGTATTGAACTTGCTTGGTGGCTTATTGCCGGAAAGAGATATTCCGCAACTGTCCAACGAGCCAGGGAAGAAGGAACGTGTGATACCGTTGTTATCGGCGATGGGAAATCCGACAATTGATGCTGTGACTGTAACATGTCTCGCCCTGGTCCGTCTTATAAAGCCTCGCTTCGCACCTCCTACAGCCAGAATTCCATCCATAACCCCTCTCTATCTCTCTCTCTCTCTCTCTCTCTCTCTGTCTTTCTTTCTTTGTATATTTCCTTCCATCCTCATCAACCACACTTTCGTTCAAATCCCATCATTCTTCTCCATCATGTCTTCAGCCCTATCCATCAACACGATGTTCACCCCAACTCCAACTCAGGCAGATGACCTGCCACCTTTCCAACCCATCCGGATCGCTACCCGCAACGACCCTTCCAGTGTCTGGGGCTTTAAGCACTGGTTGCATGAGGTTCAGCTCGCCCTTGCAAACCTCAATCTCTTGGCTGTCATTAGCCATGGAATCCAGCGTCCCACCCCCCAGCACCTCCACTATGAGAACTGGTTGAAATGGTCCCGCTTCATCGGTCATTGGTTGGTATGTAATGTGGCAGAAAGGAACGCCGCTGTTATTCACTCGGTCTACCCTCGCCTTCAGTTCGCTGACGAAATGTACCACTGTATTGGGCACTTACAGTTGACCGAGGAAGATACTATCAGACGCGCGGAGTTCAACAAGCTTTGGTCTATGACACGACACCAATTCCACACCCTTCACGACTACATTTCTGCCTGGGGCGCGCACGCTATGTTCTGCGCCCAATTCAACCCCAATCTCAACTGGTACGCAGTTACTAAGATGGTGCTTGGTGAAGTCAAGGAAGAGATTCCGGACTTGTACAACTTCATCGACTACCAGATCAGGACTGGCGATACAAGTTGCAAGCAGTTCCATGGCCATCTCACTGGCATCCTTGACGCTCTAAAGAAGCGCACCTAATCATCCTTTCAGGATGGAGATTGGTAGGTTCCTTTCTCTTCTCAATGCATGGGTGTTTACTAACTTCTCACTTTCACCTCACAGCGTTGGTACCATTGAATGCCCTCATGGTTGGGGGAAGGGACGGGGAACAGGGAGTACCATGGCGATGTTGAGCCGGTATGCGGGGCGCGGGGGGCTACGTGAGCCATGGGCCATTCATTTGTGATACCTGGGAAAACCCACTAGCCTAGTCCTTGAATATGAATCCCCAGTTTCATCTGTGCTCAAGTTGCTTTTTTGTCCATTGCCCTAGATAATGCTCGCTGACTTCCAAGTCACTGAATATCCATTTCCTCTGGCATTGTCCATTGAAGATAGACAGTATCAATCCTAGGAAAACTCTATCAGCTGGAAATGTCTATCAGTCCTACCATATAATAATCGACTCACCAATGACCCATCTTTCTCCCAACGTTCTCCAATTGCCCTTTCTCAATGAATCCCCATTTCATGCACCATTGCCTCAGCCTCTCTCCATCAGCTGGAGCCTCAGTGTCGTAAGGTATGATTGCAATGATATTCCGAACAAGAGAAGTCTTCATGACACCCATGGAGCTACCAAATCCAATCCGTGGAATATCGCCCACTCTTTCCTCGCAGCGGTGTTCAACTTCACCCTCCTGCACCAGACGCAACAGCTTTCTAAGAATAATTGTTCCATAGCCATATTGCTGCTGGTCATAGCGCATGAAGATGGACAGCTCAACGGTCGGTGCATATGACAGCAAATGACCACGGAACGGAGACAAGTAAGCGTAGCCAAGAATCAAATCTGCTCCGTCTGGTGTCTTCCGCGTGTCAGACACAATGACATAAAATGGGAGGTTTCTTCTCATCAGATCCCGCAGGATATCCTCATAGTGGGATATCGGTGGTGGGGTAGTCGCAAAAGTGGAACAGCTGTTAACAATGTACCAGTGGTTGATATCCCGAACTTGTGGGATATCGGCCAGAGTAGCGGGGCGATTTGTGATCATGTTGTGTTTTATTGTAAAAATACAGGAATATAAATAGTGAAAGTGAAGGCGAAATTGAAGGTGAATGTTCGAAAAAAGAGATGTAAGACACGCGTAAGTGGGCAGACATGTTGATGCGGGACGTCAATTCCCTAAATGGGATTAGCGCATGCATATATACGCTAGCCACTTTAGGACTGGCGTGTACAGTCACCCACCAATCAGAAGTATAGGATCAAAAGAAGAAAGATAGATGTGCATTGGCTTGCGACAGCGATCGTGAAGTATTCAAGTTCTGTAAATATCGGACAAAAGGTACGATACACCATCCATTAGGGCTTGTCCCGCGCGTCGCGGCGCTTACCTCATTTGATCAGGTCTCTGTATTTTTTACGTCGTTGTTTTGTTGTCACCCTCGTCCATCGTTTTGCGAACCCTGGTTTCTCCTGCACTCCATATGTACCATCATGGCTTCTAACCGTGTGGCTTCTGAGCCTAGCGGCAATGGCCAGCGAGAAATTAGTAAGCACACAATCCGGCTCTAACTTGGAATATTCGGCTACACCAGAAAGGATCCTCTCTTCGACCAACGCCCACTAATGGGGACAAAGAAAGCGAGGATGAAAACCCCCACGTCACTCCCCCGGAGACGCTGGCTGCCGTCGTTGTAGCTGCTGCTGCGCCCGCGACTACGCCTACCGACGAGCTGCCCACTGTTGAGACTATCGAAGATGTCGCCGAACACACACGCGAGAACACGCGTGAGGCCGTCCAGCTTGCCCGTCCCCAGGCCGCCGCGCCAGGCAATGGAGAAGGAAGCAGCTCGTCACGTACCCGTCACCATCGTGACTGCATTGTCTCCCGCACAGTGAACCGTCATCCACCCTACCTGCCAGAGGCTCCCCACCCCCTGCTCGGACAAGTCTGGATCGATCACATTGTCAGTCCTTAAAGTCTCTCCCTCGGGAACCTGGTATGCTAATTAAACAACATAGGATTCCATGCTAGGCGTGCGCACCGAGCGTCAAACCGAAGACATGCAGTATTGCATTGAGCACACGGCCCGGATCCTTAACTTAGCCAACAACATGTTGAGGCAGCAGAGGGAGCTCTTGGCGGATCTGAGACACATCAATACCGACGAATACCACACTGACTCTTCCAGCGAGCTCACTGAACTTACCGAACTTATGAACTTCAGTGATCTTCTGGCGATGAGCGATGAGGATAAGAATGATGGCGAAGGTGATGACGATGGTACTGCTGCCAATGGACGCAGTACTGTGTATGATTAGTTGCCTGCTCTGTCTTATTCTGTCTTTCTCTGCCCAGTTCCTCATGTTCCCCATGTTCTGAGATGATCTTTTGTGATTTCGACATTGAATGCTTGTGCTGATCAAGATCTGCGTTGCGCTTTTATGTATGGCCCATTTCAAGCGCCCTTGACCTTGACGATACCAGTCTCTTTTCTTTGTCCATGAAATTATTTCTGTATTGTATATTCTTGATAATTCCGTAATTCAGCTAAGGACGCTTAGCTAAGCTAGAATGTTTGTATGTTGGTTAGCGAGCTAAGTGTATTCAGTGAGATACGTTGATACAAGAGAAGACAGCTAATTCCTACTAACCGAGTGAGGGACACACCCTGTTACTCCTGGCCTAAGGGAGATTGATATATAAACGTGGTAGTCGTTTCCTGATGGCCCGACCTTATATCTCCTGTGAGATAGCTTCACCGGTTTAAAGAGGGGATCAAGAAGAAGCTTTTTGTTTTGCATGGCAATTTCCATGCCTAATATGACACAAATAAGACGAGGGCATATCAGAGGTGAGAGCCGCGTGCGTTTGTTATTCCTGGTCACGTTTTGAAAGAAAGAAGATATATAAAAGAATTGGAGTCCGTAGTCCTTCTCTTTGGATCATTGTCTTCGGTTTATCGTAGGTATAAATTAGACCAAGAGCGTACCAACCCGTATAGCTGAGGAAGTGCGCTAGGGAATTTAAGCCTATTTATATCACTGGGAAAAGATTGAGGGCTCGGGTGCGGGGCGCTAGGCTCCCAGGGTAAAGTTTTACCTAGGGCCACTAGTCTGCGGGTAGTTATAAATGGTAGGCAACAGGTCCGCGGGGCCCGCGGGGCCCGCGGAGCCCCTGTTCGGCCCTCGATTCCGAGGTTCTAGTAAAACGTATGATTTTGTTTACTAGATCTATACGAGAACAAGAACTGTATTAATCGATTGACGAATTACGCGTAGTTATACATACCCCTTTACATAATACTTTGAAAAAATTTAAAATTTAAAATAAAACATGCGATAGGCTATACATAGAACAAGTGCATATCATGATATTGAACAATACGGCCGCAGTCCCCGCGCATATTTGATCGCACATGAATTGAAATAGAGGTCTGGGGCCCCAGGTTTCAAACAGCTTCTTGATTTCTATGGCAGTGATTTATCCGAATAGCGGCAGGTGTCCTACGGTCTTGCGTTGGAGTGGAACGTTCCATCGCGCCGATGGAGAAGAGGCCTTTCTTCCACATGACGAGGCTTCAGTGAAGGCCAAAACGGATACATTGCGGGCACATAAGAGATGAAACCCACGTGCATTTATTGTTCACGGTCAAGTCGTGCAGGCAGCGAAAAGAGATCCCAACCCTCAAAATTTCAGACCTCAGGAACAATACTCCAATATCTTTAATTCGAGCATTATGTTTTCTTCACATTTCATCCAAGCTTTTTCGTCGCGTCAAGCCCTTTCTCTGATAGGTCAAACCAGGGATCCACAAGGCTGGTACCAAAGACTGGTACCGGTAGATTACGGCATTCGTGGGCTGTGATTGGTGAACTTCATCTATACCCCTACTTAGGTAGAGGGTCTGCTATGGTAACACTGGAGCCTATGGACCCTGGAAAATGCCTCTGCCTAGTGAGACCCTTGTAGATCCACGGGCGTACCTACTGCTTACTAGATGTACGGGGCAAGTGCAGTGTAAAACTGGAATGGCTCTCGCCGTTTTTGACTTCCCCAATCTCTGATCGTTGACACTCAATTTGGTTTGTTTACGCTTCGTACTGTCTTCGATTCTCGTTTACCATTCTGCTCTTCCATTCTCAGCCTAAGTCTCCGACGCCCAAAGTGTCCGTGTCATCATCATGACCACACCTACAGAATCCCACGAGGAAACCACAATGACCAAGAAGAAGAGATCGCGCCGCGCACGAAAGGGGGGTGCTCCGGCTCCCATCGAAATCAAACAGAAAAAGACTTTATTTGTGGACGAGATAGGAGATGTCCTTGTTGACCAGTTGCTCTATGAGACGCCCAACTGCATCGATGATGATGACAACATTGTTGCCTCGTCACTTCCACTTATTGACCACTTACGCAACAACATCACAGCACGTCCCGCAGCCTCTTCCTGTTCGAGTTCAGCAACCTTCCATACAACATCCCATTCCAGCCCGGCGACTAGTGTGAACAGTCGGGAACGCTCAGTCTCTCCCTTGCGAATATCAGCGAAGGTCGATGTCCTCAACCAAAACAGTGATTGTTTCAATGCGAAAGCAGAAAGCCGAGACCAAGATGGGGTCTACGGACTGGACGATTTCGAAACAATCACAGCTATCCAAGAGATAGCTGCACTACATGGCAGAGTGGCGCACATGGGAATTCTCGATCACAGCTACCGATTCTTCGTGAACAAAGCAAGAACAGGAGCATTGTCATTTAAGCCCCAGAACGGAGTGCTTGTCATCGGCGGAGATCCATTATGCAACAAAGATGAAATCCCCGAACTCCTGTCAGAATTTGCAGCGTACCGTCAACGACATCACTTGAGCATAGCGTTTATGGGCGCCAGCGAGTCATTTCTCAACGACCACGCCAAACCAAACGGATGGACAACCATCCGTTTCGCCACAGAACGCGTACTCAACCCCCAGACAAACGAAGTCATCCTTGAGAACAGCGGGAAACGAATCTTGACCAAGAGCCGTCAGCTCATAAACAAAAATAAAGGCGGCATCACCATGGGCGTGTACGCCCCTGCCGTGCACGGCATCAACCAAGAACTACAAACTAACCTAATCACCATCTACGATTCCTGGCGCGCTGAGCGCAATGCCTCCACCAGCCCACAAGCCTTCATTACCGTCTACGACCCCTTTGCTGTCCCCGCCCTGATGACATTCATATACACCCGCGCCCCAGACGGAACAATCAACGGTTTCGCCGGTCTCCGACGCCTCGGCTCCGGCGGATACCATATCGACCCTTGCATCGCAGCCCCAGACAGCGTGAATGGAATCAGCGATCTCCTCCTCATCATGGCAATGGCACTCCTCCGACGCGCTGGTGTCACATACCTCGGCCTCGGCGTCGAGCCACTCCAATCACTCACCAGCGAAGATGTCACCGGCATGCCATGGCCCTGTAACAAATTCACACGCGGCCTGTACGGTCATGCATTCCATCGTCTCCCCATCGGTGGCAAGAAGGCGTACCATGACAAATTCCGTCCTGATCCAGCTCAGGATTCGGATCTTTATCTTATTTTCCCATCTGGCATACCCAGTCCCCGACATGTCCTCGCTATGACCCATATGGCTAATATCAGTTTGTGGAAAATATTCCGGGCGGATGTTGAGGCTTTTGTGTTGACTCGGAAGTTGAAGGCAGGTGGTGAGGTTGTTATGTCGGTTGGTGGGAAGAAGGAAGGTTCGACGGAACAGACTGATAAGGAGAAAGAGTTTGAGGAAGAGGTCCTTGCATTACACGCGCCTTGTGTGCTTTAGGCATTTCTCGTTCCTTTGTTGCTATGCTAGCCGTCCTGGACACTACATCATGCTGAAGGCGTTTTCTTTTACTTGCTTGCCCTGGTGTTCTTGCTGGGATATTTGTACTTTAGTGGCGTCATTGTTCGGTTCTCTGCGAAAATTCCTTGTTCGATTATATATGTAATTCTCTATTTCCATTATATTCAGTGTTTGCTTGCTAGGTAGCCATGTCCTGTGTAGCAAAGTCTCACTTGGTAAATAGGAAAGAGACTTCTCCAGTGGAAATGGAAGACTTCGCACTCGAGCTTGTTTTCAGTGCCAGTATCAGTTTGATGTGTGAATTATGATGTACAATACAATGCAAAATGCGATTCCTAAACGCCCAGCCATGTAACCTGTCCCGCATCACCGAATGAAGACGAGATAATTCAATTAAGACATGCGACCGAAGAGGAAGTCTTTGACGATAGGGGAACCCGAGAACTCTGGGTTTAAAAGAACACAGCTGAGAGGGTCTTAGTAATTGGCCTAGACAATGAAAGCATGGCAATGGAGGTGCGGTAGGATACTTACTTGAGAAAATATTCCAAGCCCACACGCCTTGATTCCAGGAATTTAGGTCGGAATTTATCTGTCATGATAACTTTTGTTAGTTATCTGGATGTCAATATAAAATGGAAGAGAAGCCTCAGGAACATACAGATAACACTCTTCGGAGGCAGTGCGGGCAATGCATTCCTCGCATGCGGGAAAGAATCAACTAGCCGCTGACGCAGGTCATCGAACTCGGAGTATCTAGAGCAAATCCAAATATTAGCTGAACATTCTCTCATCCCAGGACAGAGATGCAAAAGAGGGAATATAAGCAACACACCTCATCCGGACAACAATCGGTCCGCCCTGTACCAAACACCAAGATTAGAGGACCATCCCAACCACACAGGATCCAAAACTCACATCAAGTGTCTGAACTGTACAGTTCCACACAACATACGACCCAACCCCAGTCATACCGCGCACAACAACATGATCATCAATCGCAACACTACTCGCCCAGAGCCCCCGACTTGTCTCCGAGTTCGGGTCAGCAGTATGATCCTCCAGGGTGATATGTGCAGCGCCACTCAGTGACGACTGGGATGCGTGCGAGGCATTGCGCTCGTGCCGGCGCCAGTAGGGGGGCACTACGGCGGAGAGGGGGCGGGATGTTGTGGACGTGGAGGATGCAGAGCTCTGGGGCTGGCCATTTTGGTCGTTGGTGTTTGTCGCGGTGGAGTTGTCATGGGTATTATCGGTATCGGTGTCAGGTTGGCGTGCGGGGAAGGGTTGGTTATCTAGGTGTGGGGAGGAGGGGTGTGGCTTAGATGCCGGTCCGGCCTCCTCGGGTGCTGGCTCCATCCATTAGATGCTGTGAGTGATAGTGGTGTCGGTGGTCTGTTTGGTGGCAACGGTGTTTTGTTAGCTTTGATGTCGAGGTTCAATGCATTTGAGTGTCGGTGTGGCTGGGGTCGGGGATGGCCCCGATGAGGTGGTCTTTCCCCCCATCATGCGGGGTGGCAAGTATAAAGTGCTGGAGGGAATCGAGCTATTTTGGACGGGGTTGAGGCCCAAGGATGGGTTGGACTTCGGGGGAGTCGTACAGACGATCCGAGGTGAGACAGACTAACCTTGAAAACAGTGTGTGGGGGCAAGATAGATAGTGAGTGCAAATTGTGTAGATAAAGTGTTAGGCTTAATCAAGAAATTCAATTGGAGTCGATTTGAGACAAACAGGCGGTCACGGGCTATGGCTGGTTCGGGGTTAGTGGCTTATCTAAGGCTGGGCAGATATGGAGATGCCAGCGAGATATCCAATTCCCTTTTGATTGGCATTTTCCGATTGTGTTTACTCCCTAAGATCTCAGATACGACGAGTATTTCAAACTTGTCTGCTTTTGATCTCGAACTTGAACCTCTCAGAATATCATCGGACTACTTAAAGCCAAGCTGCGCACTAATCCCAATATGGTAAGCGTTGCTTAGTTGCTTGATCGTCCTCTAAGCTTTAATTCTCTCAACTCAGACTGAGACATGCCACTTTCCTATCTTTGAACAGGACTGTCATGTCTTTGAAGTGGAGACCGGGGGCTGGATGACAGATGTGAGACACAGTGAGCTGTCCACCTAGGAAGGACAAACGTCGCTTCACTTGGGATCATCGAGATATCCCCGGATCGACACATCTCAAGGGCAAGCCCCTATAGCGGACCCTTCGTTCAATAAATCCACGCCTCACTTAGCGATGGATCTCACTTCTGAACTTACTTAGCAGCAAATACCTTGGGCTTACAAAAAAAGAAAAACTAAAAAAACTAAAAAACTTTCGCTGCAGTAAAACCGCGAGGGTGGCACTAGTGTGTGCCACCATGCAAACCAACTAGTCCATTCTATACATAGGCAGGTATAGTCCTGTGATTGCTTTTTTTTCCTTTATGAGCTCCCCACTCCTCCCTTGCTGGCTACTTTTTCTTTCTCCTCGAGCTACTTGTACCTATACATATTTACATCGTCAAAGAACAGCCTCTTGCTATTGACTTCAGACCATCATCTAACATCAATATCTCCTCTCTTCCTCGCCTTGTTCTAGAAAGAATCTAGGCATTCAAGCTCAGTAGGTTTCGAAACATTTCCTAGTTCCAATACAGCTTTTCCCCCTTCATTCCATCTACCCTAGGTAGCTCTCGCTATCTCTGTATCTGGGTTCTAGAGCGTGTATCAGACTGTCACTGGCATTCTTGACGACAAAAAGGCTTACAATAAAATATAGTAGCTGCCCGCTGCCAATCTTTGATCTCATCTTGAATTACCATCAGGTTCAACCGACACCATGCTCTCCATGACCATGTTCATCCTCGCTTCGGCTGCCACTCTGGTCAATAGCCAATTCGACCCTTCATCAGTTCCATATGCTACCAGAGGTTAGTCAATACCTTATATCCTCTCCCTGACAATATAAAATCATCATACTAACATGCAATCCTTCCCTCAGAGGCCTGGTGTAACTCCCAAACATCCGCATGTCCCATCCTCTGCCTACAACTACCAGGAGCCTCGGGCACACCAACATCAAACACTTGCTCACCTGTAAGTCCTTCACCTAGCATTACTTTGAGGGAAAAGGAAGTCTTAGCTAACCTCAAACCCTCAGGCCACACTACTCTACTACTGCCTATGCAGCAACAACGTAACCCCTAACGCCAGCGAATATTCCCAAACAATCCCCTACTACACCTGCACGGAAACCAACAATCAATGCGTTCTGAAATGCGACGGTAACTCGACTTGCCAGAATAACTGCAGAGTAAAGAACCCCTGTGGAGCGCAGGATCCCAAGCGTGTTAATGTGACTACCACTACCGCCAAAGCTGCTACCCCTACTGCATCAGAGACCCCTGTTAATACGCTTGTCAACGGAGCTACTGGTGCTGCTCCGCGCATGGCCTCGGTTGATATGAGTCATGTATATGGGCTTTGTGTTTTTGTTGGTGGGTTTGTTGCCGGCTTTGCTACTCTCTTGTAGAGTGTAAGTGTCTAGATATTGATTGGCTCGCCCTGGGGGGTTATGTTCAAGGGCCTAGTTGGTAATGAAACTTGGAGTTGCGGTTCTTCCTCGACGATTTACTAATATTGACTAGTCTGTTTTTTTCTTTGGTTTTTTGGGTTTGCATTTTCCGGCTGGATTAGCATTGAGCGTCTTGTTTTTTTTTTCTTGTTTTTTTTTTCTTGTTTTTTTCTCCTTTCTTGCCTTTCTTTTTCGCGAGTTTACAGAGAGTAATATATTGCTGTCCGCTCGTTCATTACATCCTCTTTCAACATTGCCTACATTGGTAGTGTATCCTTCTATAGAACATTAATTGGCCCTGTTTAATGCATGCATGGTTTATTTACATTCTCAAATTTCCAAGTACTATATCAAAATGTATTTATGGGTTTGAATGCACGACAAGTTCAATTGACCTCTGACGTTCATCAACTCTATATCTTTGCCCGCACCTTCGTGCTATCCATTCGCTGCCCTTCATCGTCTTGTTCGGCAACCTCCAGTGCTGGGAACTTGGCGGGCATAATCCGCCTCGGCGTTGATCCTGGGATTACAGAGTATTGGGAAAAATCAGAGACACCACATTTCTCCCGGAGGAAGTCCTCATCTGTATCCAGGAGGCCGTTCACTACTTGGTGTGGGGCACGTAGCATGGCCAGAACAGCATCTGAGAATATCGTCTGTTGCAGCATGTCAGCACTGAAAGACCAAAGAAAGTTCATAGTATAAGATGTCTGGCAATGGACATACCGGCTTTCTCAAATCCTTTTTGTAAGACGCATCGGAGCCCTTATTATGCTCTGTAGCTGCTGACACAATCGACTAGAAGATAATACAGTCAGCAATCCTGCAGACTCCAGCTCAGGATAAAATCATGACCATGACACATACCGATGCAGGCCAGATACTCGTCACCGCCATTTCATTTCGGCCTTGACGCACAAAGTCCATGGCCAGGCCTTTGACCAAGACGCTCATTCCGACTTTGCCTACATACATCACATCACACATTAGCACATAGAATCAAACACACTCTATGCCAACCCCCGGCCTCCAACCCCCATAGATCAGACACAAACTCACCCATCGCATAAGCAGTCTTCCCCCTAAAGAACCTCGAATAGATAGGCGGCGAAACAACAACAATTCGTCCTTTCCAGCCTGCCTTTTCAAAGAAAGGCAAAGCAGCCTGAACAGTCGCATAAAGTCCCTCAGGGTTCACCTGCTGCATAAGCTTAAACCGCTTGAGAGGCGTATTCTCAACAGAAGACCACCAGATCGCGCCGGAGTTGTACACGAGCACATCGAGCTTCCCGAAGATGCGCACTGTCTCCTCGACGGCATGCTGGATCTGCGCCGCGTCGCGCACGTCAACGGCGACCGTTGATGCGTGTCCGCCCGCTTCGCGGATCTCCCGCTCTACGGTGTTGATGGTGGACTGTGATGAGTTTGGGTCCGGTGGGAATGGGGTCACTGTTGATGCATCCGATGTGGTTTTTGCGGATAGCATTACTAATATTTGGTGTTAGTTTTCATGGTCTTGTTGATATATGTGGGTTTGCATGTGGTCTGTACCAGCATAGCCGTTCTTTGCTAGGTCGATGGCGATTTGGCGCCCGATTCCACGTGATGCGCCTATTATCAAGGCGACTTGCTGGTTTTGAGACATATTGAGGGGCTCGATCTGTTTTGTGGTTTGGTTATGTTCGTAAAAAGTTGCGTGGCGGGTTGGGTGACGTTCCGGTATGCTCGTTATATATATACTTCGGTATATGTGATTACTGAATGCCGAGCTCTGTCGATTATATATCTGGTTATGCAGTCGACAAAGACAAGGGTTGTAATCAAGATATTCGGGCCCCGGGTAGCTTTTATATAGCCGAAAGGTTGATGATGCTTAATTTCCTGATTACTCAAGTCCCGAGGTAGTGCCCGGACTCGTCGGTTGATTCCGTAATATAAAATAACGGGGTCCAATCAATGGGGTTCGAGCCTCTGTATTTCTGTATCGGCACTCCGTACAATTTATAGTTAACGTAATTTCACTACAAACCCTGTCACAAAATCTTTACCCACTCTCTACTTCCGCACCAAAACTGACTGACTCTGAAACCTATTCTTTCAATGAATTTATATGGCAATAATTCTTTAAACTTTTTTTTAATAAAGGATCAGTATCAGATTGACGAAATATTTCTCTCTAGATGATCGATCTAATATATGTGGCTGTTAAGTGGTAACTGATTGAAATATAAATATCAAGGTGAATCTCCATTATATATATAGTGTCTCCCATACTAAACTCGCGATTAGAATCATTTGTCAAGCTTTGAAAATTAACCGCTCTTTACCTAAAATACTTTCTTAGATAACTTTTATATATTTTACCCTACATTTGAAATGATAATGAATATAAAAATAATTAAAAAATATGTTACCATATAAATTTATTAAGAATAGGGTTCAAAGTTAGTCAGTTTTGGTGCGGAAATGGCGAGTAAAGACTTGATAACCCCTATAAATGCAATATATTATAACTTGATATCTCAACAATCACGTTTGTATTTGATTTCATTACCTATCGATAGCTATTGATAAAAATTTCAAATCATTTATATCAAGATGAAGAAAATCGAAGATGTACATTATTACGGCATTGAAAATTACAGTGTTAAACTCTAGAAATATATGTACCGCAATCACAAAGTCATATATATTTCCCAAACTCCCTACAGAGGCTAGAAATTACCTAAGAAGCATCTGGCTATAAGGAAATCTTTATATAGACTGCTGTTGTTGAGATATCAAGTTGTAATTTATCGCATTTACTATGTGTTTGGGGGGTGGCCGGTTCGGTGGTGTGGCCCGCTCAGTAGTGAAATATGTTACCTAGGTATGGGGTATTGATTACTTACAAAACATGTAGGATTAATATATCCTCCGGTATGCTGATGTCCTTACGCCAACATACCCCCTCAGCGATCCTAGTATCGGATTGCTGGACACTATAGACCTACATATTGATCTCCCTTTCCCTGTCTCTATAGGCTATTAGATAGCCTTTATCGCCTATCCTAAGCATCCGTATAAAGCTCTTATACTTCTGCCGAGAGAGCAATTCCGTAAGTCTATCGGACACTTTACTCGCTGTTAGAACCCATTTCACTTTACTACGTCTCTCTCCAATCTCTTACCTTAACTGGTGGCGATAAATATCGATATACTGGAGCTTCGTCTTAAACGGTATATCGTCGCTCGTAATTAGTTTCACCGTCCTCTCATTATTACACTGTATTGTTTTTGGTCGACCTTATCGAAGCCTTTAGTATCTCTAGATGACATGATGGAAGTCAAATCTGAGGCGAAGTAATTACAGAGCACACGATGTGTATTACTGTACTACATAGACCAATAGGTGTGTAAAGAAGTCCATTAGAGGCTTGATTGGAATTGAAATATAGTATAAAGAATTACAGAATGATAGTCTGCCCCTATGGTTCCATTGCCGGCATGGCATTTATGCTGATGGGGCTGTCGGCATCTGAACCGCCTCCATCTGTCGCTAGCTTGGTGTTGGTTCCCTCTTGGACAGCTTTACTTTCTTCCCAGCTACATCTCTTGTTAAGCAATGCATTTGTAGAAACGGCTGATCTTGTAGTGGATATGCCTAGTCATTCAAAAGGTGCCTAGACACAGCGGCCACCAAGAGTCGCATCCTGTGAGCCCTGTCGACTGTCTAAATCATTGGTAACCTTGCGTATGGTGTGTTGGGTGAGAAATTCCCCATGAGTGCATTTAGAGGAATAATGCTTTAAGATCAATATCAATCGCCTGACAGTGGAGGGAACATGATCAAGCATCCAGCACCTCCGCGCGGGCTTACAGATCGGCCGCTGCTAGACATACGTTTATTGGTTACCTAGGTAGAACGAGCGGCCCCACTGTCGGTATATCCAATGAAAGGCTTAGTATATAGCAGGGATGTCGGGGAGATCTGTGGGTCCCGCCGTTGGCCGCCCATGAAACGACAAGGAATCTACTCCTATTTGTCAGGGCCGGCCAAGTAGTAATTAGTTTTACTACCCCAATAGACATAATGAGTTCAAAAGCATAGAAATGCTAGGCTCTATTTATTTGCCTATCTTCCCTGACTAGCTCGCCATGTTCAACATTTGCCCTGTCTTCTCTTCGCTGGTTCAGCCGAAGAAATCCTAATTCTACAGGATCAACTACCAGAAAGCAAAGCTTCATGATGGCATCGCACACAGAGACAGAACATGGTGAAACCACTTTAGAGGCTTCCGGCCAAGTCACTCCTTCCACCGATCTCGAAAAAGGAGCAAGTGACCTTGAGCATGCACTCCCCGAGGAAGAGACGCGGCCGGGAGCAAAGGCTGGGCTGTCACTGAGACAGTTCTGGATTGTTATGTTCGGGTATGCCCCCTTGATATTCTTTATATGATGGTTACAGTGTAATCTAAGTATATTATCTACCAGATTGAATGTGGGAATGCTTTTGACCGCGTTGGATTTCAATATTGTCGCCACAGCTGTTCCCATTATCTCGTCGGAATTCAATGCCTACAGCAATTCCTCCTGGCTGGGCACTGGATTTCTCGTTACATTTGCCCTTGTTTTGCCTATCTATGGTAAGCTTGGTGACATTTTTGGGCGGCGGAACTTGTTCATTGTGGGAACCCTCATTTTCATTCTTGGAAGCGGCCTCTGCGGCGGTGCAAAGAGCATGAACATGTTGATCTGGTCCCGTGTGGTCCAGGGCATTGGGGGTGGTGGCATCTACGGTCTGGTTAATGTGAGTTGATCAAATTAAAACACTGGGAGGATGCGGAAGTTGATAAACTGACTGTCTCGGGAACAGATCATTGTCACAGACCTTGTTCCCCTTCGTGATGTCGGAAAGTACATCTCGTTCACAGGACTGGTCTGGGCTATTGCCGATGTTGCTGGTCCACTTCTGGGCGGCGCCTTTAGTCAGTGAGTGTCTCATGATCTATTTCATTAGGGCAACCCATACCTAACAATATTGGACAGATACGTCACCTGGCGCTGGTGCTTTTACATTAACCTGTGCATCTCCCCGATCAGTCTCATTATTACTGTTATCTTTCTCCGCATTCCGACCCCCAAAATCGACAAGGAGCGTATTAAAAACTTCGACGTCATTGGAAGTATCACCCTCATCGGTGGTACTACCTGTCTCCTTCTAGGCATTTCCTGGGGTGGGAACAACTTCCCATGGAACGACTCTCGTGTTATCGGCTGTTTCGTTGGTGGAATTGTATTGCTCGTGATCTTCGTGGTCTGGGAGCACTGGGCTAAGGATCCTTTTATGCCACCCGTGTTTCTCCGGAGCCGCGCTATCGTCGCTATCTTCTTCGCCGAGTTCTTTTACGGTGCCAACTTACTAGGAATGATGTACTACGTGCCGCAGTTCTTCCAACTGGTCTACGGCGACTCCGCCACAATTTCAGGTGTCGCTCTATTGCCGATGATGCTGGGTCTGGCGATTGGTAACCCTGTCGCCGGTTGGGCTACCAGCAAGTACGGCCTCAGTCTGGCCAACGCATGGGTTGGCGCAGCACTGACCGTATTAAGCAGCGGCCTGATCACGCGCTGGGCAGCGGGAACAAGCCGCGCAGAAGCGATCGTGGAGCTAATCATCCTTGGTATTGGGCAGGGTGCCGTTATGGAAGCTCTGCTGGTCGGGGCGCAGTTTTCAGTCGAGCCCATGCACATCGGCATCATCACGGGGTTGGTTATCTTCGTCCAGACTGTTGGTGATATCTTCGGTATCGCCATATACGCCGCAGTCTACCAGAACGTGCTGCGAGCCAAGCTGCACCACCTGGCCTTGAATGTTGAGCAGATTGGAACCATCCTTTCGGATATCCAGAAGGTAAAGACGCAGTTCAATGGTGAGATGTACCAGTCAATCATCGAGGTTTATGCGGAGAGCTTGCAGAATGGTTGGTGGTGGCTGTTTGCCTGTGCGGTATGTTTGTTGATCAGTTCGGCCTGTGCGAAGCAGCGGAAACAATAGACCTTGGCGAAAAATTGACCTTTGGGGGACGGGCTATCTACTTAACCTTGGTTAATGAAGGAGAGGTTATTGATGTATCATATGCCTAGCAGCCATCCAATAAGAATGAACTAAGGTTTCCCAGAGGCAACTAGTAGTCATCCTAGGATTCTACGGTAGAGTCCTCTAGGATCGTGTTTTTCCTGGTAATTCTAAATTCACATCAGCTATTTCCCCTTTCTTCGAATCATCCTTTAGGCGGACACTGCGCTGTTTACAGGAGAGTTTGAATCTCACATGGGTATGGAGTACAACATCGACCGCTCTTGGCCGCAAATAATCCAAATTTACTGGGTACGGATGCATATCCTATTGAATGCATACCCTATTGACGGAATTACAGATATGACTAGCGTACGGGCCAAAAACAATGGCCCGGAGTGCTCAGCTCGCATGTGGAATACGTTAGTAGTTAAGATTTGTGGTGTCCAACAATTCTTGGACCTGAATACATTATTACCTAAGCGTGCAGTCAGTCCACACTAATTCTAGCCGAAACAAAGGCCACCCTTATAAGTACAGAGTCATCTACCATCGACAGTCCACTACCCTTGATGTCCTAGTCCCTCCAGGGCTATTTGCCACTTCTCCTATCTATATATATCCTCTGCTGTATCCAATTTGCTAGAAACGTCCCTTTCTTTGGTGATATCCCGTTTAGTAGCCCCGATGGTCACACATCCTCGTCTCTCTCGTACCCACCCGGTGTCGGAGCCCCCCAAGGACCACAATCAGTTAACCAAGCCACGGAAACAGGCGTGTTTAGTATGTTCCGACACCCTAACTGCCTATGCTGAATTTGGAGCTAAAGAATAATCCCCATCAAGGCATGTCGTCGACGAAAGAAGCGTTGTGATGTAAGCCCCACACCGATCACCTGCACCCCACTGGCAGAACCCAGGCGCCGAGGCTGACTCTGGTGATACAGGGCCATCAGCCCGCCTGTTCGGCATGCAGTGGTTGGAAGATGGAATGTGTCTACGCTTCAGGCTCCCTGGCCCCATTGGATCATGGGATTCCCACCTCTAACAGCGTTATGGAGATGGACTTTGCCGCCTTTGTTCAAGACCTACCTAATACATCTTTTGATTTCCTACCGGAATTATTCCCACTTACCTCAGATACTACCCATAAGGTGTTGGGGTGCGGCGAACAATCTCCAGACAGTTTGACCCTGGTCGATCCCTCTCGCTTATCCTCAACGAACCTGTCTAGCTACCATACGGTCCCACTACCGTCCCCCGAGCAAAACATCCAGCTGATAAATGAGTTCTTTGATCGTTCTCATCATCTATTACCATGCATCCATAAGGAAACTATTCTAAATCGTTCGCGGGGATCGCAGGGCCTAGCCTTATCGACGCCGTTGGAATGGGCCATCTTGGCCACTGCCGCAAGGACGACTCGTGGCGCGATGGTCTCTCGAGCAGACATCTTTCTACAAACTGCCGTTGATTCACTCGCGCAAAGTCCTATTACACAGGTGGGTAGTTACGATGCACGGTCCGACTTTTTCACAAACTGACATAATGGTAGGAAAATGTGTTGCGGGATTTACAAGCAGCTGTGTGGTGTGTATTTGCGCTCTATCATTCGGGTGCGATTACCAAGGCCGTCGTGTTGCTGGCGCAGGCATACTCCCTAGCATGCTTGAATGGATTAAATAGACTAGATGACCCCAACCCGAATATGCTGACGACTATACGGTTCTCCCCATTAGAAGAGGAAGAATGCCGCTGCACACTATGGGCCCTTTTTATCCTCGACCGGCAAATAAACTACCTGGTGGGCCGCCACTTCGTCATTGACGACATGCTCTGGTGCGTGAATTACCCTTTAGACAACCGGTCTCTTCAAAATGGTCTACACATAGACTTTGAAGGATACGATCGAGATCTTGCAGCATTAGCGTCGGAGAAAACCAACGTTCCAATCGGAGCTGCTTTGACTCGTCTAGTATGCAAGGCTAGCGTCATTCTCGGCCGCATTGTTACGTACAAGAATATCAAGCCTATGCCTACAAGTGCGGACGGCGCCCAGAGCCGCCTGGCGGAATTCCACGAGCTCCAGTCTGCCCTCGCATGCTTCTGGCTGTCCCTACCACCCTACGTTCATAATATTGCCGAAGTGCCACCTGAGAACGCCAGCCAAACTTTCTGGTTGCTGATTGTCGCCCACACCTGCTCCGCAATTCTTTTCTACATCACCGAGGTAGAGCGCCGCGGCCCCGGAGGTGCCAATCTTCCGACCGAACGGGATAATTTTATTTGTACCTATAAATCCGTGAACAAGGTTGTGACTGGGCTTCGTCAGGTCTCGAGCCTCGCAATTGATGCGGTCTTAAACCCGATGCTAGCACCGTCATACTTTATGTGTTGTCGCTTCATTCTGGCGCAGTGGCGCCTATCGCAGCAGGGGTCGTACCGCTTGGATCTGAACCTCGTTTCAAAATTGCTGGAACGAATGTCCCAGGAACAGGCGCAACTGCCGCGGATCTATAAAGATATTATTGACCAGGAGCTGGGTAGGCATATGCAGCCAGGAGGGGCCGTTGTTCAGTTCTCATTACGTACGGATTATTGCTTTGTGATTTAGGGTGTTGTATCCGATTTACAATCCTCAATAACCGATGATTGATTCTTTGTGTCATGGACTTGGCCGATTTCGGTGCGATAATGCTAAAATAATCATTGCAAAGCGCTTCATGTTTATAATGGATATCTCCACGGGTATTGGTTACAAAAGTCGAACGTGTTGAAGTCTTGGGTGACTATGACTAAAGGAATGAAGTTGGCGAAACAATTCTTTCCCAGAGAGAACCAAGTACGGTGTCCATTAATCTTAGTGACACCGTTAAAATACGCACGACTTGTATCTACGGCCCTAGACGATATTGAAGGCTTCCTCCTACCACCTCCCTGTAAGAATTCTCTAGATTAAATGGGAGCTCACGGGGGCTCATAGTGAACGTCGGATTCTGATTCTCCGTGATATATAGATATTGAGTGTAGTTTAGTATAGTATTTTCTTTTGGCCAAGAAAGCTATATAGTTACGTGGTATGCCCAAGTGATTGGACTAAATTATGTAAGCGATTTGACAAGCCTCCCCGAACTGGAACCTGCAGAAATACAGACTCGAACCTCATTGATTGGATCCCGCTATTTTGCATTACGGAATCAACCTACAATTTAATATCCAAGCCCACGAATCTACATGTAGCCTTCAATGGCTCAATACTTCCATTCTAGTATGCTTTTTGATGATGAGAAGCCCTTTCCGGTAACATGATAATAAAATTAACCTGCCAATAGACACATACTGTGACAGATCGAGCGACATCTAGTTTTCCAGGTCATCCTTTGGCCTTTCGGGTCTTTGAGGTTGTTAAAGAAGATACGTGAAAAATGGTTAGTTGCTCTCAGAGAATCACATTCTGTTTTGTCCTATCCCTGTACATGTAGATCCTCATTTAGTTAAGTGCATCATGTTCATTGAAGGAACCCCTGGATAGCGGTGTCGTGGGCGGTCAGATCCTGCCAGACAATTAATCACCCATCACAATGATCGACCGACTTGATTGTCACCCACCTCTCGTGCTCTCTGCCCTAAGCAGCATATTGTTCTTAACGTTCAAATTAGTTGCTGGATTCCTTCGCCAAAAGTCTAGCTTATTAATCAAGCTCTAGTTTGCTCAGATAATTTGCTAGTCCTACTTTCCCCCGCAACGCATCATCTGAGCAGCTCGACAAGATGGATACTACGCTTCCAGATGCTTCTGGCCCGTCTCGGGCAGATATTGATGCTGCAGCTCTGGAATCTACCACAGCTGTTGCTACCCCTCGAGCAAGGGTACTTGTGAAAGTGGAAGGTTTGTTACCCCCGGCGTGGGGCTATCTCCGTCATGATGTTGTGCCTAGACACCGCTGACATTCTTAATTCGGCAGAGCCTCCCAAATTCGACCTTGACACTTACATTGCAAACTACACTGGTGAGTGACGTTTCTTGTCTCCAGGCAGACTTGTTATTCTAACATGACCAGGGCGCACCCGTTACGACCGTCTTTACCTCATCGGAACATGCTCCCCATTACTCTCGACCGACGCCCTCAAGGCAGCTATCGCCGAAGCTAAGACCAGCAAAGATGTTTCTAGATACGAGAGGGCGGTTCGAGCCCTGGCGGATGTCGCTCCGAACGATCCTGACGCTTCTCTTGACGCCGCCTGGGTCCAAGAAACCAATCGATACGTACAGGCCCAGACTGAGCGATTGGAACATGAGCTGCGGGGATACAAAAATAATTTGATTAAAGAGAGCATCCGGGTAAGACGTGGAACTATTGTGCTGAAAGCGTGGTACTGACCTCTATAGATGGGCCACGAGGATTTGGGCAATCATCATTACGAGACTGGTGACCTGACTGCTGCCTCCAAGGCTTACTCTCGTATGAGAGACTACTGCACTACCCCAAACCACATTACTTCTATGCTCTTCAAGATGGTCAACGTCGCTACAGAACGCGGTGACTGGATGTCTGTGCAGTCAAATGTGCACCGACTGCGTAACTCTCAGTCAAAGCCAGAGGACGCAGCCAAAAACCTATCTAAAATCTCAGCCGCTTCGGCTCTGTCACAGATGCACCAAGGCTCATACCTCGAAGCAGCAAACTCTTTCTTGTCCGTCCCGCCAGAGCTGAGCGACACCTACAATGAAGTCATCACCCCCAACGATGTAGCTGTCTACGGTGGTCTATGTGCTCTCGCCTCTATGAACCGCGACGAGCTGCAGAAAAACGTGCTTGACAGCCCGACGTTCCGCAACTTCCTCGAACTCGAGCCTCATATCCGCCGCGCCATCGCTTTCTTCTGCAACTTCAAGTTCCGCCAATGCCTTGACATTCTCGAAGCTTATCGCCCCGACTACCTCCTCGACATTCACCTTCAGCGTCACATCCCGCAATTGTACAAACGCATCCGCACTAAATCCATCGAGCAGTACATGATTCCCTTCAGCCGTGTCACACTCGACTCCATGGCGAAGATCTTTGCCCCTACCGTCGTTGGCGGCGAAGCGTGTCCCACGGACATTTCCTCGCCGTTTGTGCAAGAACTGGTCGGCCTCATTCAGGATGGTGTGCTGAACGCTCGCATCGACCTCGAGAAGCGATTGCTAGTGTCCAACCAGATCGACCTACGGGCAGAGGTGCAGCGTACCACGCTGGAGAGCATACGTGAATTTAACCAGGAGGCCCATTGGAGGATTCTGCATACTGCTGTCTTCCAAGCAGGTCTAGAGGTCAAGCCGGAAAAAACTGAAGGACCTGGAGTAGGAAAGGGTGCTCGATTTCCTCGAGGCCCGGGTGGCAATTAACTGATGGAGACAGCACCGACCCTTCGACTCTAGGTGATCAGGGCGCATGAATGATGACGAATGAGATAATACCCCGATGATCCAGCTGCGATTGCAACTGCATTGCAGATACTGTCTGACTTACAGAAATCAATTCAATTCAACTCTCAGCGAGGTATTCCTGCACGTAGATGATGTCTACTTCAACACAACCAATAATAGTAAACCACCACAACCAGCATGAAACATCGCACAAACTGGCTCATTAGAATGGTCACCGGATAGTTGAAAACATCTTATTCTCACCTTGTCCGACCTTTGACAGGATATCAATCCCGCCGATCCACTCCGGGTACTAATCCTTGGCGCCGTGCAACGCGATGACCCGCAAAACCCACAGTACATCCCAGATGTGCTCCTATATTGTTGCGAGGATGGAAATATCGACTGGCCATCTATTCTCTGAGGAGGGAAATGGGAATCGTCACCCAAGTGGTGCATTATTTTACCGCTCAGACATGCGAACCAATATCTAATATATACCCAGGCCAAGCTGGGGTGCTGGGGATATTGTGTACAGTGCCAATTCTCAATCCCTCTCAGCTAAGCTAGAAACGTTGCACGGCTCCTCCATGCTTAGTCACCTCACGCTCCTTGGTATTGAATATTTGGGGAATATGTGCTCAAAGCCAAGAGTGTACTTGCATCCATGTACGAATCCCACAGTAATACATGGGCGAGGATGTGCTTCTCCCTCAAGGCATCGGGCTGTGATGAGGTCTCGAATCTAGTTATAGGAACACCCTCACTTTCTCATGGAGGGGGAAAGTTTGTAGCATTCTTCAAGATTTACACACTAGCCTTGATTTTCTGTTGGCAAAAAGCGCGATTGTGCAAGCCCCTGTAGAATATTAGAATTGGCCATATACTCCGGCACTTTTCCTTTTTTGATATTGCTTGTGATACACTGGTAAAAGGGATAATTCTATGAGAATTGGACTTCTTTCGCTTAAGGCAACTTGTTCTTTATTTACCCTTTTCCTTCCCTTGGATATTCCTAAGTAGTCCATTGCTTACTGTGGTCAAATATCGTGATAGCATAGATTGGCTCTCTAGGGTTACCTCTTCCCGACATGATTGACTTCCTTTGTATTTACCCCATGTGCCTGGACGACCGGCGACGCAACACGAGCATTGAACTGGGTACTGATCTATTGTCCTCTCACACATACCCAGGCTTGACAGGGAATCCTGATTCTCCGCAAATATCAAGGAAGTCTGACTACATCCCAAATTCCACGAAAATGACCCCAGAGATTCCAAGCCCGGAGGCTGGTTCAGTGCCTGTCCCTTGTATCCCGTTGAAACGGACTTTCGACCAAATGGAATCGGTAGTGCAAGAATCTTCAGAGTTCACTAGGCGATTGCCGCACGCTTCTTCAATTCCAGCGCCGATAATCCGTGCGTCTGGCTTGCCGGATGTACCTGAGCTCCCGTTGCTAGACTCTGCGCTTGAAGGTGATAGCAACTATCGCACAGAGAGTATGCTCCCATCGCCTGCACTGGCCCCAATCCCAGAGGAAATCTCCGAGGACGGCGACGGCGAGGTCTTGGACCCATTGGTACCTAGATCAGCCGTCTCATTCACTGAAATTGAAGTTGCAACTTCAACGAGGGATATTTCAATGCCCTATTCTTTGCCACCAGCTTTAATGAACTCAGCCACGTCCGTTCCCGAAGTGGGCTACGATGTTTCTAACCTCGCTCCGTTACCGTCATCTCCGCCTGTGAACTCCTTATCAACAGACAGCACCGATGATAATGGAGATACATCATCTGTGGCATCATCAACCGATGATTCTGACTCAGTGTTTGATGATGGACAATTAGAGAACACATCCAGCTACACAGCCTCATTGTTATCCGATGTAAAAAACTACGCTTACGAAAATGGAAGACGTTATCACTCATACCGCGAAGGCCACTACGTCCTTCCCAACGACGAACCAGAGCAAGATCGACAAGATCTCCTCCACCACGTTCGGAATCTCGTGTTAAACGGCCGGCTTTTCCGATCCCCACTGAACAACCACATCCAGCGGGCTCTCGATATCGGCACCGGCACCGGAATCTGGGCCATCGATTTTGCAGACAGTTTCCCCAGTGCTGAGGTAACAGGCACTGATCTCAGTCCCATCCAGCCATCATGGGTCCCACCAAACCTTCGCTTTGTGGTGGACGACGCCGAATCGCAATGGCTCTACAGCCCAAGTCTGCCCTTTGACTTCATCCACGCCCGGGATCTAGGCGGTGCTATCGCCGACTGGTCACGGCTGATGCGCCAGAGCTACGAGCATCTGCGCCCCGGTGGATGGGTTGAGTTGCAGGAGTTTGAAGTTATGCTCAAATCGGATGATGATTCGATCCGTCTTGCGCCGGCGTTGTGTGAGTTTCTTGAACGACTGACCCAGGCCAGTGAGGCATTCTGCCGACCTATGAATATCGCCGAAGGTCACCGGCAGCGACTGGTTGAGGCTGGTTTTGAAGATGTTCGAGATGAGGTGTACAAGGTGCGACCCCCGCCCCCCCCCCCCCCCCGGTCTTCTGTCTGATTGGGTCTTGCTTTTTGTTTACCTCTTCCGTCATGACTGACATGTGCTATATTTTCTAGGTTCCATCGAGTGTTTGGGCTAGGGACCCCGTGCAAAAGGAAATTGGTCGGTACAACCAATGCTCTCTTCTTATGGCGGTTGAATCCTACTCGCTGGCACTTTTCACTCGAGTGCTAGGATGGTCGAATAATGATACTCAGGTTTTCCTGGCTGGGGTGCGCAGAGATCTCAAGAATCCCGCGGTACATACTTACTGCAAGCTGCATGTTGTTTACGGTCGGAAGCCGTCTCAGTCCCAGTTGAGTCGGCAATTTGACTAGGGATCTTCGCGAGGATGTTCGGAATCAAAGAAATATTATAGATAGATTTGATATGACTCTATGTGTTCGGATGCGGGAGTAATGAGATATCCCGTTTGTGCTACACCTTCTCCTTCCGCCTGGCCCCGATGTTGTCCCTCACCTTGACGTCTGCCACTAACCGCGTTCAACTGGTACAACTCAGCCTTTCTATGTGCTTTTCTCTTTTTGTTGGTCTCAGTTCAGTGTCCAATTGCTCTTTGAAATCTAGAAAAAGAGAATCATTTACCATATAACATTTCTATCCGGAAAAGAAACGAGCCAATGACCCTGAACTAAACATGGCTTCAGGGTGGTGCATGACCCTATGGACCTCTATGGCCTCTTTTACTACAAATCTAACCATGTCTTGGGCAACCTCAGGTCCTGGGTTTTGGGGCGCGGCTGCAGGATGCCTTGTAAGTTGCATTTACCCGTACTCCCAACCCTCGTTTGTTTCATGCAGGAAAGGAACCATACAGTAGAGCCCAGTCCTTCCCAAGATAACTCCCCGAGGAAACACAGCAGCTCTGAGAAATGCAATCTACCTACTCCTTTCTCTCTTGAAAGGCGTTCGCAGAGAAAGCCATGCTAATCAACATTCAATCAACAGTTCTTAGCCTGGGTCACCTACAGCATCATCTATGCCTTCTGCTGGTCGCCCCTGCGCCACTTCCCCGGTCCAAAGCTATGGGCGATATCTCGCATCCCGTCCAATCTCTCCGTCATCAGTGGTCATAACCACCTGGACATTCTGGCTCTGCACAAGAGGTACGGTCCCATCCTGCGCCTTGGACCCAATGAGCTGGCCTTCAATACAGCAGAGGCCTTTCGCGATATCTACGGTGCCAGACCTGGTGGTTGCTTCCCCAAGAACCGGAGCAACTATATAGCCCCTGTGAATGGTGTCGATCATTTGGTCTGTGCAGTCGATCATGCGACTCACGCAAGACAGAAACGGCTGCTAGCTCATGCCTTCTCTGATAAGGCTCTGAGAGACCAAGAAGGTCTCATCACAGGCTATATCGATAGGATGATCACCAAACTACGGTCTCAAGTTCGGCAGGGGACTTCCACCGTCGATATTAGAAGTTGGATGAACTTTACCACTTTTGATATCACCGGTGACCTCATGTTTGGCGAGTCCTTCGACTGCCTGAAGGACAGCCAGCTTCATCCGTGGATCAAATTGATTTTCACCTCTATGAAGGCTCTTGCCTATATTGGCGTTGTAAATCAGTTCCCTATGCTCAAGGGGCTCTTGGACTTATTCCTTCCGCGGGAGGTTAAACGCGTGGGCCAGGAACACTTCGATCTCAGTGCGCAGAAGGTCGACCGACGCTTGCAATCAAATATGGCTCGTCCGGACTTTATGTCTGCTATTCTCCAGCATGGATTGAGCGAGGAGAAGGGCCAATATCGCGAGAGCGAGCGTATCATGACACGGGCTGAGATTCATTCTAATGGTTTTATGTGAGTGGTTTTCGTTGCTTTCAAATGCTCCTTCCCATCCTTTCCCTTCTGTTTTGCCTTTCCGAATTGATATACCGTGCTAATGCTGATGAATGCCAGTCTAATTGTGGCCGGTAGCGAAACATCCGCAACCCTCCTATCCGGCTGTATCTTCTACCTGTGTACAGCTCCCTACGTCATGAGCCGACTCGTCACCGAGATCCGCTCCAATTTCGAACAGGACAGTGACATGACCTTCCGCGCTGTGGAGGAACTGAAATACATGAACGCTGTCATCGAGGAGTCGCTGCGTATCTATCCGCCCTTCGTGACGAGTCTGTCGCGCCTGGTACCGCGAGGCGGAGCAGCAGTGGATGGCCATTTTCTCCCTGAGGATGTATGTATATGTGTTTTACTTCAGTATGTCACATTTGTAACCTATGTACTAATTCCAACAAGACTGCTGTGGCATGTCACCATTACGCCTCCTACCACTCCGAGTCCAACTTCGCCTTCCCGGATAAGTTTATGCCAGAACGCTGGCTGGATTCAAACCCGGTCTTTGAGAATGACAAAAAGGATGCCCTGCAGCCATTCAGCCTTGGCCCGCGCGTCTGCCTTGGGAAACAGTGCGTTCCTTGCCATTTCCCCTTTTATCCACATTGCACCATCTCAATCAATACTGACATCTTATACCCTCTGATAGTCTAGCAAACTGTGAAATCCGCCTCATTCTTTGCAAGCTCCTCCACCACTTCGACATAACCCTACGCCCAGAGAGCGCCAACTGGGCCGACCAGAAAGTCTATTTCCTCTGGGATAAGCCGGCTCTCATGGTCACGCTGAAAGACCGATTTCCTGACGCGGGAATGCCGGCCGCTCAGGAGCCCATGCCTCTGTTTTCAGAATGATGAGATGAGGAGGGGTCAGTGTTCGAGGTTTGTAGATGCCTTGCATCTGCGTTCGTGTCGTACAATAGGTATAACAGGGGTTTGTGGCGTTTATGAGATCCATGGCTCTTATTTCTTTACCTTCAATTTAGTCTTCCTTTCTTTCCTGGATGCTTATTCGTTATCACTCTTTATTGGATTGGCTGGGTCAGTCTTTTTGCGTTGTGACTTGCAACAGCGGCTAAAGTCGATCTAGAGTTTGGGTTTAGTGGAGCTTGTGTTTTCGTTTTTCCCCATTCGCGCAAGACATTCACTGGTTAGAGGTCGGCTTCGTCGCTTGGTAATTTCATAATAATAGCCTTGTTTGGTGTTCTGGATTGTGTTATTGGAGTGACATCTAAGTTCAAAGTATTGGGCCAAGTATGTCTAGATGTATTATCGGATTCTATGGTAACTATTAGGTTGAACAATCATATTTCTACTAAATTTGATAATCCAGTAAAACCTGATATAATATATGATTCGGATGATTCGGATGATTCGAATAAGATAGGATGATATCAATAATATATACTATTATTTTATATATATATATATATACATATATATACGGGTTTATATAGGTCGATAAGGGTGGCTCTCCATCGACCCCCCGACCTACGACGGTTAGGGTTGGTTGAGGCGCGGTGCAGGCTTTGATACTCAGGGTATTCTGTCGAATACTAAGTCCGAATACAGTAGAAACGGGGTATTTTACCACTGAAAATCATGTGACATTGGGTACCAGACATACCATACAAAGGTGTATATTACAGTTAGTGATCGAGGTCCGCACAGCGTTGAGATAGCGGGTTTTGTCATTTTAGAGTTGTCAACATCGGTCATCCATACCATACATTGTTCGTACACCAGCTTTCTGTCATATTCCTATTTCATTATCATTCTTATCATTTCCCTTTCTTACCCTCTTCTGCTCTTACCGTGATCACTTATATGCTTTAAAGGCTTCGTTCGAACCACTATAAGGTTACCGTATGTACCAAATTCAGCGGCAAGGGGATTTTAAGTATAGATAAATTATAATGGCTTGTCAGTGAAGAATTTAGTAGTATTGAGCACTAAACTCCTATGATCTCCTGGACAACGCTATGTGGGCTACGATCAAAAGGTCATACTCAGATTTCTGCGCCTGGTTCCCCACATCATAGTGGCGAAATAAGGCCAATGCCCCACACAACAGTGTTACCGTAAAGTGTATACAAATCGACGAGCAATACGCGTATCCGTCTAATCATGGTCCATCCACTGTCTATACGTAGGAACTATACACCGCTGATTGGTTTCTAGTTAGAGTTGCGGTGACTCGAATGCACGTATGTATAACGAGAATATATCTAGCGCATCGTCGGATTCACCACATTGCACACTTAGCTGCCCAGCCTTCGGAGAAAAAAGCAGGTCAGATGGGTGAATGAAACGATGGAACGGTATAGCGATAGATTATATTAGGGTCATTAAAAACAGACGACCATCCGGCGGGAATCTTCGTTTGACTGAGAGTAACGCTGTAGTCCTACATTTTCCAGGAACAGAAGCAAAGATCGTTCATTGTTACTGTAGAGTACCGCAAAGATGATGCTTAATGTAAACATGCTCATTTGGCTCATTAAGACATACACTCAGAAATTCGTTAATATTTCTGTGTCAATAATCCACAAGATGGCAATTAGCCATGTACGATATGCTACCATTCGCCATGTCTTAACCCCAGCTCATTATGGTGTTTCAAGCGGACGAACTGGCGTTCTGATCTACAGAAAAGAGTGTCCCACGTAGGAAGAATAAATTCAGTAAATATATAAACTAGGCAGCAAATTATTGCTCCATTTTTGCGATCAAAAGTAACTACGGAACTGAAATTCGTTTCCACGGCCGGAGACGAATCAACGAATTGGAGTTATGTCGGGACTAAATTCGAATAAGAAATGAAACATGCTCATTGCGGAATCTCCTGATGGGCTCAACACTGTCGGAACCGGTCTGGGTCAACTTCGTACTCGTCTGTGAACAAGAATTGCCGCTTAAGGCGTCTGAGCCAATCCTCCACCCCTAAGCTTGAGCAATCATTCAGAAGTCAATCCGCCATTGATCAAGGTCCTGGCATTGCCAAAGGTGCGGCGTCTCATCTCCCAAGTAAACTATGATGGTAGCCTTCTCGAGAAAGGGAATGAGAAGGCTCGTCATTCTGGTCGCTCTCTCTCTGGCGGTCTTCGTCATCTATCAGCTTAGCTACGTGGACGACTTTACCCTCGCCGAGAGGTTGTCCGAGTCTATAAGGATAATCAACGAATGCACTCATGAAGCCCTCGAACCCCTCGATAACTTTCACCATATACTCGATTCCAATATACCCAATACTATCCACCAACTATGGAAAACGACAGACGTTCAAGAATACTCTACTGAAATGAAACCATCACGCGACTCATGGAAGTCCATGCTCGAGCCCCAAAATTACACCATTAAGCTTTGGACTGACGATGATATCCTCAAACTCATCAACGACAAATACCCCTGGCTACTGCCGACATACATAGGATATCCTCACAATATCCAACGTGCAGACATTGCTAGACTGCTTGTCGTTTATACTGAAGGCGGTATCTACGCAGACCTAGACGTTTACCCTAGGTCAGCCGAGAACATACAATGCCTCCAACATCTCGGCTTGCAAGCAATATTTGCTCCAACAGCAGGCACAATCGGCCCAAGCAACCACTTCTTTATGGCCGAGAGAGGGTCTCCATTCCTTCAGTGGGTGCTTTACGAGGCCAAGCGGCGGGGGGAAGGCTGACATCGCGATGGATAGTTCTGCCGTACCTACAGGTCTTTTGGTCTACGGGGCCGATAATGTTGACGGCGGTGTTTAGAAACTACTCCTGGCTATACGGTACGCTACAGGACGTCACAGGGCTTCTAGACGAAGGGTATGGTGGCGCGGTAATACGGCATGCCGCTGGGCGGTCTTGGCAGGGGGTGGACGGGCTGGCGTTGAATTATATTGCCGATCATGTGCAAATGGGGGTACACTTGACAGGTGTTGGGTGTCTATCTATAGCGTTGGGGCTTATCTATGTTTTTGGGAGATGCTATGGTAGATTCTCTCCTAGATGAGGTCCAGGGCCATGGATTGCGCAACGTTAGCTTAGGTTGAGCATCTCTCGTGTAATTGAACATGGCACTAGAAAGTTAAAACGCAAAATAACATAATAAAAGTCAATCAATATCACCTCCGTAAATCATACTAAACATCAGATAATAAAACCAGAACGGCCTAAAACATACTCCAATGCACAAATCTCTTAACAGAAATAGCCAGAGATGACGCTTTGTCGTCTCTCTCTATACCTGCTAAGTCTAACCCGATGGCTGCTTCCAAGGCCCTTGGCTACGTACGCTAGAATGATCATTGTGTAAAGAACTGGAGGAAAGTGAGAAATAAATAGAATTGTGAGCCAAAGGATCCAATCCGAAATAAAGTTCAGAAGAATGTTTGACGCTGAATCTGACTTTGCTTGCTTGTACTTATCCGACGTGCTTCGTGGCAGCAAATAAGGTTGCGTACCGGAACATCAATGTACAAACCCAAGTCTTCTCATTATTTTCACATTGAGCGATTGTTTTCAGCCATTGTAACCAAATATCCCAATTACTGTCCAGGTAACTAGAAACGGAATGAATATCATACATTCCGCTGTCTCCAAGCATCCAAATCTCACGATACAAATGTAACAAGGCACCGAAATGGGCGAGAATGATGAGTGCCTCTGGTCGTCTCTCTCCCAAAAGATATATGTAGTCAGAGGGCACGACAACCAACCAGGAAATAATCGGACCTATTGTCGACTGGCCAGAGGAATGCCTTCGACTTCCGTTGATGGCCATCTGGAGAGATTTGATTGCCTCCAGGTAGATATTCCTGGCAGATGAATCAATTGATGCCGAATTCAGCAGTGCTAACAGCTTGGAGCATTCCACTGGAGATTCTTCCTGCACCAATGCACTTGCTTCAAGTTCCAGAAGTGGTTTGAGTGGCGATTCGAGAAGAGAACCCCACGGCCGATTGGTAATTTCACGAACTTGTTGGTGCAAATGAAATATATCGATGAAGTCGCGTAGGAAACCGTCAAAATCCTTTTGGTGAACTGCCATTTTCTCGGAAAACACATGAAAAGCACGAATTGAAGTGAAGAGGAAGATGGGAAGGCAATTATCGATATCAATTTTTGATTCCTTCGATTTGAACGAAGTGAGGGCATGGGCTCGAAGCTTAGTTGCGTGATGTTGAAGTTCTCGTTTTCTGGTCGGACCAATGACGCTCAAATACCACGCTGCAAACGCAAAAACTTGGTTCATCAAGCAGGGTACAGTAAGCAATTTATCCAGGGTTTCAGGATCAAAAGTCCCGAATGTAGATTTGTCGTAACCGAAGAGCGTCAGGTCTTTGCTGATCAGATGTCGAAGCAACTCAAGATGAAGCATTGACCGGTGGACTGTCATACTCCCTGTCGGGAGCAGAGCTGCTAGAAAAGCTTGTATCGCTATCATTCTCACTTTTCGTCGTGATGCTGGTTGTATTTGACAATGACGTACACCCGGAGCTTCGGGTCTGTGACGTCGGGTCTTCTTTATGAAAGCAGTGAAGCTCAGTGATATTGCAATAGTCACAAGCTGGACGGCTCTCATCGCACTGATTACGAAGGTCAATATCTGGCTACAGTTGCTATCCTTTTCTATCCTTCTGGGAAGAACTAACATACCTTGATGTGTCGGCGTTTGCATTGAAAACAACCTTTCCTTGACTCCTTGTGAGATTTTCCTGTAATTGTAGTTATTTTGTTGTAAATGTATCACAATAACCAAAGAAGAATTAAATTTGTGTGAGATGCCTACTGTGTTGGATGGAAACTCATTCGCGGAATTTATGACTTCAATGAGAGAGAAAATACATATCACACCGAGAGCACAGAAAAGTTTGGACTCTTATATGACGATGTAGTCGCCCTGGAATGTCGAGTGGCACTTCGTATAATCCGAGCTCGGGCACGCAATACGCGGGAAACTTATGGGCGAAACTGCCTTTCCAATTTTGGCTACGACAGTCTGCTGCGGCCTCAAGCACACAACGAATTCTGCTAGTAATCAATAGGAAATATTACTGTGCCTGTGTAACGGAATTACGCATACCGTAACTCTAACTCGGTATAAGCTATCATTGATGCTCAATTCCTACTGATTTATCAAGTTATATTAAACACACTAAAGTATTAGGGATAGTAAATGTTAATTTAAATACTAAATTAAATTTACTTGTATCTTCTACAGTATTCCGTGAATTTAGTGCCCTCTCCGGACGAAATACGAAATACGAAGATCGACACCCACCAGAGTTATTTTGGTTTGGTAGAGCATCAGCCGTATACTGTAACTTACCAGTGGCTGTATACGCGGACTTCTCGACTGCTGATTGGCTTTCAATTTCGCACTCATAGATATTGGAAGTTATCCATTCGAACGGTTGTAACGGTACACCCAATTAACCCCTGGCTAATACGTCTTCTTACATGATCCAGGTGAGCGATGTTTTCGATGATCACTTGCCATTTGCAGCATCCTTAATCGTGTTCGTATTGTCACCCTTATCCCGGATATCCTGGTCTATAAAGGATGGAATCTCCCCAATTCTCTAACAGCTGACCACAGCAGCGCGATAATGATTTTACTGAAAACTATATGTTTGCTCTCGGCTCTCGTGACTGCCTCATTTGGAAGCCTGAACTGCAAAGTTTCACCTGCCGATTTAGCTTGGCCCTCGGAGAATGAATGGGCTGCATTGAATCATTCCATCGAGGGAGTTCTGATCAAAACTGCCCCAATTGCATCATCTTGCTATCTTGGCAATCCATTCAACTCACCCGAGGAGTGTACCAGCGTGCAGAAGAAATGGTCTTACGCAGCACATCATGCTGCCTGGCCGGAGAGCATCGATTACCCAATCTACACAAATAACTCCTGTGTTCCAAAGGGTGCCACTGGTTACGCTGAGAGAAAAGGCTGCAGTATTGGTGGGCTACCGCAGTATATTGTGAACGCTACTACAACCGAACACGTTTCTTGGGCGATGAAATGGGCCTCTAAACGAAATATTCGGATTGTCGTGAAAGGAACAGGACATGACCTGAACGGCCGGTATGTTGTAGTAGGTATTTTGGATATCCTACATCAGTCGCTAATCTTCACCTAGATCAACTGGAGCATTCGCACTTTCTATTTGGACACACAATTTCAAACATATCGAACGACGAAGTGCTTGGCAATTGCCAGGTCGAAATGAAACCGACGATGTTGTTGTCTGTGGGAGCGGCAACAACTGGGGCTCTGTTTATACTGCAGTTCACCGTATGAACAGATCTGTTGTTGGTGGTGAAGATGCCACTGTTGGCCTCGGGGGGTTAATCCAGAATGGCGGTCATGGATTTTTGTCGAGCCACCTCGGCCTTGCATCGGATCAAGTTTACCAGGTCACAGTGGTTACTACCGATGGTAGGAGCCTTGTCGCGAACAGTGTAGAGAACGGGGATCTCTTTTGGGCTGTCCGTGGAGGTGGAGGAGGCCAATATGGAGTGGTGACGGAGTTTATTTTGAAAACACACCCTGTTCCGGCAAATGTGGTCATGGGCGGCTTTTCTTTCTATGCGGCCGACTCATCAAACCTCAGCGAGACTGCCTCATGGAATGCTCTGTCGGAGGTTGTTTCCTCGATTCCAAACCTTATGGACGGTGGTTTGAATGGCAACATCACCGCATACACTAAGACAAGGGCAATGGCCTTGGGTCTTAAGGAAGCACCACGCGGTGTTGCAGCGGTGCTTGGTTTTGTTGGTTTAAACATGACGGCTGATGGTATGGATGATATCATTGATAAGTTAGCAGCCCGAGTCACATCCATTGGCAACAGTAGCTATCTAAACATCTCTCGCCAAAAGACGTCTAGTCAGAGTTACTGGTCTTTTGCGAAGCCTGAACCACTATCTAGTAACTCTGCTGGGGCTGTCAGCCTGATGACCAGCCGCCTGATGGGCCGAAGGGAATTATCGGACATTCCTCGGAATGACTTAACGGAATATTTGCAGCAGGCATTGGTTTCCGAGAATCCAGAAGCTGGAACGATGTTATTGTTTGGATTACAAGGCGGCCGCGGGCCTGCTCGTGTCCCAACATACATGCGTGGAAGTGTTCTTCCTGCTTGGCGCACCGCATACGCTCACGTTTTCACCCTGGGAGCATCGATCAACGCGACAGGTGATGCAAGCAAATCCCTGAATGCGGCCGCAGACTGGTATGAGGCTGTTAAGGAGCCTGTTTGGAGAAACTGGGCTCCTAATACCGGTTCCTACATGAACGAGGGTAACCCGTTCAGTAGTACCTGGAAGAAAGATTTCTATGGTGAGAACTACGAGATGCTCCTTGCCATTAAACGCAAGTTTGATCCTAGCGAGAGTCTCTTTGTTTGGAGTGGTGTTGGTAGTGACCTGTGGAATTATGATCTGAACTCTGGTTTGCTATGCCGGGTCGAATCATGATATAACAGATGCTTGCCCATAGGAGTAAAATATAGAACCCGATTGAAACATTGTGTTCACATACATTTCAATCATCTCTGGTTTTCTTTCCTATTTTGCAAGAGATGCAAATAGATAGACGGATGTATGTTTTGGATTGGAGAACTTGTATTTTATATTTAGAACATAACAGATAATGACAGATACTTGATCTCTAAACTTGTTGCAAGTTATTCAATGGACAAAATACATTTGACAGGAGCCAATTGAAAATTTATGAATCTGCCTTTGCATAGACAATCATTCTATTCTATTAGACAGGGGTAGGTGGCATGAAGAATGTGAGTTCTGAGATATATGGCTTGCTCAGAAAGGATGAACGCTTCCATCTATGTAATCGAATAATGTCACAAGCAATTTAGATTTAGATACGACCCTAGAAAATTACCACATTGTGATCAAATTATTGGGCTCTTATGGGTCCACAGCCCTATTTCCTTTTCATTTTTTCGCTCAGACCCTGACCATCTACAAGATTTATCAATAATTGCAGTCGTTTCCTCACAGTAAAGGCCGCCCGGCTAGTTCGTCAACTTCTTTTTGCCTTGAAAGATATCTTGAACTACTGCGACACCGTGAGGTGAATATTTAAGCATCACAAGATGATCATCGGGCCTGATAAACAACCAGCTAAGAAGATAAAAAAACACGGATAGCACAGTGCTGTTCCTACAGAAAGTGGGACTAACAATTCGCTCGGCCTCGATCTCGACTACCACGAGACTGCTCAGTTACAATCCAGCAGGCTGGATGCAAGTGACCGGCACTGCTATCGCGTGTGCTGCAAACATCACGGACCTGAGATCACCCGATACGGTAGACTTCCATATGCACGGTCGAAGCATACGTCGAGTGAGCACTCAAATAGTTTCTGCACACTACCTCAACCAAGCCTCACATCAGTTACAATACAATATAAATGCGTAAAATCAAAAGAATATATGATGGAAATTGGTTTAGGAGAATAGAAAGCGGAGCCCGCGTGTTTTCATCACTCATCTTGAATGAACGTATTCGGCCAGCGCAGCCAACTCTCCCACTCCGGTCCAAGGTAATTGTCGATAGAGCAAACGATATATAGACCACTGTTACCAAAAGTCCACATCTCATTGTGCATGTGTAAAAGGGCTCCGAAGTGGGAGAGAATAGCAAGTGCTTCTGGTCGAAGCTCCGAAAGTAGATCTATGTAATCTGGAGAGATAATGACTGGCCAGGAAATAATTGGGCCAATTCTGGAGAAGTTTGATAAAGGGGAGCGACTCGCATTATAAGCTTTTTGCAAGTCCTCGACCGTCTGTCGGTATATAGAGCTGATTGCTGGGTCAAGCATAGTATCCACATAAGCTAGGAGCTCGAGACACTCATTGCCGGAGGTACTTTGATCCAACATCATTCCTTCATCTTCAAGCAGAGGTTTAAGCGGTGACTCCAAAAGCAGATGCCACGATTGACTGGTAACCGCACGGACGCCACGATGCATCCTCAATGACTGAATGAAGTGATCGAGAAATGTTTGGAAGCTATCCGGGCGAGACAACAGCTTCTCGGTGAGAACATGCATTGCAAGACATGAAGAAAAAAGAAACATGGGGATGCAAGTTTCGGCGGACACATCCAGTTTGGCGCTATTAAATTCAGAAAGAGCGTGTGTTTGAAGCTGGGATGAATGATATTGGTAGAACTCCTGTCTCCCCGGGTGAACGACGCTGAGATGTAATGCAGAGAACGCAAGAATTTGATTCATAAGAAATGGCGCAGACAATATGTATTTCGTCATGTCAATAGCAGAGCCCTCGGGTGAGAACTTGTCGAGGCCAAGAAACATCAAGATGTCGGTAACAAAGTGATGGAATAATTCTAGATGCAGTTTATTAACCGGGGGGCTGTCATTTGTGACACCAGGATCAGCAACATGCGAAGAATTCACATATACTTTATTGTTTTTGGCAGTGCGCTTTGACTTCGGTCCGGAAGTCAACACTAAACCAGTCGCTTTCGACACCATATCTTCATATGAACAGTGACGCTTTGAAACATCGCAATTGACACATTTTGGGTGTGTCTCATCGCACTTTTGCACAGGTCAGCCTGGCACAGTTTGTTCACCTGAACGGCCTGTCTTGTCGCCGGTGATGGAGTTTTTTTTTTTTATGATGGTAGAGTACTATACCTTGACGTGGCGACGTTTGCACTCGATGCAGCCATTTCTTGATTTCTTGTGCGCCTTTCTTGCCTGAATCATACTCTTGTCTCTTCCAGTTAAGATCAAATTGGAAAGCTTTGCGTTTTGCACATTAGCATCTAGAAAATGCACTGAGTTTATTTCGACCGTAGAAAAGGGGTGAGTATAACCCCTCGAGGCTTCTGATATAGGCAAGGGTTAAAAATCCGCCGTTGGCCACTAGTTCGCTCAAGGACGAAAAAAATGCTGACTCAGCCAGCTTTTAGCCCTGGAGCCCCTTCGTTCAGATATGCTTGGCTGGGTCTCTGTGCCCGTTTCAACCGTAATATTCGTATCCATAAGAGCAAATTATATTTACATATATATATATATATGTATATATATATTAATAAGCATCTCTATATAACTAACTAGCGCAAAACATTACTGTCTGATGGCTGTGGCTTCGTAGCCTTCAACCAGAAACGGGTCATCTATGTAAATGTCGGTCACTTCGTTTTCGACTAGCATACTTTTCAATCACACATCTTGGAGATTCACATAATTATCAACGACAGGGCCTTTGCCCACAAGAATTTTTCCTGGGTGGACAAAGTGGAAGATTGCCTGTACAAAGAACATCGGAATCATGTCGAAAATGTACATGTAAATCTCATGCGAGTACACATATCCATCTGTTCCGCCGACGTACTCAATAATCCGAAATACACATCGTCCGATGACCAGTGCTGATACAAGGAACAAGATATGTAGAAGACGACGCCATGGACCACCGATCATATTGAGATGAGCCTTGCGCAACCGATGCTGGAAGGCAACAGAGACGTAGAGGAAGAATCCGAAGAATATCAGTTGAACGATCAGTCCAACAACTAGAACCTTTTGTCCAATGTTGCGCATACTATTGATAGTCTGCATACCACCACCACCTAGCTGCAGGAGGAAGGCAGTAGTGTCTCCCGATACGAATATCTTTGTCACTTTGCGGGGCGCCACGATGGATAGATGAGGTTGACCGACAAAGTTCACGATTCGACCGTACGTCATGTAGATTGTGGCAGCGTAAAGAGATGGTGGGAGGATAATGAACATGGACTGGCAGATATAGGAGACAAGGCTATCCGGGTTTCGTGCGGAGATTAAACGGAAGATGTAGCCCAGCGTCATCACTAGTGTCATATGTTAACAACTTTCTATTTGGGGACCTTTCTTTGTGAAGGGGAAGTACTCACTGAAAGCACCAATAAGAAAAGCGGTAAAAAACCACGTTCTTGTTTTTATCATTTGCCAAAGATGAACAAATGCACTTGCCCCGAACAACAACATCGCAATTGCAGCACCTGCCTTACTAGGCTCATAAGCGTAGTAGCCTGAAGACCCCATTGTGTCCAAATATGTTCACCGTAGCGTCAAAGGCTAGTTCTTAACGATGAACAAAAATGATAGGACACTTGACTGCTTCGCGGGAGGGAAAAGGGAAGGACAGAAAACAGAAAATAGAAGGAAAATACTGTGATGGTAAAGGTCGAATTTTGGCGGAGAGTATAAGGAGAGAACTGTCAAAGGTTGAGATTAGATCTCAATTGTTTGTGGATGAGGAATATATATATGTAGCTGTATATTTAGTTTACTAGGTACCCGCAGCCAGGAGATGACCTAACAGACATGAACCGCACTTTGGGAAGGCTCACTACTAGACCAGGGGCTGTGTCGATAACCCACCACAATATTGTTTCAAGTATGCCATTCTGGTGACCCATGACGGTACTAATTCTATGCCGGCAAAGATCTCAGGCTGCATGATACGTGGAATGGGAAGCTTCAATTGGTCAGCCTTAGCCGAATACGCGGACCAAATGGCCTATGATTGGCGTGTTCATGGGGTATCTCTGGAATCATGAAAATTAAGCTATTTCAAAGTTGGTAAGATACTTTTCTTTCGTTGCTGAAGTGAAGAAGAGGGATAAAAGGCTTCCTCTGTCAATTACGTCGACAGTATTGTCTCGAACCTTGCACTGGATATCGATAGACTAAGTTTCGGTAATAAAACATGGGTTTTCTCGAAGTGTGAAAAACATGTTGTTTCACCGGCACGGTAGTTGTCAGGTTGTCAGGTTGTCAGGTTACTAGGGACGGTTTTTTAGGCACTTTTTACTAGTAGCGTCTAGTTTAATAGTAACTCTTAGAATCTTACTAGAGGAAAAAAACCTGACAACCTAACAGCTCACTAGGGCGTAATTTATCTTCCAATCTCTCACTAGTAATACTACCCTCCTACTATGACCTACTAGAAGCAACTGGTAAATACCACCTGACAACCTGACAACCTGACGACCCCCCTATTCGCCCACATTCTTGCCCTTTTGCCTAAACTGGTTTCCTTGACTAGGTCTATGGCAATGTTTCCAAAATCATGATTTCGTGTATAACGAATTTAAATGTTTTACTCAGGTTCAAAAGCTCCACAAAGCTAAGGATTCACTAAATTACCTCAGTTGCTACGATATTTCAAAGTTGATATTGTATAGTCTTTCACATTACTTTCTGTAGAGTATGCTCATAGTGCCCTAGAGTCAGCCGCCTATATAAAGACGGAAGGCTCAGGCATATTGCGGTCCATCATAGCGCATACAAAACAAAGTTTCATGTGACGATATTTTATATATATTTATATAACATGAAAACAAATTCGTAAATAAGCGTATAATACTGCAATGGATATTCAATGACGAACAAAGCGATAAAGACAGAAAGTAACAAGAGGAAAAAAGGGAAGAAAAACAGGAAAGCAAAAAAACAGAAACCGGCCTAGAAGCATGGATTATATATTTTCTCTTCGATGATTATGCCTTGTTCTCAATAGTGTCACTGATTTGAGAAGCACCATCCCCAAAGAAAGGCTTCAAATCACTAGGGTACCAGACCCCAAAAGATCACCATGGCGGAAAACATGGGTACAGAATCAAAGACATACAGTGTCCATTCATTGCTCAATGGATAGCCTTCAGTGCCCATAGCGTACTCCACAACTCGGAATATAGATCGGACGAGCACCAAGCCACTGATAGCGTAGAGGCTATACAGGTGCTGTTTCCAGGGGATAGCAATATCAACCGACTCTACAGTCGGGTTGTGACGCATCCGTGTCTGGAACACATATGCAGTGACAATAAACAGGCAAAAACTCAACACCTGCAAACATAGGCCAGCAATAACCACGCCTTGCCCGATCTTGGTAAGGCTGCTATTGACCATCATTCCTGATCCGCCTGCTTGAACCAAGAATGTGACAACATCACTCTGGACAAATGTTCTGGTCACCCAGTTCAGTGGCAGGACAGAGTATTTTTCTGCGTGGACGCTACGAATTATGCGAGCGAGCACTATGTAAACCGATGCAGCAAAGAGAGCTGGACCCAGGAGAATGAAGACTGCCTGAATACAGTACGGCATCAACTTCCTAGTATTATTGTGAGAATCGATTCTGGTCGCATAACCAATGATCTCGACTAAAAACACATGTCAGCAAGCGAAAAACGCGGTAGAAGGGAGCATCTTACATATGCCACCAATGGCAAACGGCAGTGTAAATCGTACTCTTGTCCGGAAGATCTTCCAGAAATGGAAAAACGTTGCGAGAAGGAAAACCACTAAGAAAATGACGGCCGCAACCATAGAGGGGACATATTGCCAGACGTAATAGCCGCTCTTCAAAGGCTCCAGCTCTGCCATTTTGATGTATTTTGAAGTTGGTGAAATTATATTTGGTCAGTGGAGACTGCAATGAACGGTCCATCAAGATAACCTAGAAACGTTTTTATACCTTGTCTGTGAAAGGAAATTAGCGCTTGGTGAAGCAATGTTGATGGAGTTGCATACGTTAATTTCGGTGACCAATCGCGTTGACTACAGTACGCGTATTCGTCAGATTGTGGCTCCTTCGCCACTGCCCGTGGTCCCCCTCAACCCTCGGGATAAAGAGGGATTTCCATGGACAGTGCCGTGCGCGGAAACTATCGTCTCTGAGTCCTCGATAAGTACCTATAAATATTTATCTGATAGAGCGTATCGTCACGCCATTTTGATAGGCGCCAACGGCCTCAATTGAGTGGAGTAACTAGCATTGTATACGCGTACTTCTGAGGTGATGATTGGCCCCTTATTTGGTCCCTGGATTTTGTTCCTACGCGCAGTTTCATTTGTCGAGGTGTCCTCCGTTGAAAAGCCTCACAATGTGCCTTTGAGTAGCAAACATTGTTTCTGAATTTGAGGGTTGCTGCATCGTTACAGCCTTGGCTTCCCACGTATTTCCCTCTGGGAGCGGTGACCCATTTTTGATTTGAACAACCCAAACATTTTGACCGAGATTACAACAAAGAACAAGTGATAGAGCAGGATACCTCGCACGGATTTTGAGAAACCAAGATACAAATAGAAGCTAGAGGAGTAATGTTCGACACGTATCGAACACAGTAGTTTTGGTGTACTAGAATTGGAACGAGGTACAAGGTGGGGACCCGACGTGAGTTGCCTCACTAGTTTTCAGCCTTAAGGATACGAGGTGGACCTGGTCAGAATCTTCAAGTCAGGCGATCCAAAACAAGAGAAAAATTAGACCCAAACGAGTTTCACATTTGCTAATTTGGTTGAAAGAAAATGAGCAAAAAGAATTCCGACGTTTACCTTGGCGGAGTAGTCGGCTAGTGGAATTCCTACCAGTATATTTAGAATGGCCAATTAAAATGGTGAGTATACGCGTATACGAGATAGAGTTATAGCTCGTGCGTTACAGCCGATCACTTGCTGCTACTGTGGATCACTCTACAGATGCAAGCTGTAATATCACTGTATTCGTATTTATATTACCAAAGCGTTCTGAGGCTTGTATGGGAATTATTTTGTGTTGGTTTACCGTATGGACTGGTTCCGCCTCTTACAATACACAATACACATACCAGATCAGCCGAAACACCTGGGCCAATAATTCGCTACAGCCCTTTCCTCCTGGACCCTCAAATCCATGAAAATTGGCTATTGAATCTGCTTCTGCCTCGAGTTCTTTCATTGACGGTTCTGGTTGGTAAGATCATTGGCGGCTTATATGATGCTGCCTGCGTTACAATTGGCGTCATAATGCGTCGAACTCATCAAAGTTCAACTCCTATTGAGGCCTGGATGTTTTTAAAAGGTTGGACAAATCCTTAGTTGGCTCGATTCTGATTCAATGTTTCGACAGTGGCAACTTTCTCATACAATCCTCATGGAAGACCAACCTCCGAGGTACTCCATGCTGGAGGCCGCTGGCTGGTCGAATGATTCATGGTTTCGGAATGGAGGCAAGGTCAACGGTGTCACTGACGTGTTTTTCTCCTACATGATAAAATGCTAACTTCTGGCAGACGATAGTCACATTCAGGTCGACCTTGACTCCAAGGTCTGTAAAACTGTCGCAAAGCTGATTTCGATTTCGCACGAGGAGCAGAGACCTGCGTCATTCCCGGATTATACAGAGCCTGTCACATGTGATGTTCAGTTAAACATTGTTATCCAGGTCGTTGGCAGTCGAGGGGATGTCCAGCCCTTTATTGCGTTGGGTAATGAGCTTCAACTCTATGGCCATCGTGTAAGACTGGCGACTCACCCAGTGTTCGAATCCTTCGTTCTTCAATCTGGTTTAGAATTTTATCCTATTGGAAGTGACCCGTCGGAGATTATGGCCTATATGGTCAAGAATCCGGGCTTGATACCTCAAATGAAAAGTTTGCGAAGCGGCGAGATCCAACGCAGGCGGGCCATAGTAGCCGAAATGCTACAAGGTTGTTGGGATTCATGCATCAGTGATGATCCAGTCAGCCAAGCCCCTTTCGTCGCTGACGCTATCATCGCCAACCCGCCCAGCTTTGCGCACATTCACTGTGTGCAGGCCTTTGTCCATCCCCTTACACCTGATGTTCATTATGCCATGGAGTAGCACACGTGCTTTTTCGCATCCGTTGGCAAATCTCAAGTACTCAACTACCGAGCCAAAAATGGCCAATTACATTTCCTACGGTATTGTTGATGGATGACATGGCAAGGGTAATGATCCATTCCATTTCAATATATTGGCCTGAACTTCATGCTAAATTGAATTTCAGACTTGGTGATGTGATTAATGAATGGGGATCCTCGCTCAGTTTGGAGCCTGTACCAGGGACTGAAGGGCCATGTTTGGCTGAGACTCTGAAAGTGCCCTTCACTTACTGTTAGTCTCCAAGTCTTATGCCGAAACCATCAGACTGGGCATCAAACATAGATGTCTGTGGTTTCTTCTTTCGTATACTCCCAGACTATGCACCGCCCCCTGGTCTCGATTCATTTATTCGAAACGGTAGCCCTCCAGTGTACATTGGCTTCGGCAGCATTGTAATCGAAGATCCGGTTACTATGACGAATATGATTCTCCAAGCTGTCAAGTCACTTGGTATTCGCGCAATCATATCTCGTGGTTGGAGTAACATTGGAGAGGCTTCATCCGATGATCAGGCTTTCTATCTTGGGGACTGCCCGCACAAATGGCTATTTCAACACGTCACCGCCGTTGTTCATCATGGAGATGCAGGGACCACGGCATGTGGCCTACGTTTTGGGAGAACTACAGCTATCATCCCATTCTTTGGAGAGTATGATTTCTCTGGTTCCTATTCTCAAATTAGTAACATGTACTAATGTCTATCAGTCAACTTTTCTGGGGCAACTTGGTTGCGTCCTGTGGGCTTGAGCCTCGGCCTATTCACTATCGGTCTCTGACATCACAGAATTTGGTTGAGGCTATTCAATTCTGTCTGCGACCTGAAGCGCAGTCTGCAGCTCATGATGTCGCATGCCGAATGACTCACGGAAATGGCGTTGCCGCGGCAGTTGCCTCGTTTCATCGTAATCTACCGGTGAATGACATGCGATGCGCTGCTTTTCCCTCAGAACCCGCTGTGTGGCAGTTCAAGAAATTTTCCAAGCCCCCAATTCATTTGTCCAAAGTTGCCGCCGAGATTCTAATCGAACATCATCGTTTAAAATATAGTGATCTTCAGCCGTGAGAATACCTTTCAAGTTACCTCCTTAGTTTGAAACATTACTAAGAAGCAGTTACCTTGTCAACCTAATTTTCATTCAGAATCAGCGATGGGATCCAGTCACGGACACACCTTCCTCGTTGATAGGCACCGACACCGACATGATGAAAGCGACAGGTGATATTGTTTACAAACCATATCAGGAATTTCGTCGTGTCCCCAAAGGTCAACGTGAGCATGCCGTTCCATCTCCGTCTGGGTCTCGATCCTCTAGCATTGCTTCTTCAATAGACGCATCTTCTCTTCCTGCTTCCAATGTGAAGAAAGCTTCGAGACTTAGAACTACAGGCGAAGCAATGGAGGGGTCTACAAAAAGCTTAGGAAAGGTTGTTGGCTACTGGTATAAAGGCGTGCTCATAGACATGCCTTTAGCAGTGAGTGAGGGTCTCAGGCTTGTACCCCGGCTATACGGGAGTTAAAGATCATGGAACAGTTCAGGATTGGAAATCTGGAGCTACTTTTGCAGGGAAGAACTTTGTTCATGGGATGACAGACGGCTTCAGCGACATCTTCACTCGGCCTTACAAAGGTGGTCAAGAAGAGGGAGCAAAGGGTGTAATCAAGGGGACTCTCGGCATGACGACCAAATTTTCATCTGGTACGTGTATTGCAGTCGCCGATTCCAAAAAGAAAATACTAACCAATCGATCGCAGCCGCATTGGGCTTGGTGGCCTATCATGCCCACGGAATTATGAAGAGCCTGTATACTGCAACACACTCCAAACCGCGGAAACGTATTCTCGAGGCGCGAATTCAAGAAGGAAAGTACCTGGCGGAACACTCAGACAAGGGTAGGAAATACTACCAACCCATCATTAGCAACTTTGAGGCTGCCTACCGCAAGACTGTCGAGAAGACTGTCAATTCTACCAGCTCATCATTAAACTGATCAATGTTGAAACATGCATAGGCCGTCAAGGACCCGGGCCTCCTTGTTCCTAATCTTGGTATTTGATCTTCTCGAGCACTTGGAGAGAAAAGAAGAGAATCCGTTTATTTTTCGCATGGTACTATAAATTAGCCTATTAGATCTCAGAAATTGAAACTCTTCATTAACAATAAGTTCCAGCTCGCCTAACCTTGTATGTGAACTTTTCTCTCGCCTTCTTCTGGTACGGGATCACCTACGGCAGTCAAGCATCTGATCGTAAGGGTGGTTGATCCCGGCTTCTACACGCGATTGGCCAACTACGCCGATCTTTGGAAAGGAATCTTGCATGAACAGTAGCAGAAAGGGAACTGTGCAGACGCTGCATCCCGCCCTCTCGCTGTATCAGATCTCCAGCTTCTCCGTAACCTAATCTTCTATTTTCAGAAGAATGCGCCACCACTTCCACGTGAGTTCGGCATGACACTCTCCAATCTCCTTGTCTGGTGGCGTGGCTCGAGGAGTCATATGGACTCTTGTGCTCGCCCAACAGATCGGGTTGGCGTCGTCGGCGTTGGGGGCCTCGGCCATTTGGCCATCAAGATTGCTGCCGAGACGGATGCCATGTCGTTCTCCTATCTCGAACTAATGATAAGGAAGAGGATGCGCTCCGATATGGCGCAGGGGAGTTTCATATTCTACATCAGATTGACCACCCCTCCTTTCAGGGGTTAAAGCACATGTTGCTCTGTGGAAGTCACTTCCTCAATTAAGCATCGTTAGTCCCCTCCACTATGATATAGCAGTTACCATATACTAAATTGCTGGCTGGGAGATTGATACGCCTCATGGATACCAAATAGACTATTTACCCTCTGACCGTTTCTCTGAAAGAAACACCCATCCCATTTCTCCCATTGAACAATCGTGGGGTTCGAATCCAAGGGAGCCTAGTCGCTTCCCGGCAGGATCTGCGGGGATTGATAGAATTATGCAATCGCAAGAAAATCAGGCCCACTACCATGAAGTTTCCTATGACGCCAGACGGGATCGAAGATGCCATGCTGAAATTGAGAAATGGAGAAATAAAGTACCTAGTAATTCTAGTTCGTGAGCTGACTCCGGTAGGGGCTTAGATACGGTATTCCGGTGTTTGACGTCTGTACTTGAGTGTTTTAACAGGCATATTGATTCACTTTTGCCTGACACTGCAGCATGTGCGATCTATGATCTATCTGCTTGTTATATATTTTAAATGAGTGGACAGTGACTCAACAATAAACCACCAAATATCGACCTGTGCACCCTTTTTCAATGCTCTAGAACAGAGAAATGATCCAATGCCATGACAGGTCGGTTCGTTGTAAAATAACGACGAATAGGTGGTGACCTACCAGCCGATTGTGGTACCGTCGATGTTCCAGAACTCGCCCGCGCCATTCTCCTTTGTCAAGCCATCAATCTTAGTGACAATTGCATTCACACTATCCTCAACCTCTACGAAAGCGCCGGGGAAGCCTGCCGCTCTGGCAGCGTTGTCTCCAGCCTCTGTCTTGACCCCACTATGAGAAGATATTAGTCAACAGTCAATACCTCAAACAATACAAAAAGTCGAAAGATAGATTCATACCCAGGGTGGATAGCCAAGGTAGCAATATCGTCATGCTCGTAGTTAATTTTCCGGACAAAGTAGTTCGCCGCCGCCTTGCTAGCCCCGTAAGGCGCAATCTTGAGAGGAAGATCTTTGATCCCTCCAATCGTTCCCATTAGACTGCTATTCAGGATGAAGCGGGCAGATGATGACTTCTGAAGGAGAGGGAGTGTAGCTTGGAAGAGGCGCACGGGTCCAAGGGTGTTCACATCGAGATGGGTTCTGATTTGGGCAATGGTAGACTCGGAAACGGTGGTGAATGCAGCTGTGTCGAAGACTCCCGCATTGGCGATGACGATGTCTAAAGCTGACACGCCCTGGCTGGACAATGACTCCACCTCAGCTTTGGCGTCGGTGTCAGAGCTGGCGTCGATTTTAACAATAACCAACCGACTACCCTCCGCCGTGGGAATTTCAGAGAGAGAGGTCGCTTCTGATGAGCTCGGGTTGCGAACAGCTGCGATCACAGTCACATTATCGCGAGCCAGATACTTGCTAACCAGACCACGGCCAATTCCTGGGGGTATTATTAATTTTAAATTGCGAACGGGCTCAAAAGTGTAGATCTGGCTTACCTTTATTGGCGCCGGAGATTAAAATGGTAGACATGACTTGAAGAAAATAGCTCGTATAGTTCGTGTGGTTTGTATGTTTGTTTAGATGAATGGCGTTCTCTTCTGAAAACCGGTCGTCTTATAAACAATTCGAGTATAACATTGTCAATCCATAGTATAATTTGCTTTGTGAGCATTGCTTACGTCGATACAAATAATTTCCAAGCATATTGGTAATCACTAATATTTGTCTCTAGCAAAGTAGCTACTCCCCTGTTGGCATAACCCGGGGTTGGTGGCGAGAGCAAAAGGGTTGCTAGGCCGCATTAGGCCAAGTACCTTAACCTCGTAAGGAACACACCCGGTCTAGTAATCTTAAGCTGCATCGTCATAAGATAAGCACACTACTATATGCTGACCTTGTGTCAGCGAATAAGCAAAATACACGAGCTTCCAGATATACTTCAATTACGGTGCACGAACACAAAAATGCACAAAGTGCACGAGTATCCTATAATATCTATACGACCCATTCACACTTTGAGTATTGAACGCCTTCATTATTAATATCGCTTTCTTTTTGTTTTTGGCCATAGATTAGTTAGGTTTCGCTGGCTGACTGGATCTATTCGATAAGTTATCCGTATCCAAAAGTCGGTTCGGCATCCCAGTCGGCATCCCACAGTACAGATACGGGTATGACGTGCGCTTACCTGCAGGGTCAGCTAGGGCTGACGATGCATCGTGTAATCAACACGCTAACCGTATCCAGGCTACTCTCTTTATAAAATTATTTGCTGATTCGAGAGATATTTTCCAACTTCACTCCTCCATTGGCATTTCCATTTCCATTGGGTTTTTTAAGTCTTGCGCGTATAATCGGGTTGCGAGATAACGATCCACTTTACAATGATGTGATTGACAATTGATTGTGTTGAACTAATATGACCACTCTAGACCTATGTACTTTGGTTTGCACATCCGCCTTCAGAAATCCGGTGTAGGCAACCTTTATCCACACATTATCAGGGCTCAATTATGTATCGACCGCCTGAACTACAAACATTGCTGGCCTGTGAAGACTCTGCGCCTTGTACTTCTAAGTTAGGGTTATGAGTAAGCTTGGTATATCACCGTGCCGTGGATATATATTATGTCAAGATGTGGCGAGCTGGTTTCACTATACGAATACGGATATTAGCCCTAACTCCTTCCCCTGGCAGTACTGAACACGCTATTCTCAACGACAGCCCCAGCTTTGTAAGATGATCTTCAGTTTGAAGCGTCCTTGGGTATGTAATTCGTACTCCGTACTAATTTGACATTTGGTGGTAGATCCAAGTAGAAGCCAGGGAAACTGGTCGATAGAGCACGCATACCCAAAAATGAGAAAGATTGAGGCGCATGTGGACATCTTTCAGGAGTGGATACAATCTACAGGGCTACTCGCAATCCGGGGCGTGAAACAGACAAAGAAAAACTCAAAAAGTAAAGCGGCAGGAAAGGTATATTCAATAGCTGAAGATACAAGTAGAAAAAAAGAAATAGACGCTAGATCGTAGTCTGTCGTGGAGAAAGGTATCAAAACATTAAAGAATAATAGATGGACACATATAGGTGGATTATACGTGAACACATCCGTAAGAAGCAACGTCAGAAACCCCAGAATTAATAAATCGAAAAGCACGAAGCTCGTCTCTTCCACAACCAAAAAGCCGCGCAAGACAAAAATGTAGATAGATCACTGGCCGAGCTTACGCGAAAGCGCAGGCCAGAGCCAGGAAAGCACCGCCAACGGTCCAGATGCTGCCTGCCATCTGGCCGGCGGCATTGAAGGAAGTCGAGGAAGCGGCAGGGGCGCCGGTTCCGGTGACAGCGGCAGTGGTGGGTGCGGCCACCAGAGGGGTCGAGGCGACCAGAGGAGTGGACGAGATAAGAGCCGAAGAGGACTTCTTGGGGGTCGAGGTGACGAGGGTCGACGAAGACGTGATGGCCGGGGTAGAGGTGGAGGTCACCTCGGTCGTGCTAGTGCTACTGCTAGTACTAGTGCTGGTGCTGGTTGGGGTGGGGGTCTGAGTTGGGGTGGAGGTCGACGTTGGGGTCGGGGTGGCCGAGATAGTCACGGGCATCCAGTTCAGATCATCTTGGGCCAGGGTGCCCGACGGGGTCACGGTGCCGGCGGAGGCCTGGCAGGAGGCGTAGGTGGTGCCGGCAATCTTGCAGGAAACAGTTCCAGTGCTGGTGTTTGATATCAGAATGTGGTTTGCACGAGGAAAGTCTGCGCTAGTACTTACGTTCCCTGGAGATTGATGTTCTGCAGCTGCATGGAGGTCGGGGCAGCAATTGCGGTCATGCCCTCGCCGACAATACCGCAGGAAGAAGCGGTCTTGGGGCAGGTGATCTTGTAGGTAGTCGCATCTCCATTCTGTGGATTCTTAGTTAAAAATGCTCAGACAAAAGAGCGCGTTGGTCGCGCAAGTGAATCTGGGACATACGGTTTCGATAACGCTAGCCTCGAGATCCTGGCCCTCGAAGCCGGGCAGAAGGAGAGTTGCGGTGTTACCGGCAGCGGCGGCGGTAGCGCCAGTCAACAGAGCGACGGTGTAGAAACGCATGTTGGAAATAGATTCGTGATTGACTGGTGTTTTATATCGGAAAATTGGTGATAATCAAGATGTTGGATATGCACAAAGAATGAAAGTACACAGTACTTGAAGTAGAGTCAACAATTGGTCAAAACGAAGGACTGGATTTAACGAAAGACTGTCTAACGACGAAAGAGTGAATGACGGACTGCTTGAGTCTGAAGGTGTGAAAGAAGGAAGAAGTATCAGAGAGAGAGGCCTCCGGGGGTTAGGCGCGCAAAATATATTATTGACTTGGCATACATAGTGTTGCCGCGAGAAGTCGGTAGTCGCCAAGACTAGTTTGGCACAGTGAGATTGGCCCATATTGCGGTCCAAGCGGATCCCACTAGGGCCGACACGATAATCAAGGAACGGGCCCCAGGGGTTCGAGGGGTGGTTTGAGGTTCGAAAAGGGGGCATTTACCATATCAAAGTCCAAGTGCCTTGGGGAACCAAATTAGGGGCGTTTTAGTGGAAGTCTCCTGTGGAACTAGGCCGATCTGGGGCTAGGGGCCGAGCCGACCCCTGGGTCATATGCCTATTTGGGAAGGTTGTTTGGTGCTCCTCATATTACGTTGGAGACTAGTGATATTGAGGTCAACAAAGATATTTTCGTCTGGAGTGTATAAAGGAAATCCAACTGCTTTGAAGTATACTGGGTATGCATGTTTACTGTTAACGGTGTGTATATTGTATATAATTCTTGCAATTGTCTTCTTTTGACGCTCGTAATTTCCCCAGTCAGCCACTGACCCTCTCGAGAGGGCTAGCGTGCACGAGTTAGTGCTCGATTCAAATTACGCCCAGTGAAAAAGCCCGTGCCTGATGGACGCGCAACGCCACGAATGCCGAATTAATTAATCTTACGAACCATTCCAGTTTTTTTTTCATCAAATAGTTTACTGATTTTACCCGCTTTTACCTGCAAACGCACGTGCACTTAAATTTCAATGGACCTGCTAGCTGAGCAATGCCGGTAATTCAACCTTGGGCCTGTTCCATGCTGGGAATGAAATTATATCCCTAGCCAATCCAACAAGACCCTGGACCACTATAACAATTTCTCATGAAATTGGTCACCAGGTCCTTCCGCATGAGGATCCGAAGTGGTTGATGCCCCCACAGACGATCCCAATCACAAGCAGCACACCATTAAAGCCCGCCATGATATAGAACGGTGTACCCGATGACAGAACGTCAAATAGAAGCCCACCCACTTTAGTCAACAGCAGGATGCCTGCCCCGCCATATAATGAATAGACACCCGCGATAGAGCCTTTGAGGTGGGACAGATGCTCCAATCTCCGGTTGACAGACCCGGCAAGAAGAGATTGGCCCTCGTCCGGCTCTGCATCGTTTTCGTCCCCACGGCCCCGTCGCTCCTCATATATTTTTCTTAACGCTTCATTGTCGATGCTAACCCGCAAGATACCGTTGCTCAGTACAGCCAAACTGCAGACAATTGCTCCAATTTGGCTGATTCCAAGCAGAGCCATCACAACAAACACGCCCGGATTGCCATCCGGTCTTTCGAATAAAGGGGTTGGGAGCATGGCAAAGATAATATAGCCGACGACTCCCACCAATGCTGCAAAAAGAAGTGGGAAATTGTATCGTCGTGATTTGTCTGTTAGGTACCCAAATGCTGGGGCTGCAATCAGTGCCACCAATTGAGACACCCCTGTCAGTATGGATGCGACGATGTATGCACGTGGGCATGCTTTCTTAATATCCCCTAATCCCGACCCAGGAACGGGTTCATGCTCCTCATCGCAGAGCCCCGATACCCGATAGTAGTGATTGACAGCCAGGGGAATGAACAATGATATCCCCACAGAAGAGGCCCGAGCGACGAAGCCTCCGACGTAGCCGAGTCCAATGCTACGGTTTCGGAATCCCAGTGTAAGGGCAGTTGTCAACTGCTTCCAGTATGGCAATCTTGGGCCATGGATAGATATATCATCGTCGTCTTCGTCATCTTCGTCATTACACGAGTGATGAGATGTTTTCCAAAGCACACTCCAACTTTTGCCCTTTTCTCCGGGAAGATCACGAAGACCAACGAAGCATACAAGGCAGATAACAAGGGATACGACAGCAACCAGATAATAGCTGCGTTGGATCGCCTGCGCTGACGACAATCCCATCTTCTCAAACCGGGCTGCAAGCGGCAGGAAAACAACCAGCGCCACGAGCGCACCACAGCCAGCGCACATGCCAACAAAACCAGACAGTCGCGCGGACGGCGATGCACTAGAAGCGCCAACATCTATAGAATGACCATTCCTGGCACGCTCCGGTGTGATGGTCAACTCCGAAGACACAGATGGACGATATGCCTGGGCATTAAAGGCTGTGCCAGTGACAGTTGGCAACACTGCAGTGACCATGGTCGACACGGCTGAACCGCCGATACTGAAAAGCAACCTTCCCAAGAGAAGCTGGGGGTAGACATTCGTGGCTTGCACAAAAACGACTAGCGCAAGTGCTACAATAGCATAGCCTGCAGTACATACCTATCTAATGTCAATATCATTGAATGTTGTTACCCAGGTATGGACCAGTAGAAAGCTTACATGGCGGACTCCGATTCGATCCGAGAGAACACCCCAAAGTGGGCAGGCAACTAGCGCAAGGAGTTCATCTGCGAATCCCAGAGTTCCCACTGAATCTCCCACTCCATCCTGGAGGCCAATCAAATCCGTTACGACAAACGAGATGGATGCATTGACATACACTAGGAAGGCGATTGAGAAGGGGCACACCGCCAAGAGATAAGTTAATGTCTGGCTGCGCGAGGCAGTAAACAATGCCGGTGATGACGCCATCACCGGAGATGATTCATTTCTTTTAAACGGCAAGTACGAGGGAAGGATTCAGAGGTGATGATATCCTCGAGATCGATGTAAATTGATGATAGGAAATGATCTCTGGACGGTGTTACAATGTTTGCTTCAAAGGCGGGTAATGTGGGACGTCACATGACGGAGATGATCAGATAAACACCGAAGATCGACGGGCATGTGCTGGCATTTATAGTAGGTCTAAGGGAATTGAACGAAAACAATACACTTAATTATCCACGCTTCACAAATATTATGCTTTTACTAGAGTAAAATCAAATTTCCCCATGTATTCAGTAGGCTCATATAGATATGGGTGGCGGCACGTGCTGGTCGCTGACGTAAGATGCGGAGAGGCGTCTACGGGTTATTCTGGAAAGCTGTCCAGATCAAGCTACTTACTCCTCTCAAGTAAACGACATTCACTTCGTTGCTCCGCCAAATGCTACCTTGAGACGCCCGTATTTTTTGTCCTTCCTTCGGTCTATGACCTTTGGCTTGTCCGATCCAGTCGATAGCCATGAGACTAGCCGCGTATGCTGGGGTAAGTAGTACCGCAGTTGATGGGGGAGACAACCCGCTAACCTTGGAACCCCGTTTATAGGCCTCGGTGGCCCTAGCCACTGGTGTGTTTCTAAAAGCTCTTCATCAGAGGTCCAATTTCTATTCGGCATGTGTTTACCTCTCTCAGAGTAGTGCGAATCTTATGGTGAGTTGTCCAGTTTGAGCCATCGCGCTTGGTCATCACGGTCCCTAACTCATTATTCCATGTCCAGATCCTCACGAATTTATGCCTTCTCATCACCGGTTTTGTATTATTCTGGCTTCAGCGACTTCTTTACGGACCCTTGCGACCAATCGAGACCGAGCAACTATACGAGCGGGCCTGGTTCGCCGTCACAGAGACATGCCTGGCCATGACCATATTCCGAGGCGAACTTGGAGGCTGGTTCTTGGTCATGTTCATTTCGCTGCTGGTCGGCAAGGTCTGGGGCTGGATTGGCGAAGGCCGCGTTGAGTTCTTAGAGCAACAGCCACCGGCTAATCCCCGGTTGTTCCATACTCGACTGGCAGTATCTCTCGTGCTAACGGTGTTATTCGATGCCTTCATGTTGCAGTACTGTGTTCACACCGTACTTGCGCACGCACGGCCGGATATGATGGTTATGTTTGGATTTGAATTCGCCATCTTAACGATCCTCTCAACTTCAACCCTGCTACGATACGTTATCGCGTTAACTGAGATCTCCATCACCCGTCAGCAAATAAAGGCCAAGATGCAGGAACGCCGGGATGAGATCCGTGCTGCGCGTGTCGAGGCGATTCGAGAACATGCCCGCGCGGGAGCTACCTCTCCTCCTGACAATCTGCCCGACGAAAACGATGTCAACGAGATGGAGATCGACGTGCCCGGATGGGAGGAGAAGGGTCGTTGGGTCTTCTACTTGGATCTTTTGACCGATTTGTTCAAACTCGTGATTTACTTGAGCTTCTTTGGTATCCTGCTCACTTTCTACGGCCTCCCCATCCACATTCTGCGGGACGTTGTTGTGACCATCCGCTCCTTTGCCCGTCGCATTATGGACTTCATGCGTTACCGAAATGCAACAAGGGATATGCACCAGAGGTATCCGGATGCAACGGCAGACGAAGTCTCCCGGGAAGATGTCTGTATCATCTGCCGTGAGGAGATGATTCCGGTTCAGCCGGCGCAACCGCAACCGGCTGCCAATGCTGCTGGAGAGCCGGCACCACAGCCGGCTGCTGGAACACAGCGTGTTCCTGACCGCCTGCGTCCAAAGAAGCTCCCATGTGGCCATATCTTGCACTTTTCGTGCCTCCGAAGCTGGCTTGAGAGGCAACAAAACTGCCCGACATGCCGACGTCCTGTTATAACACCCCAGCGAACTGGTGGAGTTGCTGGGGTTGGAGGCAATAATGCAGGCGGGGGTCAGAATGGTGGCGTCCAGCCAGGCCAACAAGGTGCAGATGCACAACCACGTGCTCGGGTCTATCAGTTTGGGCCTTTCCGTATCGGCTTTGGAGCCGTGCGTGGGGATTTATTCAACAATCTTCATCCACACGGTCACCAAGGTAACGCGCCGCAGCCTGGGGCACACCCGCCTGCGAATGTGCCTGGAAGACATATTGGGTTTGGATTTGGGTTCGGGCGCCGTCCCCAAGCCCCAACCCCCGCTGTCGCCCCACATGCTGCGGCTCCGGGGGGATCTATCACTGCTGAAATCAACGATCAATTGTCACAGATCGAGCAACGGCTCAATCAAGAGATCGCCACCCTTCGAGCTGCCGCGGAGCATCTAAATCACGTGCGCCAACTTCGGGTGGAACTAGAGCGGTTGCTTGCCCAAGCAAGGGCTGTTAACCAACAAGTTGCCGGTCAACAAGGTGTTGGCCAACCACGTGTCGCCCAACCAGGTGAAGGCCAACCAGGCCCGGTTCCCCACGTGGCCCCAGAATCTTCGGTCTTCACAACGGGTCACCAGTATGGCGCAAACCCGGGCGCTGACGTTCTAAACTCTGGAGATCCTCGTCTACCGGAAGGGCTTACTCTTCCGCCTGGTTGGACCCTCCTTCCTCTTCAGCGCGTGGATAATGGCCCCAACAGTGTGGATCATACAGTGCAACTCTCGTCTACCACTACAATGACATCCCCAGCTGCGCCAGCGGTGGCCAGCCCTGTAACCTCTCAAGTCCCCACATTCCCTGTACCTGTTCAGGGTCAAACAACCGGGAACTTCGGGGTAAATGCGCGCGGCACGACCAACTCTGAAACCCTTCCCGTAAATGGGGCCCCTCAGCCCCCGGCATTGCAGCCGACGCCAACCGTCCCTTCTGCGGAACATCGCGCAGAATCCCCATCCCAAGAATGGACCGATGTTGCCCCTAGAGGGTCCTTCGAGGCCAGGCCGGCTTCTTCCATTCCTACTACATGGGGTAGCAATGGGGAATCTGCAAATAGTGCTTCTGATCAAGCCGACACTCACCCCGCGTCTGCATCCAATGGCAAAGGTCGAATTGCATCAGTTGAAGAAACGCGCGATGAAGAAGCTTGATCCTGGACTCCCCTTTTGGTACCCCCTCACCGTGTATTTTTTTTTTCCTTCCCGGGTCTGCTCTGCCCTCTCGGTTCCCCAGTCGTTTACACCAGCGTTTCTGCATGGCGTTGTTTGAGAACAAAAGATCATACCCAGATTTCTTTTCACGATTTTTATACCACGGTTGAATCTCATGGTATTTGCTCTCAATGGTTACCTTCAAATGGAAATGTGTATACGCGATCAGTGTAAACTTGAAGTAGGAGTACGTGAGTACGTATAACGTAGAGAAGTACAACTTTGGAATAATAGATGTAATTGTGGCCCGTGGCATGGCTGAGACAAGGCCGCGTGGCTGAATTCTTGGATCGACATTGATGCATCCTCCCGTATTAGTAAGATGATTTTATACGAATATTATTTTGACAATATTGTATTACTTCATTTTAAACTGATATTTATTATATTAACCGATCAATTTTGTCTTATATATTCTATATAAAAGGCCTTTGTGCAGCGCAAAGGTATAAAATCGCATTGAAAGAAGCTTCGTCATGACGGCACAGCGCCGGCTCCACTTGCATCTGATTTGTCCCGTAGTCTCTCCGGGGGTTAGACCAGGGTCCCTTCCCTTCAATCTAGATCAGCTTTCTTTTCCTTCACCCCCTTACACTCTCGGGGCAATGATATCCTCAAATATGTAAGGCATTGTGTTCCCTCCCTCAATTCCAAGCTTTCTGGATGTACCTTGCTCCCGCACTACTCTCAACCCTATGCACGCGACACAGTGGCATACAGTGACATTGCAGCTAACCACCATCTCGTGAGACAGATAATAATCACGTGTACGATTGTCTAACCCTCCGTCCATGCTTCTCCCACGACGGCCGGTAATCTTCCTCGGCGTCTGCTTCTTCCTCGTCTTGCTCCTCACAGCCCGGAGCCTCTCACGACCATGGCGTGACGTACCCCAAGTCATCGGCCTGGGTGACCTAGTGTCCCCGTCATCCAACACAACAGGAACAGGGGCCTGGAACACGACCCGTGCACATACAAACCACCTCTATGCCCCACCACCGGACTTCATCCCCGGCACCCCCAAGCCCCCGGGCTACAAATACTCCAAGGTGATGGTCGTGACCCGAACCAAGATGGAAGACACCAGCTGGATCGCCGAGGAATTGCCAGATTGGGACCATGCCATCTACGTCGCGGACGACCCTACAGCGCCACTCCACCCGCCCAAGAACAAGGGCCACGAGGTTATGATCTACCTTACCTACATCGTTGACCACTACGACCAGCTCCCAGACGTGGCGGTGTTCATGCACTCACATCAATTCGCCTGGCACAATGATAATCTCTTCGCCGGAGACGCAGCGCAGCTGCTCCGCCGCCTCAATCTGAACCGTGTCATCCGCGAGGGCTACATGAATACTCGCTGCGGGTTTGGCCCGGGCTGTCCAGCCTGGATGCACCCCGGTGCGCTGGAGGCAGACGAGTCGAAGCAGGAGGAGATCATGCTGGCGCGCGCGTGGGGAGAGCTATTCCCCGACCAGGAGATCCCGTCTGTGCTCGCGCAACCGTGCTGTGCACAATTCGCCCTGTCTCGTGATCGCATCCGCTCCATTCCGCGGGCCCGGTTTGTTTTCTATCGCGATTGGCTACTATCGACGGATCTCAGTGATTATATTACTGGTCGCATCTGGGAGTATCTGTGGCAGTTTATCTTCACCGGGGAGGCTGTTCTCTGCGTTGATGAGAGCGTGTGTCTCTGCGACGGGTACGGGTTTTGTTTTGGTGGATACGAGGAATGGAATAATTACCGAGAGGCTGAAACGAAGAAGAACGAGATCCAACAGGAATTGGATAATTGGATGTGGTTGACTGACATGGGATTCGATCCCCCTGTTGAAACAGATGGCCAACCTGAACCAGATGACCCTGAGGGTGAGAAAGGCAATGCCCTTGTCAACCAACTTCAGGAGAAGCAGCAGGAGATCGTTGACACTTTGCTTGCTGCTATTGAGCGTGGCAAGAATCCCCAGTACCGTGCCCAGGAGGCTGGTCGTCCTTGGAAGGAGGGTGATGGGTTCTAAGCTGTCTTGACTAGATCAAGTGCTGCCATTCCAAAAAATTCAAGTGGCCCAATGATCTATATGCCATCTATTTACCATTTCCTCGTAACACAGGAGACCTACTTTTGAGCACATTTCTTGTCATCTGTGAACACTCACACTTTTTAATTGACACGACCATGTATTTTTGCCATGCAATTGCATCATTTTTGATATTTGTCCTCTTTGGTGACTAATTTCTTGATTTGGATGTACTTATAGGTTTTTACGTTTCGCGACTGGGGCTTGTTATAACAGGGTTATATCGAAAATACAAATGGATAGAAATGGATAGACATGATCATTAATCACTTCATATTTGTGCAGATGAGACTCAGTAATCAAATCCAAGTTAGGTAGTTAACGTAGGTTATGTATATATAACAAACAATACCACCCATGGATGCGATGAAAATCTTGATCACGTGACACACTCGAAGTTTTCAGTTTGCATTGTCTGCTGTTCCTTCAAACTACACAAACATCCAACCGTCGCGCTTCTTATCAGCCGACTCGAACTAAAGCTGTCGAAGCTTTTTTTTATTTCTTTTGCTTTAGCCTCAGTTTCACTGTGACGCGCTTCTTACCCTCTTGGGTGTTGCGTGCTGGGACTACTGTGATCTGACCAAGCAGCATTGCCAATGGTGAAGCTATTCATTAGGCTCTCTACATTAACCGGATAAGAGCTTCGAGCTTCAACTTGGAAGAAGTACTCATCTGGAGATAAATCCGAGACCTCGAACGCGGTCTGAGTCTTCTCTCCAATTTGCTCTCATCACGTAAAATTCTCCTATCGCTGTTTTTTCTCCTCGATCCTCACAACTTTGCCGACACTATCAGCTTATCGAACCGGGTGTCTTGAATCACCTAGCTCCCAATCAACACCATGAGCTCTTCCACCAACCAAAATCTCCCCACAACCTCCTCCGACCTACCCTCCCAGCAGACCGCGACTGCCCCTCACCTCGACCCGAACGCGCAACTGGCCAACAACGGATATGCACCCAACGACAACCAGCTCGCGGGATTAGTCGAGGCCGCCACAGCCGCCGCAGACCAAGATGTTTCGCAATGGGCTGCCGCTGCTGCAGTCGCAGCAGCGGCCGGTGCAGCTGGCCACCATCACCAGCTGGATTCCTACACAGACATAGATCTCTCTGAGAACGGGTTCGGCGACGCGAACTTCGGAAACGGCATGAGTAGCGGAAGACACATGAGAGTCCCCAGTCACACTGACCATTCCCAATCCTCGGGGGGGCTCACACGAACCGCGACAAAAAAGCGCAAGCGAAATGACGATAATCTCGACCCCGCCTTGGCTGGCGCGGGTCTCTCGGCCGCGCAGCATCAGTCACATTCCGCACAGCAAACCCCCCATGGCTATACCGGAGAAGGTATCGACATTCGCCCCGAGCAGCAGCAGTCCTTGTCGGATGCTCGTGCTGTGGGTATCCATTCTGCGGCGGCGCTGTTCCGTCAACCCTCTGGCAATAAGAAGTACACACGACCTCCCATCTCAAAGATGTTTTCGTCCCTCGAGATCTCACCAGAGAACTTTTTGCATCTCCAGGCTGCTGCTAAGAACTATATGCTGAACGATGAACACCCCGAAAGACGCGATTGTGTCGGTCAGCGTGGAAAGGGAGATACGGAAATGGTCAAGCTTCGCCTTTGGAACTGTGTTCGTCAGTTCCTCGAAGCCGAGGGAAATGGTGAACGCTTCTTCGGAGAGAACGTCATTAATGAGGGCATGGGCCCGAGAACCTACATCTGGCCGCGTGACCAACATAAGATCATCTCATTGGTAATTCCTTTACTTAGACGGATGGTCACCAACGAAAGACAACGCCAATACGCAATCGAGACCCGCAAAGGAGGTGGTGCTGAAGAACGCCGCCGCCGTAAAACAGATGATTTCTCCAATTTGAATAGCCCGCGATTCTCTCCAGAGCAGCATCTCCAAATGCAAAACCAGACATCCCATCGCGATGATCTGTCGCAGTCAATGCCCCCTCCTCCCCCGCCGATGCAACAATCAGAAATAAGTCCGTCCCAGCCTGTGGATCTCGGTCTGACCGACCTCTTACTAGACGGATACACAGTCGACTGGGAAGAAATTGGCCGATGCTATGATACCTACAACGAGAACTTTGAGCTGGATAACCTATGGTCTCTCTCCGGTCTCCAGCAACCCGATTGGCGTGGGCTCGTCGCCGCAGTAGACAGCCATTATCAAATCATCCACAACGGAAACTACGACTGCGTATCGTTTTGTGAAGACCAAAACGTCAACCGCATCATCCACGCAGACACCACCTCAGGTCTTCAATGGCGCATTGGCGGAGGCCGCAACCTCCCAGCCCGAGACGAATTGTAAGCCACCCTTCCTTCCCAAACGTTTGTAGAATGGCAACTAACAACCCCATAGCGCAAGCAGCATCACCCGCGACGTGTCTCGCATTATCCGCGAGAACATCGCCTCCCGACACGGCCAACCTGCCCAAGCACCCGACCCTCACTTCCATCAACCCTTTACCCCTCTCTCGGAATCAACTCCAACAACCAACGCAACCACCCCCTGTCACAGCCAAGGCCAAACCTCCCTCCGCGTCAATGTCCTGCAGAACGGAAAACGTATTCTCCCCAGATTCGACCTGCCGGCAGCCCAGTGCTCCAACATTGACACAGTCAAGCAGGCAATTCTCCGTCGGTACCCGGGCCAAATCCCCGGTTTGCCGGCATTCCAGGGCACCAACGCTGCTACGCATGAAGCTCGTGAGTCTGCTGTTGTGGATCGGTGGAAGGTTAAGGTCTGGTTGCCGGATGGACTGTTACCTGTGCAGAACCAGAAGGATTGGACCATTGCGGTGCTTTCAGCTGATGCTGTTGATTGGATGGATG